GGAATTCCTAAGGTTAATTTAGAAGATGAATCTTCTAGTCCCTGGAGGGATAAGAATGGAAGGAACAACTGGATGATTCAGCCAAGGTCAGAGCTTTCAAATTTTGTGGGTGAAAATCCGAGAGATTGGTTAAGAAAATGTGATAAATACTTTAACATCTATAATATCTCTGATAAGGATAAAATGGAAGCGATTGAACTCTATTAGGGGGGCAAAGCAGATACATGGTACCAAAGTTTGAAAAGAGTCAAAGGAAATATAGCTTGGGCTGATTTTGTACAGGAATTGCAGAAAAGGTTTAGAGAGAAAGGCGAGATGGATGAAATCGAAGAGTTTAATAAGCTACAACAGAAAGGATCTATTTTGGAATACCATGAGAAATTCGAAGAGTTGAAGTCATTAGTTCTATACAAAGATCCTCACTTAACTGAGAGTTACTTCATTTCTAGTTTTGTGAGTGGATTAAAGGAAGAACTTAAACCCATGGTTCGGTTGTTGGAGCCTTCTTCTTTGTTGAGGGCTTTTGAAATTGCCAAAGTTCAAGAGAAGATTTTAGAATTTGCCTTGAAAAGCAGGAATCCATCAACTTTCCAGACCAAAAGTTACTCTCAGAATCCAAGAGCCTTCAATGGTCATAAGAACGCTGAACAAGGAAACAGACGGTTTGGAAATGAAAACTTCAAAAGAGTGGCTCCCCAAGAGATCCAGTATCACAAAAACAACAACCTGTGTTGGAGATGTGGTGAACAGTGGGGTCCAGGGCATGTATGTAAACTGAAACAGGTAAATTTTATTACGGCTGAAGAAGAGGATGATTTAGGCGATCTAAATTGGATTGATGAAGGAACGGAAGGTGCAAGAAACTTAGCAACAGTAACCTCTAATGAGTTAAATTCCATCACTCAATTGGAGGATTGCTTTGCTATAACCTCAGAAGAAAGGAAAATTATAGTTATCCTTGGATATATGGAGAGGGTGTTGGTCAAAATCCTCATTGATACCGGAGCAGTTAAGAGTTTCATCAGCCACGGGTTAGCAACAAGAAAAGTACGCCCTTTTGTTGTAACTGTTGCAAATGGACAGCAAGTTCAGAATGATATGGTTTGTCCTAATGCTAAGTGGGAGATACAACAACATCATTTCCGATTTGATTTAAAGATTATGGAATTGGGGAGTTGGGATCTAATATTGGGAATAGATTGGATGTCATATTTTAGCCCCATACTCTTTAACTTTGAGACTTTTTCCATTCATTTACATAGAAAGGGGGGGATATTCAAGCTGCAGGGTCAATCACTGGAGGATTATGACAGAAAGGAAGCCATTTACAGGAAGAGGCTATATGAGCAGAAAAGATGGGAGTATGAACAAATGAAGGAAAGCCAATTGGAGGAAAGAAGAAGATGGTTCAACAGGTTCAAAAGAAGGAGAACAGATCCTCCAGGGTGGCCAGAAGTGGAAAGTGCAGGCATACTGAGTGCTGTAAGTGTAGAGGAGGTACCAGTTGACATCCTTACAGTTCTTGACATTTTCTCTTATGTTTTCTCTGAGCCAACTAAATTACCACCTGAGAGATCCATTGACCACCAAATTTGTCTAAAACCTAATGCCATTCCTTTTAAACTAAAACCATACAGATATCCCCACTCTCATAAAACTGAAATAGAAAACCAAGTTGATGGATTATTGAAGAAAGGTTTAGTGCAGGAAAGCAACAATCCTTATGCTTCTCCTGCTTTACTAGTTCCAAAGAAAGAAGGGGCTTGGAGACTTTTTACAGACTATAGGCAACTGAATGCTTTAACCATCAAAAGCAGGTATCCAATCCCGATGATAGAGGAATTACTTGATGAACTGTTGGGGGCAAAATACTTCTCAAAAATTGATTTACTAGCAGGATATCATCAAATCAGAGTTAGAAAAGAAGATGTTCCTAAAACTGCTTTTCAAACACATCATGGCCATTTTGAGTATTTAGTTATGCCATTTGGTTTAACTAATGCTCCTGCAACCTTTCAAGCCTTAATGAACCAAATTTTTAAACCTCATCTTAGAAAATTTGTCCTTGTTTTCTTTGATGACATACTGATATACAGCCTTAGTTTGGAGGAACATGTTTCACATCTAGCAATGGTGTTACAAACCTTAAAAGACCATGAACTATTTGCCAAAAGAAGTAAATGCTCCTTTGCTCAAAGATCCATGGAGTATTTAGGTCACATCATATCAGATAAGGGGGTAGATATGGATGCTTCTAAGGTCCAATGTATTCAACAGTGGCCAATACCCAGTTCTGTGAAGGAGTTGAGAGGATTCTTAGGGCTGGCAGGTTATTACAGGAGATTTGTGAAAGGTTTTGGGGTCATTTGCAAACCTTTAACTAATCTGCTCAGAAAGGATGCCTTCCAATGGAGTCCTGAGGCCACACAAGCCTTTAATCAATTGAAGGTATCCTTAATTAATGCACCTGTATTACAGCTACCTGATTTTAGTCAGCCCTTTATAGTAGAAACAGATGCTTGCAATGATGGAATGGGAACAGTGTTGATGCAACAAGGGAAACCTATAGCTTATCCTAGCAAAGCTTTTTCTCCCAGAAACAAAGGCTTGTCCATTTATGAAAAGGAACTCTTAGCTCTTGTGATGGCTATTGATAAATGGAAGCATTATTTACAAGGGCATCATTTTGTGATCAAAAGGGATCACCAGGCTCTCAAATATTTATTAGAGCAGAAGTTGAACAATGCTATGCAACACAAGTGGCTTTCTAAACTGGTTGGGATGGATTATGAAATCCATTACAAAAAGGGTAAGGATAATATAGCAGCAGATGCTCTCTCCAGGCTGCAAACATCCATTCATGATGAAGTTTTGAGTGCCATTTCTGTGGTAAGGCCCCTTTGGATGCAACAAGTGGAAGAGAGCTATGAAGAGGATGAGGAGGCTCAACAGTTGATAGCTTCAGCAACTCTGAATCCCTCTAATGATTCTGAATTGCAATATGTGAATGGCATCTTGAAGTTGCATGGCAAAATCTATATTGGAGCAAAAGCTGATCTCAGGAAATTGCTTATTGAAACTTTCCATGCTTCACCTTTGGGAGGCCATTCTGGCCAAAAGGCTACCTTACAGAGGCTGAAATCCACCTTCACTTGGAAGGAGATGAGACAACAGGTGGAGGAATTTGTCAGACAATGTAGTGTTTGTCAGATGCACAAGCCTGAACATCTCCCTTATCCTGGTTTGTTGCAACCTCTTAACATTCCTCAACAAGCGTGGAAGTAAATCTCTATGGATTTCATTGAGAAACTCCTTCCCTCCACTGAGAATTATGATTCCATACTGGTGGTAGTAGACCGACTCACCAAATATGGGCACTTTATTCCATTAAAACACCCCTACACTGCCAAGACTATTGCTGAGGTTTTCTTTCAAGAAATTTTTCGCCTGCATGGAGCTCCTGATTCTATTGTCAGCGATAGAGACCGCATTTTCACAAATCACTTTTGGCAGCCACTATTTAAGAATATGGGAGTCAAGTTACAAATGAGCCGCGCATACCACCCTCAAAGTGATGGCCAAACTGAGAGGTTGAATCAGTGTTTGGAGACATACTTGATGTGCTTTTGCAGCAGCAAACCAAGCATCTTGGTTGAGTCTAGCCGAATGGTGGTACAATACATCGTTTCAATTCAGTGCTAGGATGACACCCTTTGAAGCACTATATGGAACTCAGGCCTACAAGTATTCCCCTTGGACCCTATACTTCTATCATCATTCCAGCAGTGGAGAACATGTTAGAGCAAAGGAGTGGTGTACTGAAGCTATTGAAGGATAATTTTGAAAAGGCACAGTTCCGGATGAAATTTTATGCAGATCAGCACAGGACTGAAAGGACTCTAAATGTTGGCGATTGGGTTTATGTCAAATTGCAACCTTACAGGCAGTCTTCTTTGGCTCTGAGATCATGTCTGAAACTGATGGTAAGGAACTTTGGACCTTTTAAGATCGTGGAGAAGATAGGCAATGTTGCCTATAAACTGCAATTACCTGATCACTCTAAGATACATCCAGTATTCCATGTGTCTCAGCTGATAAAACATAATGGATCAAGGCCAGTGATTCCAGTAGAGTTACCTGATCTGGAAGATGAAGCCAACATCTCTCTTGTTCCTGAATCTGTGCTACAAAGGAGGATGATCAGAAGAGGTGATCAAACTATCACTCAATGGTTGATCAAATGGAAATACTTGCCATCAGAAGACTCCTCATGGGAAGACGCCTCATTCATCAGTCATCAATTTCCTGAATTTAAGACTTGAGGACAAGTCTCTTTTCAGCGCGGGAATATGTCATGCAGTTCGGGTTTATGGATTCGGATACTGGTAATTCGGGTAATTGGAAGAAAGGGATTAGGTCATGGGACGACGACGTATGGATTAATTGGGGAGAAGGTTGACAGCAACTTCCAGGAAGCTGCTTGTATGCATGAAGACAAAACTCAGCTGCACATGCTCCGCTGGATTTGTACCGTTGCTGTTATTTTTATTTTTATTTTTCCTTTAACAGCTCAGCTAAATTATTATCTGTAAAATGAGGATTAGAAGGAATCTCTATATGTACTAGACTGCAAAAGTGGAGGAGCGATGCAAATTTGAATGAAAATCCTTCTCTTCCCTCATTTCCTTCCCTCTGATTTCTTTTTCTTCCCTTATCAGACTTGCTTCCCCCTCCTTGTTGTTCTTACCCTCTGATCTGAACTCTGAATTCCCCTTTTCTTTATCAATTATCCCCTAAATCATTTATCATACCATCACATTTGGTATCCAGAGCCAAAGAAATTCTTGGACTGTGATATTAAAATGGCCGAAACTAGATCAAAAACTCAGTTATTGGAAGAACATGTCAAGAAACAGGACGTCCAGTTCCAGGAGTTAGAAAAACAAATGGCAGAAAGATAACAACAGATCGAAGAAAAGATTACAAATTGGGGTACTTAGATGGAGTCAAAAATCGAATACCAAGCAATGCAGTTCTTGGTTCAGATCTCAGTCCTCAGTACTCAGATTGCTGGTTTGGCACGGATGATTAAGGAGAGTAAGGCCGAAGGAAAACCAGAGTCTTCAAATCTGAGTAAGTCTCCTATATTGCCTAACCCATCTGGAATTCCTAAGGTTAATTTAGAAGATGAATCTCCTAGTCCCTGGAGGGATAAGAATGGAAGGAACAACTGGATGATTCAGCCAAGGTCAGAGCTTTCAAATTTTGTGGGTGAAAATCCGAGAGATTGGTTAAGAAAATGTGATAAATACTTTAACATCTATAATATCTCTGATAAGGATAAAATGGAAGCGATTGAACTCTATTAGGGGGGCAAAGCAGATACATGGTACCAAAGTTTGAAAAGAGTCAAAGGAAATATAGCTTGGGCTGATTTTGTACAGGAATTGCAGAAAAGGTTTAGAGAGAAAGGCGAGATGGATGAAATCGAAGAGTTTAATAAGCTACAACAGAAAGGATCTATTTTGGAATACCATGAGAAATTCGAAGAGTTGAAGTCATTAGTTCTATACAAAGATCCTCACTTAACTGAGAGTTACTTCATTTCTAGTTTTGTGAGTGGATTAAAGGAAGAACTTAAACCCATGGTTCGGTTGTTGGAGCCTTCTTCTTTGTTGAGGGCTTTTGAAATTGCCAAAGTTCAAGAGAAGATTTTAGAATTTGCCTTGAAAAGCAGGAATCCATCAACTTTCCAGACCAAAAGTTACTCTCAGAATCCAAGAGCCTTCAATGGTCATAAGAACGCTGAACAAGGAAACAGACGGTTTGGAAATGAAAACTTCAAAAGAGTGGCTCCCCAAGAGATCCAGTATCACAAAAACAACAACCTGTGTTGGAGATGTGGTGAACAGTGGGGTCCAGGGCATGTATGTAAACTGAAACAGGTAAATTTTATTACGGCTGAAGAAGAGGATGATTTAGGCGATCTAAATTGGATTGATGAAGGAACGGAAGGTGCAAGAAACTTAGCAACAGTAACCTCTAATGAGTTAAATTCCATCACTCAATTGGAGGATTGCTTTGCTATAACCTCAGAAGAAAGGAAAATTATAGTTATCCTTGGATATATGGAGAGGGTGTTGGTCAAAATCCTCATTGATACCGGAGCAGTTAAGAGTTTCATCAGCCACGGGTTAGCAACAAGAAAAGTACGCCCTTTTGTTGTAACTGTTGCAAATGGACAGCAAGTTCAGAATGATATGGTTTGTCCTAATGCTAAGTGGGAGATACAACAACATCATTTCCGATTTGATTTAAAGATTATGGAATTGGGGAGTTGGGATCTAATATTGGGAATAGATTGGATGTCATATTTTAGCCCCATACTCTTTAACTTTGAGACTTTTTCCATTCATTTACATAGAAAGGGGGGGATATTCAAGCTGCAGGGTCAATCACTGGAGGATTATGACAGAAAGGAAGCCATTTACAGGAAGAGGCTATATGAGCAGAAAAGATGGGAGTATGAACAAATGAAGGAAAGCCAATTGGAGGAAAGAAGAAGATGGTTCAACAGGTTCAAAAGAAGGAGAACAGATCCTCCAGGGTGGCCAGAAGTGGAAAGTGCAGGCATACTGAGTGCTGTAAGTGTAGAGGAGGTACCAGTTGACATCCTTACAGTTCTTGACATTTTCTCTTATGTTTTCTCTGAGCCAACTAAATTACCACCTGAGAGATCCATTGACCACCAAATTTGTCTAAAACCTAATGCCATTCCTTTTAAACTAAAACCATACAGATATCCCCACTCTCATAAAACTGAAATAGAAAACCAAGTTGATGGATTATTGAAGAAAGGTTTAGTGCAGGAAAGCAACAATCCTTATGCTTCTCCTGCTTTACTAGTTCCAAAGAAAGAAGGGGCTTGGAGACTTTTTACAGACTATAGGCAACTGAATGCTTTAACCATCAAAAGCAGGTATCCAATCCCGATGATAGAGGAATTACTTGATGAACTGTTGGGGGCAAAATACTTCTCAAAAATTGATTTACTAGCAGGATATCATCAAATCAGAGTTAGAAAAGAAGATGTTCCTAAAACTGCTTTTCAAACACATCATGGCCATTTTGAGTATTTAGTTATGCCATTTGGTTTAACTAATGCTCCTGCAACCTTTCAAGCCTTAATGAACCAAATTTTTAAACCTCATCTTAGAAAATTTGTCCTTGTTTTCTTTGATGACATACTGATATACAGCCTTAGTTTGGAGGAACATGTTTCACATCTAGCAATGGTGTTACAAACCTTAAAAGACCATGAACTATTTGCCAAAAGAAGTAAATGCTCCTTTGCTCAAAGATCCATGGAGTATTTAGGTCACATCATATCAGATAAGGGGGTAGATATGGATGCTTCTAAGGTCCAATGTATTCAACAGTGGCCAATACCCAGTTCTGTGAAGGAGTTGAGAGGATTCTTAGGGCTGGCAGGTTATTACAGGAGATTTGTGAAAGGTTTTGGGGTCATTTGCAAACCTTTAACTAATCTGCTCAGAAAGGATGCCTTCCAATGGAGTCCTGAGGCCACACAAGCCTTTAATCAATTGAAGGTATCCTTAATTAATGCACCTGTATTACAGCTACCTGATTTTAGTCAGCCCTTTATAGTAGAAACAGATGCTTGCAATGATGGAATGGGAACAGTGTTGATGCAACAAGGGAAACCTATAGCTTATCCTAGCAAAGCTTTTTCTCCCAGAAACAAAGGCTTGTCCATTTATGAAAAGGAACTCTTAGCTCTTGTGATGGCTATTGATAAATGGAAGCATTATTTACAAGGGCATCATTTTGTGATCAAAAGGGATCACCAGGCTCTCAAATATTTATTAGAGCAGAAGTTGAACAATGCTATGCAACACAAGTGGCTTTCTAAACTGGTTGGGATGGATTATGAAATCCATTACAAAAAGGGTAAGGATAATATAGCAGCAGATGCTCTCTCCAGGCTGCAAACATCCATTCATGATGAAGTTTTGAGTGCCATTTCTGTGGTAAGGCCCCTTTGGATGCAACAAGTGGAAGAGAGCTATGAAGAGGATGAGGAGGCTCAACAGTTGATAGCTTCAGCAACTCTGAATCCCTCTAATGATTCTGAATTGCAATATGTGAATGGCATCTTGAAGTTGCATGGCAAAATCTATATTGGAGCAAAAGCTGATCTCAGGAAATTGCTTATTGAAACTTTCCATGCTTCACCTTTGGGAGGCCATTCTGGCCAAAAGGCTACCTTACAGAGGCTGAAATCCACCTTCACTTGGAAGGAGATGAGACAACAGGTGGAGGAATTTGTCAGACAATGTAGTGTTTGTCAGATGCACAAGCCTGAACATCTCCCTTATCCTGGTTTGTTGCAACCTCTTAACATTCCTCAACAAGCGTGGAAGTAAATCTCTATGGATTTCATTGAGAAACTCCCTCCCTCCACTGAGAATTATGATTCCATACTGGTGGTAGTAGACCGACTCACCAAATATGGGCACTTTATTCCATTAAAACACCCCTACACTGCCAAGACTATTGCTGAGGTTTTCTTTCAAGAAATTTTTCGCCTGCATGGAGCTCCTGATTCTATTGTCAGCGATAGAGACCGCATTTTCACAAATCACTTTTGGCAGCCACTATTTAAGAATATGGGAGTCAAGTTACAAATGAGCCGCGCATACCACCCTCAAAGTGATGGCCAAACTGAGAGGTTGAATCAGTGTTTGGAGACATACTTGATGTGCTTTTGCAGCAGCAAACCAAGCATCTTGGTTGAGTCTAGCCGAATGGTGGTACAATACATCGTTTCAATTCAGTGCTAGGATGACACCCTTTGAAGCACTATATGGAACTCAGCCTACAAGTATTCCCCTTGGACCCTATACTTCTATCATCATTCCAGCAGTGGAGAACATGTTAGAGCAAAGGAGTGGTGTACTGAAGCTATTGAAGGATAATTTTGAAAAGGCACAGTTCCGGATGAAATTTTATGCAGATCAGCACAGGACTGAAAGGACTCTAAATGTTGGCGATTGGGTTTATGTCAAATTGCAACCTTACAGGCAGTCTTCTTTGGCTCTGAGATCATGTCTGAAACTGATGGTAAGGAACTTTGGACCTTTTAAGATCGTGGAGAAGATAGGCAATGTTGCCTATAAACTGCAATTACCTGATCACTCTAAGATACATCCAGTATTCCATGTGTCTCAGCTGATAAAACATAATGGATCAAGGCCAGTGATTCCAGTAGAGTTACCTGATCTGGAAGATGAAGCCAACATCTCTCTTGTTCCTGAATCTGTGCTACAAAGGAGGATGATCAGAAGAGGTGATCAAACTATCACTCAATGGTTGATCAAATGGAAATACTTGCCATCAGAAGACTCCTCATGGGAAGACGCCTCATTCATCAGTCATCAATTTCCTGAATTTAAGACTTGAGGACAAGTCTCTTTTCAGCGCGGGAATATGTCATGCAGTTCGGGTTTATGGATTCGGATACTGGTAATTCGGGTAATTGGAAGAAAGGGATTAGGTCATGGGACGACGACGTATGGATTAATTGGGGAGAAGGTTGACAGCAACTTCCAGGAAGCTGCTTGTATGCATGAAGACAAAACTCAGCTGCACATGCTCCGCTGGAATTGTACCGTTGCTGTTATTTTTATTTTTATTTTTCCTTTAACGGTTCAGCTAAATTATTATCTGTAAAATGAGGATTAGAAGGAATCTCTACATGTACTAGACTGCAAAAGTGGAGGAGCGATGCAAATTTGAATGGAAATCCTTCTCTTCCCTCATTTCCTTCCCTCTGATTTCTTTTTCTTCCCTTATCGGACTTGCTTCCCCCTCCTTGTTGTTCTTACCCTCTGATCTGAACTCTGAATTCCCCTTTTCTTTATCAATTATCCCCTAAATCATTTATCATACCATCACATTTGGTATCCAGAGCCAAAGAAATTCTTGGACTGTGATATTAAAATGGCCGAAACTAGATCAAAAACTCAGTTATTGGAAGAACATGTCAAGAAACAGGACGTCCAGTTCCTGGAGTTAGAAAAACAAATGGCAGAAAGATAACAACAGATCGAAGAAAAGATTACAAATTGGGGTACTTTAATGGAGTCAAAAATCGAACACCAAGCAATGCAGTTCTCGGTTCAGATCTCAGTCCTCAGTACTCAGATTGCTGGTTTGGCACAGATGATTAAGGAGAGTAAGGCCGAAGGAAAACCAGAGTCTTCAAATCTGAGTAAGTCTCCTATATTGCCTAACCCATCTGGAATTCCTAAGGTTAATTTAGAAGATGAATCTTCTAGTCCCTGGAGGGATAAGAATGGAAGGAACAACTGGATGATTCAGCCAAGGTCAGAGCTTTCAAATTTTGTGGGTGAAAATCCGAGAGATTGGTTAAGAAAATGTGATAAATACTTTAACATCTATAATATCTCTGATAAGGATAAAATGGAAGCGATTGAACTCTATTAGGGGGGCAAAGCAGATACATGGTACCAAAGTTTGAAAAGAGTCAAAGGAAATATAGCTTGGGCTGATTTTGTACAGGAATTGCAGAAAAGGTTTAGAGAGAAAGGCGAGATGGATGAAATCGAAGAGTTTAATAAGCTACAACAGAAAGGATCTATTTTGGAATACCATGAGAAATTCGAAGAGTTGAAGTCATTAGTTCTATACAAAGATCCTCACTTAACTGAGAGTTACTTCATTTCTAGTTTTGTGAGTGGATTAAAGGAAGAACTTAAACCCATGGTTCGGTTGTTGGAGCCTTCTTCTTTGTTGAGGGCTTTTGAAATTGCCAAAGTTCAAGAGAAGATTTTAGAATTTGCCTTGAAAAGCAGGAATCCATCAACTTTCCAGACCAAAAGTTACTCTCAGAATCCAAGAGCCTTCAATGGTCATAAGAACGCTGAACAAGGAAACAGACGGTTTGGAAATGAAAACTTCAAAAGAGTGGCTCCCCAAGAGATCCAGTATCACAAAAACAACAACCTGTGTTGGAGATGTGGTGAACAGTGGGGTCCAGGGCATGTATGTAAACTGAAACAGGTAAATTTTATTACGGCTGAAGAAGAGGATGATTTAGGCGATCTAAATTGGATTGATGAAGGAACGGAAGGTGCAAGAAACTTAGCAACAGTAACCTCTAATGAGTTAAATTCCATCACTCAATTGGAGGATTGCTTTGCTATAACCTCAGAAGAAAGGAAAATTATAGTTATCCTTGGATATATGGAGAGGGTGTTGGTCAAAATCCTCATTGATACCGGAGCAGTTAAGAGTTTCATCAGCCACGGGTTAGCAACAAGAAAAGTACGCCCTTTTGTTGTAACTGTTGCAAATGGACAGCAAGTTCAGAATGATATGGTTTGTCCTAATGCTAAGTGGGAGATACAACAACATCATTTCCGATTTGATTTAAAGATTATGGAATTGGGGAGTTGGGATCTAATATTGGGAATAGATTGGATGTCATATTTTAGCCCCATACTCTTTAACTTTGAGACTTTTTCCATTCATTTACATAGAAAGGGGGGGATATTCAAGCTGCAGGGTCAATCACTGGAGGATTATGACAGAAAGGAAGCCATTTACAGGAAGAGGCTATATGAGCAGAAAAGATGGGAGTATGAACAAATGAAGGAAAGCCAATTGGAGGAAAGAAGAAGATGGTTCAACAGGTTCAAAAGAAGGAGAACAGATCCTCCAGGGTGGCCAGAAGTGGAAAGTGCAGGCATACTGAGTGCTGTAAGTGTAGAGGAGGTACCAGTTGACATCCTTACAGTTCTTGACATTTTCTCTTATGTTTTCTCTGAGCCAACTAAATTACCACCTGAGAGATCCATTGACCACCAAATTTGTCTAAAACCTAATGCCATTCCTTTTAAACTAAAACCATACAGATATCCCCACTCTCATAAAACTGAAATAGAAAACCAAGTTGATGGATTATTGAAGAAAGGTTTAGTGCAGGAAAGCAACAATCCTTATGCTTCTCCTGCTTTACTAGTTCCAAAGAAAGAAGGGGCTTGGAGACTTTTTACAGACTATAGGCAACTGAATGCTTTAACCATCAAAAGCAGGTATCCAATCCCGATGATAGAGGAATTACTTGATGAACTGTTGGGGGCAAAATACTTCTCAAAAATTGATTTACTAGCAGGATATCATCAAATCAGAGTTAGAAAAGAAGATGTTCCTAAAACTGCTTTTCAAACACATCATGGCCATTTTGAGTATTTAGTTATGCCATTTGGTTTAACTAATGCTCCTGCAACCTTTCAAGCCTTAATGAACCAAATTTTTAAACCTCATCTTAGAAAATTTGTCCTTGTTTTCTTTGATGACATACTGATATACAGCCTTAGTTTGGAGGAACATGTTTCACATCTAGCAATGGTGTTACAAACCTTAAAAGACCATGAACTATTTGCCAAAAGAAGTAAATGCTCCTTTGCTCAAAGATCCATGGAGTATTTAGGTCACATCATATCAGATAAGGGGGTAGATATGGATGCTTCTAAGGTCCAATGTATTCAACAGTGGCCAATACCCAGTTCTGTGAAGGAGTTGAGAGGATTCTTAGGGCTGGCAGGTTATTACAGGAGATTTGTGAAAGGTTTTGGGGTCATTTGCAAACCTTTAACTAATCTGCTCAGAAAGGATGCCTTCCAATGGAGTCCTGAGGCCACACAAGCCTTTAATCAATTGAAGGTATCCTTAATTAATGCACCTGTATTACAGCTACCTGATTTTAGTCAGCCCTTTATAGTAGAAACAGATGCTTGCAATGATGGAATGGGAACAGTGTTGATGCAACAAGGGAAACCTATAGCTTATCCTAGCAAAGCTTTTTCTCCCAGAAACAAAGGCTTGTCCATTTATGAAAAGGAACTCTTAGCTCTTGTGATGGCTATTGATAAATGGAAGCATTATTTACAAGGGCATCATTTTGTGATCAAAAGGGATCACCAGGCTCTCAAATATTTATTAGAGCAGAAGTTGAACAATGCTATGCAACACAAGTGGCTTTCTAAACTGGTTGGGATGGATTATGAAATCCATTACAAAAAGGGTAAGGATAATATAGCAGCAGATGCTCTCTCCAGGCTGCAAACATCCATTCATGATGAAGTTTTGAGTGCCATTTCTGTGGTAAGGCCCCTTTGGATGCAACAAGTGGAAGAGAGCTATGAAGAGGATGAGGAGGCTCAACAGTTGATAGCTTCAGCAACTCTGAATCCCTCTAATGATTCTGAATTGCAATATGTGAATGGCATCTTGAAGTTGCATGGCAAAATCTATATTGGAGCAAAAGCTGATCTCAGGAAATTGCTTATTGAAACTTTCCATGCTTCACCTTTGGGAGGCCATTCTGGCCAAAAGGCTACCTTACAGAGGCTGAAATCCACCTTCACTTGGAAGGAGATGAGACAACAGGTGGAGGAATTTGTCAGACAATGTAGTGTTTGTCAGATGCACAAGCCTGAACATCTCCCTTATCCTGGTTTGTTGCAACCTCTTAACATTCCTCAACAAGCGTGGAAGTAAATCTCTATGGATTTCATTGAGAAACTCCCTCCCTCCACTGAGAATTATGATTCCATACTGGTGGTAGTAGACCGACTCACCAAATATGGGCACTTTATTCCATTAAAACACCCCTACACTGCCAAGACTATTGCTGAGGTTTTCTTTCAAGAAATTTTTCGCCTGCATGGAGCTCCTGATTCTATTGTCAGCGATAGAGACCGCATTTTCACAAATCACTTTTGGCAGCCACTATTTAAGAATATGGGAGTCAAGTTACAAATGAGCCGCGCATACCACCCTCAAAGTGATGGCCAAACTGAGAGGTTGAATCAGTGTTTGGAGACATACTTGATGTGCTTTTGCAGCAGCAAACCAAGCATCTTGGTTGAGTCTAGCCGAATGGTGGTACAATACATCGTTTCAATTCAGTGCTAGGATGACACCCTTTGAAGCACTATATGGAACTCAGCCTACAAGTATTCCCCTTGGACCCTATACTTCTATCATCATTCCAGCAGTGGAGAACATGTTAGAGCAAAGGAGTGGTGTACTGAAGCTATTGAAGGATAATTTTGAAAAGGCACAGTTCCGGATGAAATTTTATGCAGATCAGCACAGGACTGAAAGGACTCTAAATGTTGGCGATTGGGTTTATGTCAAATTGCAACCTTACAGGCAGTCTTCTTTGGCTCTGAGATCATGTCTGAAACTGATGGTAAGGAACTTTGGACCTTTTAAGATCGTGGAGAAGATAGGCAATGTTGCCTATAAACTGCAATTACCTGATCACTCTAAGATACATCCAGTATTCCATGTGTCTCAGCTGATAAAACATAATGGATCAAGGCCAGTGATTCCAGTAGAGTTACCTGATCTGGAAGATGAAGCCAACATCTCTCTTGTTCCTGAATCTGTGCTACAAAGGAGGATGATCAGAAGAGGTGATCAAACTATCACTCAATGGTTGATCAAATGGAAATACTTGCCATCAGAAGACTCCTCATGGGAAGACGCCTCATTCATCAGTCATCAATTTCCTGAATTTAAGACTTGAGGACAAGTCTCTTTTCAGCGCGGGAATATGTCATGCAGTTCGGGTTTATGGATTCGGATACTGGTAATTCGGGTAATTGGAAGAAAGGGATTAGGTCATGGGACGACGACGTATGGATTAATTGGGGAGAAGGTTGACAGCAACTTCCAGGAAGCTGCTTGTATGCATGAAGACAAAACTCAGCTGCACATGCTCCGCTGGATTTGTACCGTTGCTGTTATTTTTATTTTTATTTTTCCTTTAACAGCTCAGCTAAATTATTATCTGTAAAATGAGGATTAGAAGGAATCTCTATATGTACTAGACTGCAAAAGTGGAGGAGCGATGCAAATTTGAATGAAAATCCTTCTCTTCCCTCATTTCCTTCCCTCTGATTTCTTTTTCTTCCCTTATCGGACTTGCTTCCCCCTCCTTGTTGTTCTTACCCTCTGATCTGAACTCTGAATTCCCCCTTTTCTTTATCAATTATCCCCTAAATCATTTATCATACCATCACATTTGGTATCCAGAGCCAAAGAAATTCTTGGACTGTGATATTAAAATGGCCGAAACTAGATCAAAAACTCAGTTATTGGAAGAACATGTCAAGAAACAGGACGTCCAGTTCCAGGAGTTAGAAAAACAAATGGCAGAAAGATAACAACAGATCGAAGAAAAGATTACAAATTGGGGTACTTTAATGGAGTCAAAAATCGAACACCAAGCAATGCAGTTCTCGGTTCAGATCTCAGTCCTCAGTACTCAGATTGCTGGTTTGGCACAGATGATTAAGGAGAGTAAGGCCGAAGGAAAACCAGAGTCTTCAAATCTGAGTAAGTCTCCTATATTGCCTAACCCATCTGGAATTCCTAAGGTTAATTTAGAAGATGAATCTCCTAGTCCCTGGAGGGATAAGAATGGAAGGAACAACTGGATGATTCAGCCAAGGTCAGAGCTTTCAAATTTTGTGGGTGAAAATCCGAGAGATTGGTTAAGAAAATGTGATAAATACTTTAACATCTATAATATCTCTTATAAGGATAAAATGGAAGCGATTGAACTCTATTTGGGGGGCAAAGCAGATAATGAGACCGCTCCATTAGCTCAGCGGTACGTATTTTCAGTTCAAAATAACTCAATGTTTATTTCTATTTGTTTTTTATTCATTTTTTTTACTAATTCAAATGTACCCTTTTGTTCATTAAAGTGGGAATGTAGGTATACCTACGGAGACGCCCCAAGGAGCAGCACCCCACCTTTTAGAGATCAATTAACAAGCCTGCGTGTTGAAGATGTAAGTACTTGTAATTTGGTATTTATATTTACTTTGAATTTCTTTTTGTTCTGGTTATACCATCTAATGAAATTCTTTTCGTGCAGTTTCGGTGGCAACCATATGCACAGGTCCTTCATAGACTCCCTGATTTCTATACACAAGGCTAAGCCATTTGGACGACCAGGTGTTGGATGTTCTGTTGGGCTATTAGGGAACCCCATGAGTTGGGCAGAGTTGTGAGACAATTTGGATACATACAGGATGTTCCCAAGCGCCCTATGATTAAAGATAACGCAGCATTCCTTCTCGATCAAGCCCACAGTATGTCTGAGTATCCTAGCAATAATTGGGTGGACCACCATTCCGCAATACGTCGTCATTAGAATAGGAGAGAAGAGTACGTGCTACGAGATTTGGAGGAAGGAGACTCTGGCTCCGTATATGAGGGGTACTATGAATGGTTCATGGTGAATACTGTAAGACTGATATCCAATCCCAAAAATTATGAACCTCAAGGATACGAGACTTCTTCGAACCGAGTGAAATTATATGTGAGTTCATTTTATATTTTTTTATTATTTCTTATGTTTTTATTTTTTTAAAATTTTTTTAGAATTTCACTCTCTTAATTAACGTCCCAATTTCTTTTCAGGGTGAAGTATTGAACAACATTCGCGTGAGTACCGAGAAGTTTAGAGAAAAACAAGAAGATGAGAATCTCCTAGACGAAGAACTCGACAAACATTTGGCTGATATCATCAATCAAACACATGATGCTTTAACCCTGGGTGCAAATGATGAGATAGAGGTGGAGGATACCCAAATCCTGGTTGATGAAGATCCATCTTTGCCCTCACAACCTCCGCCGGGTAAAAAAGCGAAACCGTGGTCGAGAGATAAGATTGGAGGAGGAAGAAAGAGGAAGGTCCCAATCCCCCCTCGGACATCGCAACAACAAACTGAGGGTCAACAAAATGAGGATCAAGCACATTCTTCTCGAGGCTCGCGCATCCAGGTCGAGACTCAATTTGAAGACATTGATAGACCCGAGACTCAGTTTGACCTTGGTTGACCCGAGACTCAGTTTGACCTTGGTGGACCCGAGACTCAGTTTGGTGGACAGTCGCAACCACAACCAGGAGTCAAATTTCTCACCATGGGGGAGTCCCAATCCCAACCCCAACCTGAGGCTCAGTTTGGTGGACAGTCACAACCACAATAGAGTTCAATACTCACGTATCTTAAGAGGGGAGACAGGATCCGGCAGGGCCCAAATAAATACACTCCGGATGCGCACAATAAAGAAAAAGAGAAAAAATGAGACCTTTGATGTATTTTGCACATTTAAAGTAGTTTTTGCATTGATTTTGGTATGAAACTTGATTTGTTTTGTTGTTAATCGAATGTCGTTTATTGTTTTGTTGCCATTAAATTTCTGTTTTCCAATGTTTCATTGTTGTTGGTGCTGTAAACAGGTTTAGGACTGGTTAAAACCAGTCCAATTTTTTTTTCAGTTCTGACATAGACTCGGATTTGCGAAATCCGAACTCAGACTTTTTGTAAAAGATTCGAATTTCGTAAATCCGAATATGTAGCCAACTGAGAGTTAGCATTTTTCAGATAACAGAGGAGACTCGGATTTCGGTAATCCGAATCTACATTTATTCGGATTACTGTGGTCCGAGTTTTCCCAAATTTAATTTTTCAACACATATTTTTTTCTATCCGGAAATTAATATTTTATTCGTAAATACAGATTTAGATTAATTACACTAATTTTTGTCATTAACTTAATATCATATTTACGTAACACAAAGTCGAATTTCTATAATCCGAGTTTAGAGAGGTTCGGATTTCCGAAATCCGAGTTTATCCCCCATTCGGATTTCCTAAATTCGGGACATATAAGTTTGTCCACAAAATTTTTGAAAGGTTTATTTTTGTCCAAGTATATATAAGGAAATATATTTAAGGAAAAAATTCCTAAATGTTTATTACATAGTACATATTTTAGTAACTGAGCTACTAAAATGGATATATAGACCAAGTACTAACACAGTGCAGTTTAAAACGACACATAAATTAATTCCTTCAATTGCAGTTGAATAAATTCCTTCACAAAGAAAAAAAAATGAAGAAGAAAAGCCATTTAATTAATTAAAAAAAAAGGTAGGCTCGACAGGTGTTGTTATTAAGTTATGCAAAGGAGTAGGAAACTAGCCAAGTGTTGGTTAGTAAAAGATAGTGAGCAATTGTTATTGGTATAATACGGCCGCCAGATTCCTTGCTTGGATGTTGCAACTTGCAGCTTTGTAACTTCCAGGAATCTAAGAATACCTACCGATAAAGTAAAGTTGGGTGATTTGAGGCTGTGATTAGATTGAATCTCATACCATAAATTTCGACGCAAATTTTTTTATCGTCTTTCAATAAAACCCCAAAAAAGTCCCAATAATTTACAATCTGTTCAGACTTCAGAGCATGAGGCTTTGATGCAGTGATGAATGTTAGGCTATTTGATTCATGTGAAGGAGGGGGGGAATATGGGAATGCGGCAAAACACGTGAATTCCCGCAACAAAACTGTGGAATTTGCATGTCTTTGTGACCTTAAGAGGCAACACGACACTGACTAAATTTGAATGAATTAATGAATACTTACAAAAGCCTTCATTTCACCGATGTCAATTCTCCTAATCTAACCCGTACGTCCTGATGTAATTTACATCAACATCGCCACGTGTTAGCTTTCATACCAGCGAAGAAAAGACTAACTATCTATGTTTTAATTAGCAAGGTCAAATCACAGATTATATATGTTTTTTATTCAGAATCAATTGACAATCAGTAAAGTAAAAACTTGGAGAAATTCTACATGGAATGAAGCGCAAGTTTGAATTTGCCATGTAAAACACTTACACAATACATTTTACACGAGAAGGTTTTGTAATTGAACAATCAGTGAAATTTGAACCGAACTTTATAACGTAGAGACTCCGATATAACGTGGAGACTTCGACATATCCGTCATCCTCCCATTCGTGCATAATGTTAGTAGCAGCAGTTCACAGTTCCTTATTTCCTTGCTGGTGCCTTATCGGTCTTGTTTGGACAACTTAAATTTTATTATTTTGTCTCATTTTACCTCTTAAATCATATCTCAAAACCAAATCAAAAACTAAAACAAAAACAAAAACAAAAAAATGTTGGCCACACAAGCCCTTAACATTTCTTCTTTTCATTCACTATGCTTAGAACATTTATGTTTGGATATTTTTTCCGTGTGTAAATTTAGGTATTACTTGTATTGAACATGTGAAAAGATATATCTGGATGAGACATTTATTAATAGACAATTATTAAAAAAGAAATAAAAAAAATCATCAAAAGAAACTTCCAAACAGAATTTCCACAAATAAATACACGTCCCTTCAAAGCTGTTAAAAGCCATGCATAGAAGAATCACAGCTAGCTAATGCAGAAATTCCAGCACCGGAACAATAGTTGTTGGGACAACACTGTTAAGGAGTTTCGAAATGTATCAAAATAATACGGAGTATGTCGAGCTCAGCTCAACAAGTTTTGTAGTATATGGAGAAAACGATGTGCGGAGGACAGAACTTGATTTGACTGAACATTAAGTGATTGTGATATGGGGAGAGGTCGAATCACGCATGCGAATAAAATTGCGATTCCGATGCTACAAAGTAGTAATTTGAAACGAACAAATTAATCTTCACTTCAAAGTTACAACAGTTACGTTAGTTAATTTAGATCGTCGCATCTTAGGAAACCTTTGTACACAGAATGTGTGTAATAGAAGTAACAGGTCACCGCTCGCGTAAATATTTGTCTCGTAAATTGGGTGAGACCGCCAACCGTGACATCCGAATGTGCCGTCCTGCCAACAGGATTATGCACAATCATGAAATGTAATTTGGTCACATTATTTATATCTAATAATTTATAAGTTTAAATTAAGATAATGTTGAAATAGAAAGAGCCCTCGAGGAGCATTGGTTAATGGTTATCCAGTTGAGGTTATCTCCTTAGCTTGCTTCTTCCACAGCATTTCTTAAGGTCATACTCAGATACTACTAAAGCAGTAAGCACCTGGTCCTAAAAACATCATAAGATTGGAGAACAGAAATCTGAAATATCATAAATGAAACAAACAAAACCATGTGCGCAATTTCGATTTTAGACCAAATACTTCACCATTTTCTGAATCCGCCATATGACTCCAAAAAAATTAACCGGGAAACAAAAACGTTTGTGGTGTCTTGCAAGCCGAAAACAGTGATATTTCCACATTACAACAAAAAACATACTATATATAAACAGATACAAATATAACCACAATTAGCATCAGGGGAAAGGGGAAAAAAACAGAAAAGCATTCAAAAATTAAAAAAAAAAAAAAAAAACATTATAAATGGAGGAAAGCAGTAGCGAGTTACAAAGCCGATGCTATGAAGAATGGATGAAGCTACAAGAACAAGAACTCTCCGAGCTCCTTGAGGCCATACATGGTGACCATTCAAACGAAGAAAACAGCAAAACTCGGTTGCTGAATCTTATCCAGAATTGCCTACAACACTTCCGAGATTATAGCAAGAGGCGGAATGAACTTGCTGCTTCAGATGTTTCCCCTTATTTTGCTCCAAATTGGTGTTCCACCTTAGAAGGATCCATGCTCTGGATCGGTGGATGCAGACCCTCCATGTTCATCCGGCTTCTGTACGCGAAAATTGGGAAAGAAATTGAATCGGGTCTTGAACAACAGGCAAAACTTGGGGGTGTTTCGGCTACGCAAATGTGTTTGATTAACAGTTTGCAAGCAGAAATCATCAAGGAAGAAGATAAGTTGTCGGCGAAACTAACGAGTTTGCAAGAAGACCTGGCTGACCAGCCAATTGCTCTAATTGCAGATGATGAGAATTCACACAGGGAAGAGAATAACAGAATCGCGGATGAAGCGCTGGATAATCATGCGGAATCTACAGTGAAATTGCTTGAAGAAGCGGATGAGTTGAGGATTCGTACACTTAAGGAGCTAATTCTGGGTATATTAAGCCCTCTCCAAGCTGTGGAGTTTCTGGCTGCAAGCAAAAAGCTTCGCCTCTGTATTCGTGAATGGGGAAGAAGAAGAGATAATCGCCATGGCAGGAACATGACTGATAACAGCTGATGATCCATTGAAGATCTTCTCTTCAATTGTAGCCCAGTTCATAAATTGATTAGCTAGCTGTTTTGGTCCCCTTAATTTCTGGGTTTTTTTCACTAATTAAGAAACCAAGTGTTCCTTTTCCTGTGTTTTGAAGTTTTAATCATTGTTTTGTTTTGTCCAAGAGTTAAAATCTTAATAAGAAATGTAAAATACTTTTTCAAGATGTAAAATTGTTGAATTGTTTTAGTTCGATCTGTATTACGCTACAATTCCTCAAAAGGCGTGTGAGTGATTTGTAAGTTAAAACTACCTTCCAATAGTCAGCAATGGTTCACAAGAAGAAGCTAATGCAATTGGTGAACCATTCATTTTTCTCATTATTCTCGGGGGACACAAATAATGTAGCGCCACAACATAAACAAGTTGTAATTGTTTTTAACAACGAAATCAAAGAAAAATATGTGGTGTATTCCACTAATTAAGTTGTCCACCTCGCATTCCTGAGGATAAATTAGGCTAATTATATCAATATAGTACCTAAATTTAAATTCACATGCACGCAGAGGAAATGAAACATAAGCTCTAGTTAATATAAGGAGGGAGTTGTGGCTGATAAATGTCCAATGGCTTCTCACTAAAATTTCTAAGAAGATGCTTCTTATATATTTACCTAAGACCAAGTTTCTAGCTTGGCTGTTGTTGGCAGGCCAAAACCAGAAGTATTTTCTTGTTATAACCTTCCATAAAAAATGCGAACCTGAAGCAAGAAAATCTCTTCAAGCCTCTTTTAGGGCACCTTGGTTTTACCAGCCTCTGGCCCCTTGATTCTCTTTTTCCATTCCTTCAATTTTTTGCATTCTGAAAATGTTCAGGGTGCAAATGGAATCAAGGTCTCATTAAAAAAGCAAATAAAAGAGATAGAATTTCTATCTCAGAAACAATACACACACACACACACAAAAGATTGTGCATTTTGATTCAGAGTTTATACTTTCTCTCCATCTTTTTTTCTAAATGAAAGGAAAGGAAGGAAAAATGGAGAAGAACGGGACCATTTTGATGCAGAAGTATGAGCTTGGGAAATTATTAGGTCAAGGGACCTTTGCAAAAGTTTACCATGCTAGAAACCTAAAAACGGGGATCAGCGTTGCTATCAAGATCATCGACAAAGAGAAGGTGCTTAAAGTTGGCTTGATGGATCAAATCAAGCGTGAAATTTCTGTGATGAGGCTAATCAAACACCCCAATGTTGTCCAGCTCTACGAGGTCATGGCTAGCAAAACTAAGATCTATTTCGCCATGGAATTTGTAAAAGGTGGGGAGCTCTTCAATAAGGTTGCCAAAGGCAGGCTCAAAGAAGATGCAGCTAGGAAATATTTCCAACAACTGATGGCTGCTGTCGATTTTTGTCATAGCCGCGGGGTGTATCACCGCGATCTGAAGCCTGAAAATCTCCTTCTGGATGAGTTTGGAAATTTGAAGGTGTCGGATTTTGGATTGAGCGCGCTGCATGAGTCTAGAAGGACAGACGGACTTCTTCATACGACATGTGGAACGCCTGCCTATGTCGCCCCAGAAGTTATTAACAAGAGAGGTTATGATGGCGAAAAGGCCGACATTTGGTCATGTGGGGTGATCTTGTTTGTGTTGCTTGCTGGTTATCTTCCATTTCATAATACAAATTTAATGGAAATGTACAAGAAGATAAGCAAGGGTGAATTCAGGTGTCCTCAATGGTTCCCTCCTGAGGTCAAGAAGCTGTTGTCAAGAATTCTTGATCCGCATCCTTGTTCAAGAATTACCCTGGATAAGATCATGGAAAATAGTTGGTTCAGAAAGGGATATAAACAAATTGAACTGCCAGATGCTTATCTAGATGAGGATGAGGAGGAGGAGGAGGAGGTGATTAAGTCTGCGGATACTGAATCCCCGAGATGCATTTTGGATGTTCATGACATAACTGAATCAGAATCCGAAGGAAGTCATCATAAAAAGGAAGAAACCAGTTCATCAAAGGCTACCACCATGATGAAGCCAACCTGCTTGAATGCTTTTGACATTATATCTCGCTCAGAAGGATTCGATTTATCTGGCCTATTTGAGAAAGATGTTGATTACAAGGCAGGATCTCAATTTACTACAACAATGCAACCATCAACGATCGTGGCAAAACTAGAGGAAATAGCAGCAATGGATAGTTTTAAGGTAAAAAAGAAAGACGGAACGGTCAAATTACAAGGGAACAAAGGAGGGAGGAAAGGAATGCTTGCAATTGATGCAGAGATCTTTGAGGTCACTCCTTCACTTTACGTAGTGGAGTTGAAGAAGAAGGCTGGAGATACAATGGAATACAGGAAATTCTGTGATCAAGAACTGAGGCCTTCACTGAAAGACATGGCTTCGACTTTGCAGGGTAGTACCAGCAAAGATCAACAACAACCAGCTTCCTGATATCTTTGTTTTCAATCACACCCGAAGAAGTAAAGGGAAGTTCCAGTTCCTTTTTACTCTTTGGAAGATTATTTGTGGGAGTAGTATTGTTTTAGTTGCTGCAGGTTTCTTTCATGTGCAATGAATGATAATAGTGATCTCTTAAAAGCTAGAGGTAGGAGTACAATGTTGTGGTGATATCATTAACATGAGTATCCAAATCATGTTGTGAAGGAATAAACTTCTAATCATCTTCCTGGTAAACTGTTCTAACTAATTATCTGCTTCAGCAAGTGCTTTTGTCAATGTCTGCAACACCTTTAAAGATCCTTCAGATTCTTTAAAGTTTGACCAAGATCACTTCTCTGTACATCTCCTAAGTTGTTCCAAAATAAAGAAAAATTTAAAATTTTAAAAAATTAAATGATCCCACAATCAAACTGCTATACCAACCTGTTTTGACCAAAGTGTAAATGAGAAAAGATTTTAAGTAAACAATCGTAGGTATTTGTCATAGTAGATTAATCTTATATTATTTTTGGTCTCTGGTTGTTTTTATATGATGTTGAATTCTACTCTTGTTCTTTATGGAACAGTTGTAGAAATAGTTTTACTTCACTGTCGGGACGGCATCATCGATTGTGACTGTATGTAAGCATTAGTGCTTTTCCAGTTATAACCAAAGTTGGCATACAAATAGATTATTTGGTAATGACTCTTCGCCTTGTCCAGCGCAGCTAGCCCGGCGCCCAGCGTCCAGCCACAGGCCAGCGCTCAGGCTTAATAATGTCTCGACCCGGCGGTCAAAATGAACTCTCTTCACTATAAAATGTTAGAAGCAAGTAACGGAAAGTTTCTGAAACTCTTCCATAATGACATTACTCAGAAATCAAAGTAGGACAGGAGCAACTTAAAATCCAAACGAGGGTCATTGCAGCCTTTCAATGCCATCTGCCTGAGATCCCTTAAAATCTCTACGCATATAATAAAACAAAGACACCCCGAAACTTTAATCAAGAAATGAACATAAAAAGGCAATTCATCACTCGAGGTTAAGAAATGCTTTGATATTGTTTCTTTGACAATAAGGATCCAAAATAAGAACAAAAAGATGCCAACTGGAAACAGTTCCATTATAGCCTTAAGTGGCACATTAACCCCACCATATTGGCAACTATTAAGTCCACACAACTAGCAAGTTGCCAGGGGAAGAGAGGAACACCAGTCTCAACAGACTCATCGCATGGTAACACGCTTATATAATATAAACTGCTAGTCCCACTTTTTAAGACATCATATATTATACACGGGAAAGTGTTACATGGATTTAGTATCAAAGGTAAGTTCGAAAAGAGGAAAGAATACATAAATTCAAATATTTATCTCACTTCCAAAGTATATGCAATGGTTATAAATCATCAGAGGTATCACTGCGACATGCAATCCTAGCTGCCCAGTTAAGAGTGTGTCTTAATGCCTAATGGGAGCCTTGCTGTCTTAGTAGTGTCTAGAACTACCGAAGATTGATCAGCAAGAGCACAGGAAAAGAAGTTATGATTCAAAGTCTTGCTCTCCTTTTACAGGAAAGGGTAATCTAAATGAAGTTTCCGCATTCATAGGATTATGTTTTACTCAAATTGATATCAATCTATTGAAGTTTGAATCAACTTGAAGTTTATCATATGTTCACAGCCGTAAAACTTGTCCACACTAAACTTACGACCAACAAATAAGCCAGCGGATCTCCACAAAAAAAATGTTGTGAAACTAACTGACATCTAAACTAAGATTTGCTATGACAACAAAGATAGGAAAGTACATCTGATTTTAACAGACATCTAGAAGAAGATCCCTAAATCTTCCACTGACAACATAAATAGCCAACAATTTAGCGCCGAAACGTAGGTGGATAGAACTTTAACACGTGCAGCATGTTATACGAAACCACTTTAGTTCCATTAGGCCCTGAACGGTGCACCAAAAGAAACAGGGGTGCAAGTATTTGAAGGATGGACATATATGTATTTATCAAGTTCAAGACCAACTATAATGCCTGACATCTGCTTCATTCGATAATATAGCTTTCCAAATTGGACGGTCAGACTTAACTCAGGTTGCACAGAACATGGCAAAATTCATGCGTACAGATATTCAAAAGTTTCCTTCAAGGACCAATAACCACGGGAACAAGTATGCAGAAGGTACTAAAAACAACAAACCAATACTATAAGGTACAAAATAAAGTTCATTCTTCTGCATTCTTAAGTCAATAAAAAGAAGACAAACATGTAAATGGGATGCAATACTAGAAAACATCTCGCTATAACTAATTCCATTTACTAAAACTGGAAATTAAAGGATTCTTACTGCATTACCAACAGGCACACAAAGTTCATTGACAGTAAACTCAGGTGTCTAAGAAAACTTCAGTTGCTCGGATGTGCTCTATTAGGTCAGAAAAAAACAAACAAAGTTACAAGGGATCGATTCATTTCATAAACTGAGACTAGGATATCAAAACACATGGGAAATTTGATGTCATTAACTCTACAACTGCGTTTCTCAACTTCTACATCATTAACATTGCCTACAGATACAAAGGGGAAACACAAGGTTACTCAAGTTTCTTCATTAGAAACGGAATAAAGAAAATGAAATACTTATGGTACAAAAGCTAAGATATCGCCAAAAGAACAGCGAAGAAAAAACAGAAAAGTATCTTATCTGCCTACTCAGTATCTGATGGCAAAGCATGATCTTCTACCATTAAATTTTGCAATCCAGGTTTTAGTTCCCGATTACAAAAGTCTTCATATTCTCCTTTGTCGCCTCCTTTCTTCTTCACTTCCACAACTCTCAATGAGGGCGTCAATTCAAATATCTCAGCTGCAATCGTTAATGGGCCCTTAGCACCTTCCCTCGACCCCTCCAAACTTACTCTACAATCCTTCTTCCTCACCGTAAAACTAACAACTTTGGCAATTTCTTCCAACTTGGATATAATCTTCGGCACAGGAGCACCGGATACAAACCTTGCCCCATCAGTTCCTTCCTCAAACAACCCAGACAAATCAAAACCACTTGAGAATGAGATGATATCAAATGCATTCAAGCTAGCTGGCCTAGGCATACTTGCCAATTTTCTCCTAGTTTGTATTTCAGAATCTGACTCAGACAATGACTGATCAGACTCAAATCCACTATTGTTATTCTCATTCTCACCTAAGCTCACCTCATCATGTACACTGCACATCTTATCATCCTCAATATAGAATTTCACATGTTTAAACCCCTTCTTAAACCATCTATTTTCCATTATCTGTGGAATTGTAATTCTAGTTTCAGGATTTGTATCAAGAATTCGAGACAAAAACCGAGACAATTCAGGTGAAAACCATCTGGGGCACCTAAACTCACCTTTATAGATCTTCTTATACATAGCCATAACATTCTGATCGTGAAAGGGTAAATACCCGGCCATCAACACAAACAAAATCACCCCACATGACCAAATATCAACTTTAGCTGCATCATAACCTTTTCTAGCCAAAACCTCGGGAGCCACATAAGCTGGAGTTCCACAGAAAGTATGAAAAAGACCATCTTGCTTAATTTGTTCAGATATAGCACTAAGCCCAAAATCAGACACTTTAAGGTTCCCATCCTCATCCAGCAAAATATTTTCAGGCTTAAGATCCCTATGATACACACCACGAGCATGACAGAAAGCTACAGCAGAAATCAATTGCTGGAAATATTTTCTAGCTACCTCTTCCTTAAGCCTCCCTTTGGCAACCTTATTAAAAAGCTCCCCACCCTTAACATATTCCATAACAAAGTAGATCTTAGACTTGGTAGCCATTACCTCAAACAATTGAACAATATTAGGATGCCTTACTCTTCTCAAGATGGAGATCTCTCGCTTGATGTGTGCAATCAGCCCAATTTTCAAAATCTTCTCTTTATCAATAATCTTGATGGCTACATTCTCACTCGTCTTGATGTTTTTAGCGTGATACACCTTTGCAAAAGTACCGTGCCCCAACAATTTCCCGACCTCGTATCTCCCCAAAATCAAACCTTGTAATTCCTTCTTGTTGCTGCTCAAACTCCTTGTTGGAGCCATGGTTGTCGTCCCGGTTGTTTGAGTGGCTGCTGCTGCCATAATAAAAATGGGAGACGGAGTTCAAAAGGGTCGGCAAATAAGGAGTTATTTGGTTTGAAATTCGGAATTATATTTGAAACTTTGGAGGCAGCGGTGAGGCCATGGTGGTGGAAAAGGGATGGGTTTCTTGTGAGCAATCAACTTCTGGAGCTGTATTTTTTCTGTCTTTTTTTCAGATGGCAACTTTTTATTAATTTTAATATTTTATTTATTGTTGGAAGATTGTGAGGTGTAAATGCAGCGGCTGGCAATGATTGTAGAGAAATAATAAATTTCTTTTCCCCCACTGAAAATAATTTAATTTTCTGATATTTTTTACAGCTGGAAACTTTTTTAATTTCTTTACCTTTGACTGTAACGGCTGTTTTACAAAAAAAAAATAATAATAATAAAATTTCGGGATTCTCAGATACTCCGAATTTCTATTTTTTTTTCCTTGAAGAATCAATGGAAATCAGAACCGATTCCACTCCTATTATGACGATAAAAGAATAAAGAATGTCGAAAACTTTTTACTTTATTGATGAAAAGTAGGAAAAAATAAAATAAAATCAATGATCAATCATAATTATAGGGAGAATGAAAATAGAAATAGCCCCTTTTGTTTTTGGAAAGAGAACAAGAAAGGTAGGGTGGGTAGATGAAGAATACGATGAATGTACGTTGTATAATGGTAGCAAAATCTGAGAGTTTAACAATCACTGATACAAATCGAATCTCAATTATATTGCTACGAATATAGAGAGAGCAATGCAATTAATACCCTTTCTTGCAAAAAACAAAAACAAAAGTTGAGATTTTTATTTTTTTTTTCCTCTCAAATATTGAACAAATCACTTGTGGTATTTGGAATTTGGAGTTGCTTTCTCTCAAATCTCAAAAGAGTAAAAAAAACAACACCAAATACCACAGGTAAATGGCCTCACACTATACACATATATATACGTAAGACACTTGTTCTAAATGCAATACCTAACATATTTATAGGGAATTCTAAGCTGACTGATCAAATCACCCAAGGAATTAAATAACTTTTGGCCTTGTTAATTTTCATTATCTTGTGACTTGGATTTGCGCAAAGATCATGTTTTGGTTTACTGTTCTAACTTTTGCCACGTCTTGTATACGTTTGCACATTATCCATTTTTCTCAATCACCGACTACAATAAAGTATATACATATATACAATTTAATTAACATTACTAAATGCATTTGAAATATTTAAATGATTCATAAATTTATTAATCTTCAAGATCCTTGATGGTTTTTGTTTCAGTGAATCCTTTGCATGCATTTGTCATATGCCAATAATACATAAGATCGTATTTTACTGCACATGGTAAAGATTATAATACTAACGTATGGAGTTAGGGGATGAGCAAGTGCAGTTGCGCTTCTTGATTTTTCACTATTAGTAAAGGTAAGTTAAACTGATGAGCAATTTATTTTTGTAACTTACTTTTAAAATATTGTATTGTTATTATTGTTTTTGTGAATCTCGCAACTTTTTCGTAAAATTCTTAACTTACCCACTGAATTTTTTTAAAAAAGTATTTTTTTTTCACTATTTATCTTTTATTATTTAATTTTGATTATATATGGTACTTTTTTTTTTAGGAAAAATATAATTTCATTAATTTGTTGGAAATCGTCCAACTACGTTTGACATTACAAAGAAACAGTCTAAAACATAACTCACAACCTCTATTACATCTTCTATTACAATCACATTGTTGTGTTTGATAAATCTATACAGATTTAACCTAGTCACCGCTGGACATATCACGTATCGGATTCTAGACCTGGTTACGATTATATCACTAGTTATCATATGAAAGCCCCAATTTATAAATTTAATAAATAAATTTATATTGACTGAATTTTTTCGAACGATGCAAAGCAAACTCGCGAACATCACCAACAAGGTCACGAACCATGCCATAAACAAACAAACTATACCATCAACTTGTAGATTGAGACCAATCTACCGGAGGAACTATAACGAAACGAACCCTTCTCTCTCAATAGACTATAATTTATTGAAGGAACAAAATTTTAATGAAAAAGAGAGAAATAATATTGTTTATTAAATAATAAAACTAAAATTGTGCTTATAAAAGTAGAATCAAAATTATTTCTCTCATTTCCTCATGGTGAGAAGATGGGGGAAGATTGTTTTTTGGGAGATAGGGTTTAACAAAAAGAGAATAATACTCCTTATTTATTATATATGGCACTTGGTAATATTAACGTACATGAAACTTAGATTAAAAATCAAGTAGGATAAACTCATCTTTCAAGTGAAGTTGCCCTCAATTTATAATAAAATATGATTTTTTTTTCTTTTAACAATAAAGGAGGCAAATGAAATATCTGAAATATAAACGATGACAGCACGTTGATAAGAAACACCAACAACATTATGTTGTAATCATAGAAATAAATCGACAGTGAATCATCCAACCTCAACAAATTACCCGGACTAGATGAACTTAACTTGGGTAACGAATCGGGTACAAAATTTTTCTCTCCGAAATATGTGTTTCAACTCCACCGACCACCCCACTTTAGCTACTCACGAATCGTCATCACTAAACTCCGATTCATACCAATAACTTCGATTAATAGAATATGATGTTAATTAGGTGCCGTGCTACCTAACTGGGAGGCACGACATTAAGGTTAATTAATTACAATTATTATCAATGATGAATCTTTCAAAATAAATATAAATAAGAATAGAATATCTCAAATTAATATAGCCCCCACGCATTATATATTATTATCGGGGAGCTAATAATAAAGTCAATTATACAGATATTCTTTTTTATTCACGACTCTTAAGTTTGAACAAAAAAAAGAACAATGCTAACTAATGCTTTAATTTGAAGCTTCAAGTAATCAAGTCGGATTGCTAATCAAACAATCGAAGCTGAGTTGTTCTGAAATTAATCGACGCGGTTCGACCAGATCGACTAGCTATCACTTACAATTTCCGGGCTGTATTATGAAGTTTTTATCCGACTGAAATTACAAACTTTCGTGTGTGTGTGTGTGTGGCATAAATTTAGAATTTCATCAGATTGGAAAATTGATCAGAAATTTGATGTAAAGCATAATTTTCTTTGGGCGGTGAGGCTAGTTTACTTGTTTTAATTGGCAACAATTAAGAAATTACTAGAAACATCTGCACCACAAGTTTCATCATCTAATTCAAAATCTTAAAATCACACCTACGTGTTCTCACATCAAAAGTCTGATCAACAACTCTTTTTTCTTTTCTTTTTTTTCTTTCTATCACTTTTAAGAATAAAATTATTAGTAGATTTACATGATTATAAATAAAGAAAAAAAAAATTCAAAGAAAACTTAAGATATAGCGCGGGCGGGTGACGGAAATTTTCAAACTATTATTTTCGAAGACTTAAAACAAAATGTTGATCCCTTGTTTTAATTGGCTACAATAACCCTTCAATTTGCTGCTTACCCTATTATAATTACCCTTCCTTTGTCCAATATTTAAGTTGAAAATTATGACTTTACTACTTCCGCATGAACATTCTCAAAATTTTTTGGCAAGTTTTAATAATATATATATATATATATATATATATATATATATATATACTCCTTCGATCCTAACTATTTGAAAGTATAAATTTGAACTACGGTATGGTTTATAATTATGCCCAGAAAGAGTAAAAGTCCCATCAAAGTTCATAAGTCTCTAAAGAGTTGAATGCAGTTTGTGGTTAAGTCTTGAGATTAAGTTTCAAAAAGTAATTTTCGCGACACTTTAATCGAATGGATGATTACGTGCGTTAGAGTTTATCTTTGTTGAGTTAGGAATTTTATAGATTTTCAATTTTTCCTTTTTTTTTTTTTTGGAAATCTATTTTCCTCCCTATTATTTTGGAATTTAATGATGATTCTAGCTATGACAATAAAAGAAAACAAAACAACTTTTATTTATCATGATAAGATATTTTTAACAAACATATCGATCATCATTCATCCGCGTTTACAAGGACTCACGCAACCTATGGAGGCAAAAATCTCCACCAATTCACGGGGTACCGTACAATTGTATCGTCAAAGTCAAACCCATTGCCGGAGCTGATTTCCCTTATTACTATTACATCGGTTTCACAAATATAGTCTATATTGAGTTTTTAAATTTATATTAAAAAATAGTACAAAACTCAAAACTTAATCTGAACTATTTTTGTGGGATGAGTGAGTATGATTTATGAGTCTCGCAACGGGCACAAGAACAAATTCATGGATATCTCACTTCTTTGACTCTCATTTCTTCTTATTCTTTAATTCGGAAAAGGTTTTGGTGTAATTTTTGCACTTTAATATTCATCAATTCACTCCCATTAATTGACTAACTTATTAATCATTATGTCAAAGATCAGGACCGATTATAAACAAAAATCACAAGTTTCATACATAACCTTGCAAATAATGTAGCAAAAGTGCTGAATGAGAGTGACATTTCTGTGTTTTTTTTCTTCCTCTCCAATTCCCACACTGCCCCAACCAGTAATACAACCTCCATCATAACAAAACAATTCATCTTATTATACTGTTTTATTCTATTAAACTATGTTATTTTTTTTCAAGTCGGTGGAAATATAAATATAATCTTAGTTATGGTTTCTTATATTGTGGGAAAAAAAATGCCTATTTTTAGTAATTTATTAGTAGTTTCCTTGTCACCATCGGTACCGTTGCACCGAACAGAACGCTCTAAAAAAATTAATCCACATTAAATTCTGTAAATTTGATTATTTTAATTTATTATATGAATTATTTTTTTGGGAGAAATGAAAATACCTACGTTGGAACTCATTTGGCAGAGGAATTGGACCGAGCAGGTGGGTTCGTTTTTGGGCTTACTACAATGCGAAATGGTTTAATGAAGTAACTGGCCATGATCTAAAGTTCTAAACTGGGGAATTTTAAGATGCATTCGGCACGATTGAGAATCTTGTTCAATGGATTTTCCAATTATAGAAAGACTTTCGCGAGTATGAATAAATGATTACTTGTAGAGATCTTTTCTTCAAACTCCAACAAGATAACTTTTCATGCGTTTTTTTTTTTTGCCAAACGATAATCATCACAATATTAAATAAAAAGAAAAGAGATATAATTACAAGAGTTGTGCTACAACACCTACGGTCAGTGGCGGAACTAGGATTAAATTTAATGGGGGAACATCCATATTACAATTAAAAACAGGACAAAAAGTTATTTTAACAATTGTGACATTACATTAATATGATACTTTACATAAGTAAAGAATTCAAAAAAATGAAGTAAAGCTAGAGTTTGCCATCGCTCGGACTATCACATTCCCATCCCTTCCTGCCCTTACACATGTTTCAAAAGTCTCACTTTCCGGATGACTTGAGGTTATCACAATTTCACTTAGTCCTAAAAATTTAATGTGAATTATTTCGGGATCGAAAGATTATTATTATTTTCAAATGGTTAAACACATTCCCTAGTTTTTTATATTCCAAAGGTTTTGGACTTCAACAAGCTTAGCTCTAAATGACACGTACCAGAGCAATGTGATAGCTGCAACAAGGTCTAGTATCCTTTATATCAAGAGGATTTTTTTTGTGGGGTGGAGGGGGAAGAGTGAACACTATTATTGCAATGTCTATATATGACGTCCAAGTACATACACGAATACATGTGAACTCAAATGATCCGTGGAATCCAGAAAACGATGACAAAAAAAAGGAAAAAAAAATCTTATTAATTTGAAGAAAACTACTTTCGGGTGGAACCGTGGAAAGGTTGGACTGGGAAGCTCAGTTGTCATTCCATTTTGGAGTTTCTTGTTTGCCTTCTTTATGGGGTTAGGTCAAGTAGTGCTCATTTAATTAATCGTTTACTACATTACATTTGATTATTCCATACTGAAGATGGTTTCAATTAGACTGCGTACGTAGTAATCAAGTTATTCACGTGTTAAGGTAACAGTGGGGGATTAGATGGCCAAATTTTGTGGAGTCAGTTTGCTTCATGTGTTAGATGGCCATATCCATATTGACGCAATGCCAAAAAGAATATTCATATTAATTTGAATGTATTTAATGCATATATTTTACCACACGCAATGGTACAGTAGTTCTTGAGAAAAAAACTCTACGTACTTTTCGTCGCTTATTATTTGTTACATTAAACTCCTTCAATCCCATAAAAATAATTTTGCTGTACATTGTTATTTAAATCAGAGATCTAACAATAATTTATCATGGGACAATATAATGACGATTCGAGAGGTTTTGTTTTAGACGGGAACAATAATAACAAACTTATCTGTTTATCTAGTTTTTATGGGTTCAAAGTCTTTTAAAATAGTCAAGTAACTAAGCAAAACCGCTAAAAGTTCTGTTAAATAATCATTTTGGATGGAGGAAACGCTATTTTTTTTTCAATGAGACAGTAAAATTTTATTATTATCGTCGTAAGGTTGCTATATCTTAAACCGGATTTGATTTTCGGAATCCATAAAATCTCAATTTTTTTTGTTGAAACTTCTGCTTTGAAAGTTCTGATTTCCAAGAAGTGCAAGGTACGTGAGAGATTGCGTAACTCTTGTTAGTGGCAAGACTTGTGCAACTTCTTCACAGGTCAACCTAAGTGATTAGGGCATATTGTCACTTTGTACCTGGCTCGACATGAATGTGAATATTCCTCGTTGATTTTCCTTAAACTTTAAATGCCTCAAATTCAGAGAAAGCTTCTGATTTTTCTATTTTTATTTTTTCTTTTAAAAGAAAATGTAAACTGAAACAAAAGCAATACTAGTTTTTTGAAATCTGAATGCTCTTTGGTAGAACTCTCCGCTCGTAATTATAGGGATTCTCTTCTAATATCAAAAATGATTTCGTTTACAGTAAAAATGATTATTTCCCAGTATTTTATTTTTAAAAAAATCTACTTTGTTGACTAATAATTTGTTGATTGTGTCTTAAATTTCCAATGATTGCTCAAGAATCTTGCAATGGAGGATATAATCTATTAGCAATTCGATAGCTTTTGATAATAATTTAATTAATTGCATAAAAAGAATATTTAAGAATGATTGATTAGGTTTTTCATTCCTCCCAGTTGATCTTCAAAAGGTGTTCTTCACTTTTAACGCCCGCCTAAACTCCCCCACCACCACCAAAAAAAGAAAAAACTAAATATTAATGTTTAAATTTAACGGGTTATGTATACAGGAGAGTAGAAAACATATTCAGGATTTAAGGATTAAAGGTAAAGTTGAATTACACCGTAAAACAATATCACAGTTCGTTATACTTTTTCAGCTTAATTGAGCAGCACAGTATTGAATTCGGGCATAAAAAATATGCCCTTCATGAATTCTCATCACATACTTTTTTCGGTTTAAGGACTGGGTAGACCTCCAAATTTAACTTGTATAAGTTCGCTTATCAAACAATAGCTCTCAGTTTCCATATTTTTATTCTTTCTCAGCAATTTTATATCTAATTTTAGTTTGGACTCTACCCTTCATTCATGTTGAGATAGTAAAATTAAAATCGGAGATTCAGAGATGTAGAGATGGAATCTTATTTAAAGCGAGACGTGATTTAAAAATGTGTAAAAATTGTATTTTTGTTTTTAATACAATAAGTACTATTCTTTCTCTTATTTTAGTGTTCGAACTCTTGTAAAATTTATTATTTTTCTCTCGAAATTATTATGTTACTATACTTATTGTGTTTGACTGCATTGATACAATAGCTGTACCTGATATTTTCTCGTAAAAAAAAAATCATTTTCCTTTTCATTGTATCAAAAAAGAAAGAAAAAGAAAAAAGAAAAAAAAAATCAGGTTCCATGTACAAACTTGTTGAATAATATGGTATGGTAATGGTTGCTACATTTTTTTTTTCTTTTATACAAGTTAGCAATAAAATAGAGACTCACATAGAATTGATGTGAGCTACATTTATGAGAAATGAATATGTCACACAAAGTCTATTAATATCAAAGTGATCATAATTTTCCACAAGGCTAAATCTACAATCAACCACAAAAGGATACTGGTCCTGTTTATGCTACTAGCATACTAACTACAACTCAGCAAGAAAACAAAAAATAAAAAGTGATCTGAATATTTGTAGTGTAGGGCTGTCGGGTATGGTATTGGGGACCTTAATTTGCCTTTGGTCGTAAGTCATAAGTCATACCACTCTTTGATATTGCTTTGACACAATAAGGTTTCAGTCCAACTGCTTCTCTCCTCTCCTCTTCTTCCTCTGCCTCTCTCTCTCTCTATATATTTTATTTTCCACTTCTTTATTCTCCATTTTTTTTTAGTCAATATGCTAGTACCCTTCAATTTTTAAACTGTTCAGAGTTCTTCTCCAGTCTCCAGCTCTGCATATATTATGGATAAATGTTATAGGGAAGGGAACTGATCTGAAGGGAGGCAATAAGAATTTTCTTTGATTTCTCCTGCAGGGATGATGAAACACACATTGCTGTTCAACTTCTTTTTCACTTGTTCCATTTTGGCATTAGCAAATTCAGCAGCATGCAACAACAGCAGTACTGACCAGGCGCTGCTGTTTAAGGCCTTTTCCTCTGTGAATGGGTTCAAAACCTCATGGTTTAAACCCCTTCAATCCTGTTCATCTAATGCTTCATCATCGTTTACTGAAATCAATCTTTCCTCAAGAAATCTCTCCGGCACCATCTCATGGAGATTCTTAAGAAACTTGTCTCGGATTCAAGTCATAGATCTATCAAATAACTCTCTGTCTGGCTCTGTTCCGCCTTGGTTTTGGGGCATGCCTAGTCTGGTTCAAGTGAATTTGTCAATGAACAAACTTGGAGGCACAATTGGGATTGGGAATTCAGAATCTGCTTCAATTTCTTCTTCTTCTTCTTCAGGGATTCAGAAGCTCAATCTTTCCCATAACAGGTTCACTAATTTGGCCTATCTCCCCAAATTTTCCAATCTTACTGTTCTTGACCTATCTTATAATGGCCTAAATTTTCTACCCCTTTGGTTCAACAACCTTACTGACCTTCAAAGTTTGAGTCTTTCTAGCTGCAATATTTCAAGCAATCCGAAACCCTTTTCAAATTTGAAGTCCTTGAAGTATTTGGATATCTCCAACAACCATATGACCGGAAATTTCCCTAAAGATTTCCCTCCTTTGGATGGCCTAAAGTTTTTGAATATCTCATTCAATAACTTTACTTTGGCAGCAGACAAGTTGCAGAAGTTTCCGAAATCCGCATTTATTCACGCTGGCAAAGTCGTTGATTCAAACAGTGGGAATAGTAGTTCTTCAGAGATTCGTATCAAGCCCAAACCACCCACCCCAACTCATAAACTACCAAAAAAACAGAGCCCATTAAATACAGAGGTGAATCAAAATCATCTCCATAAACACAAGTCGAAATCGAAAGTTTTGATCTTGGTCATTTCCATTGCTTCAGCAAGCTTAATCTTGTTTTCTGCTGCGGCCATCTCAATTTGCATTTATAAAAGAAGGAAATCAGCTAGGAAACATGATAAGTGGGCAATCTCAAAGCCAATTCAATTCGAATTCAAGTTTGAAAAATCCGGCCCGTTTTCATTTGAAACTGAGTCGGGTACTTCATGGGTGGCTGACATCAAGGAACCAACTTCAGCACCGGTGATCATGTTTGAGAAGCCATTGTTGAAGCTCACATTCAAGGATCTGATTGCTGCCACGTCACACTTCGGGAAAGAATCCCTTTTATCAGAAGGGAAGAGTGGGCCCGTGTACCGAGCTGTACTGCCAGGTGACATCCACGTGGCGATCAAGGTCCTGGAGCATGCTAGGGACCTGGGTCATGATGATGCAGTCGCCATGTTTGAGGAGCTTTCAAGGCTTAAGCATCCAAATCTGCTGCCGATTTCTGGCTTTTGCATTGCAGGTAATTGGGTTATTCACTGTTAATTCATCTTTTTCAGCAAAGATATGATTGCTATACAGTATTTGACATGGAAATCTCATTTGCAATTATTCAGCTTTTTAATTAATGGCCTTTTGTTTGACCTACCATATTCAATGGGTTCACGTGTTTATAGTATATGCTGATGTGAGAGGGATTCACTGTTAGTTCTTATGCCTCCGTGATGTCACTGTCACAGACTCATAGGGATTCAAATACATTGTAGAGTTATGATGATGATTACTTTCTAATGGGTTTTCGTGATGATTTTGTATGGTAGCCAAAGTTTTCTGAAATTTCTTTCTGCATTGTGATCAGTAATTTTTTGTTCCAAAACGGAAGAAAGTCAAAAATTTTTGAAGAATTTGGCCATTTTGAGATTTGAATTTTGGCCTGAAGTGTTGTATTTTGTCCAAAAATCAATTATGTTTTGTTTGGGCATTGGAGTCATCGTTTTCCAAATAATCTTTGCTACTCTGTTTTTGGGTGTTAAAATGGGCAATTTGATTTGACTCTGACACAATTTTGTAGTAGTATTTCTTTTCCCAATAAATGATAGTACTACTGCTACAAACATTTTGGGACCCTTAAGCTTAATTAGTCAAATACTTAACCCGTAAATGCTTCATTTGAAGTCAAAAAAATTCTACTCAGTTGACATCCTAAATGGAATAAGATTTAATGGTGGCTTAAGTACTTCTAGAACACTAACTCCAAAGCATGCAAATGGTAGTTTGGAAGTGGCGGTCTGGTTGTCTCTTTTGCTAGATTGCGTATGATTATTGACCTTTTCCTTTCCCATTGCTTTTGTTGCACTTGGGTAAAAAAAAAGTCCTTTCTCCAAACACTCCGGTTATTTTTCAATTCATCATGGCACCTAAATCAAATGTCACGAATTGAGCACTGTGTATTACTGTATTTCAATAAATTTGTACAGTATACGTACCAATAGTAGGAAATAGTATGTGAAAAGGGCTAAAATTCAATCAAAGATATTCTCTTTATTTTACCTTTACCATAACATTTCTGGATTTCTTGTTTTATTGCATTCGGGTGTACGGATTTTGAGGATCATGCTGTAAGTTGGGAGCTTTAAATTGGACAGTGACATTTTTAGGATCTTATGAATAAATTTGCATTAATGTGACTTATGGTTCGGGTCTTTGCATGTTCCCTCATGACTAGGAAACGAGAAGCTCATTTTGTACGAGTTTATGGCCAACGGCGACCTACACCGATGGTTACACGAGCTTCCGACTGGGGCACCTAATGTCGAAGATTGGACCTCCGACACATGGGAAATTCAAAACACGTCATCCTCGACGGTACCCGTTACTTCACCTGAAAAATTGGAGTGGCACACGCGCCACCGAATCGCGGTCGGGATAGCGCGTGGATTGGCCTATCTCCACCATGCGCAGTCCAAACCGGTCGTGCATGGCCATTTGGTTCCGTCAAACATCTTATTGGCGGATGATTTTGAGCCACGGATTGCTGATTTCGGTTTGAGTCAAAACCCGGGTGATAATGGTGGTTCGACCAGTGAGGATGTTTATAATTTCGGTCTGGTACTGGTCGAATTGTTAACAAACCAACCCGGTTCAATCGACACGGTCAATTTGGTGAGAAGACTAGTGAAAGAAGGTAGAGGAGAACACGCCCTCGACTCGAGACTGAAACTCAACACGGACTCGGTGAATGAGATGGTGGAATGCCTGCGAATCGGGTACCTATGCACCGCGGAAGTACCCGGAAAACGGCCTCGGATGCAACAAGTTTTAGGATTGCTCAAAGACATTCATCCCACTTCAACCGACTTGGTCTAACCAATATGACCCAAGAGTTTTGTCAAAAGGGTTGAACCAGGATGATCTTTTTTGTGGATTGGTTAAATTAAATGTACAGACAAAAATTCAAAGTGAAAAAAAGTTGTTTCGGACAAAATTAGGTGGGTAGCTAAGGCGAGGGAGAGATAAGAGGACCAGAGAAATCCCACTTAATCCTTGTCTGTTCTATGTTGTCCTCATAACATCATTTTCATCAAGTCTTTATTTATTTCATTTGTTTTGCTTTTAATCTCTTTTGTTTTTTTTTTTTCTTTCTTTTATAGTTTAGCGCTTTATTCCATTCAGTTTTTTAATATTCTGCGCACCTTTCTTAAAGAAAAAAAAGACAATAAAAGGAGGCTTGAATGATTGAATCTATCATTTATATTTTGGATCAAGACGTTTTTCTTTTTAAGAGCCTTTTAGTCAAAAATGATTTGCAGTGCCTAGGATGCCAAGTTGCCTGAGTGGTGGCATTCATTATCTTTTTTCATGTCCTTGTAGTTTGCTCGCTGTTTGCCACTAAAATTTTACTGTTCTAAAACTTCCTGCATTTGCTACCAAGTCAAATTTTGGTGGCCACAATTGCAGAAAAACAAAAATTGTTCTTACCATTCAAAAGTCTGCTTGCCACTTGAATTCTTCATTCTAGCTAGCTGATTGCAAATTTTACCCCTTTTTTTTAATTGGAAAGATGCCCAGTTGCATGCATGTTATCATTCACTACAAAAATACAAGTAATTATACACGGACAGTATCGTGGTTAAATTTGCCTTCTGTCGTAATTACTTACAAGTATTTACAAGTATTATCATTCACTACGTAACTTGCATAAATTGCCAAATCGAGTTGTATTTCGTATTGTTAATCCCTTTAAGTCCCGCCTTCTTTTCTTTCCTTTTTGTCAGCCTTAATAAAACACTTGAAATGCTTTCTATTTTTGTTCTAGACTGGCTACTTTTTAAAGCAGTTTTGCGCGCTCCAATACTGATCCTGGGCCTGAGTGGCTGGCTGCATTGTTTTCCGATCAAATCAGGAGGGAACTAAGGGGGTAAAAAAGCAGATTCAGATAGTGAAGTATAATTTTATTGTTCGTAGGATGATTCTTACGCCCCTGTTCGTTCCTTTTGATTTCGTCATTACTTCCAAAAGCTAGGCAACGGAATAAAGTTCAATTATGTGGGCGCAGTACTTTTGAGTTCTTTTACTGTTTCTCCCAAAAGTAAAAGGGAAAAAAAAAAGAAGAAAAAATAGTTTTTTCTTTAAGCATCAAATTATTAGACTTACGAAGACACGAATTATGTAGGAATTTAGTACTTCTTCTGTTCTAATATTATTGTCTAGTTTGAGATTTCACTTTTAGTACAATTTGAACTAGAAATGAAAATTCAAACTGGATAATAATTATAGGAAGGAAAGAGTATAAATTTAACAACCTTCCTGAGGTTTGGGAAACCTGTACAAATGATTCCTTACGTCTAAAAGGTACTAGTAATCCATACTCAATTACTTTGCACAACAATGTAAAGTTGACATGATGATAGATTAAGCTGCATGTAAGCCATATTAGTAGCGTCAAACGGTCACGTCATTAGTCCAATTTTTTCAGGAAAAAAAAAGTAAAAAAGAAAGAAAGAAGAGATAGCTTCAAGAGGGACGAAACTTAAAAAGAAAAATAAAGACAATGTAAACTAAAGAAAAGATTACTCGTCTACTCGTACTAAAGACATTTCAACAAAATTAACTTGAGGAAGAAACGAGTACTTACAAAATATATAGAAAGGAATCAAAGTCTAGTGAAACATGCTTCCTCTATTGTGCTCATCGCCTCATCCTATCAATTGACTTGACCATGCAAAAGACGATAAGCAAAACAGTGATGCAACAATCAAAGCCTTGAACCTTGATCATCATTCATTGCCGTATGGAGAACTTCACTTATGTTTTGTCAATTTTTAATTTGCATTAGTGACCCATGCATCGACTAGAGAAGACGGATGTTTTCTGTGTTTTCACTTTGCAAAGAAACTTCACAAGATGTTTTACTTCTCCAGCTTCAAACAGGATAATCATTTCAAGATGGAGAAAATTATTATGTTTAACTTCTTGGTTCACAATAATCACTACAGTGAAGATAAAACTTCAACGATTGGAATCTTGAAATGGGGGTCAAAACTTTTGGCTACACCACCGTGTTGTAGTTTTTTTTTCTTTTGAAATACTACAATTATATGTATCTTGTCTCACACAAAATGAGGTGAGAATCTTACAATAGAGTATAATTTGTACATATTCTAAACCATAGGAGAGAAGATGCGAATGGAGAAGGAGAAGTGAAGGAGCGGGGATTCAATCCCTCAACTTTTGGCCTAGCATGACATGTTAGTGGCCACTGGGACAAGTCTCAATGGTTCACCATGTTGTAGTTACAGTTCCTCCTCGTAGCATAATCATTTCATTACTCTCAACGTAATAATATTCTTTCGGACAGCGAATGAGGTGTAGGTTCGGTGATAAAACGAGCCTTACTCTTAAGAGGAGGTCATGAGTTAAAACCCCCACTCCAACAAGAGTAAGAGGGTGACTCTAACCTTGCCTATAAGAACCTCTAGAGGGCTTGTTATGGCAAATCCATTTATAAACTCCCGATTTCGCATTCGAACTTGTCATAAACTCCCAATTTGGGGTCGAATTTGTCTCACGGACTTACCTAGGTTCGTTTACCTCCCATTGTGATGTGGTTTGCAGGTTATTGCAGTGAACTCCTGATTTCGCGTCGAACTTATCACCCCGGACTTGTATAGGGTGGTTTGTCTACCACTGTGGTTTGCTGGTTATTGCAGGGCGTGGGTGTCCCATCTCTGAGTTCCCGATGTTACCAAAAAAAAAAAAATTCAAATTACATAATTCAAAGTTACTATTTAAGCCCAAGCTTACAAAAGTTACTGGGCTTTTTGGGCCAATATTCAAAGCCCAAATAAACTTTCATCAATTTTACGAGAAACCCGATCCGCACCCGAATTATTAAAAAAATAGTGTCTGTGGGATATTCACTTCCAAGTCCCGTCTTCTCAAGCCTCTCCCCGTCGCCTCCGCTCTCCGCCGGACATTGCCCTATCTCCTCCTAATATCACCGTCGATCTTCCCGTCTCTGACTGTCTTCTTACCGGACCACTCTCTTTTTCTTTCACTTCTGAAGACTTGCCGACAAGATTCACGTTTTCTTCCCGCGTCTTCCTTCTCTGCCATCCTTTCTTTATCCCTCAACAGGTTCTTTCCCTATCTTCTCCGCGCACTAAAATCGAGTAGCTAATAACATGATTTTTATCTGCTCTTCAATTTTTTTTTTTTCCGCCATTGAATTATTTCGCTTGTTGGCAAAAGGGTAGCTATTGATTTCGAATTCAGTTTCGGTGTTTTTTTTCCTTTTTCGTATAGATTGTTGAATGCTAACTTAAAGCTTGAATAATTGCTGAAATTTACAGCCTATTGAAAATTGGGTTGTTTTTTTTTGGTAATCTTGAACTTAAGGGTGATTGAATACCGGAACTCAACCGGTGGCAAAATTATACTTCAGTAATCAATTTCCTTTCTTATGTGGGACTTAGTTTGGCATCCTACCAATCCTACCAATAGTACCAACTTATCATCTTGTTGAATAAGATGGTGGTTTGTCTCTTTTAATTCATGCTTCTGCATTTTTCTGGTTGGCCTTTTTCTCCCCTTTGCAAATATTTTTTTGTCTATTTGATGCCCGGTGAGAAGAATGGGGAAAGTGCATTTGGTAAATAAACATCAGGCTCACCTTTCTGACTAATTATGAGTTAACTTGATTGAGACTTTAGCCAATTAAAATAAAACCCTAATTCACTTCAATCATCAATTAAACACCCAAGTTTTCTATCAGTTTGTTTAATTCCTTTTTTGTATGTTCAGCAATGGCTTCGCATAACAAGAAAGCGTCTGAAGGTATAGCTTTACTCTCGATCTATGGTGACGAAGATGATGAGATGGAGGAGATGGATGATGAAGAACGTGATGAACAACAACAGGAAGGTTTACGAGTTGAGGATCAACAGAGAGAGGTTGGAGAAGATCCTAGTACAAGTACTTCACAAGAATATGCTAGTAGGGATGAAAACACAGTAATGATTGCTCAACAAGAGCAGCATGTGCAAGTTGTCGTTGAGAATTTTACCCCTGGCCGGCCAATGTATTTGGGCACGCCAAAGGACTCAGTTTTTTCACCTTCTCCACAGCAGAAATCTGTGCTGATTGATCAGCGGAGGAAGGAGACAATAACGATTGTGGATTATGGGCATGATGAAGTGGCTGTGTCTCCAGAACAGGAGGTAGATATGAATTTGTAAAGATCATGTAATGTGGGTGGTCATGAATTTCTTTTTCCTTGCCCTTTGATACTTTCCATGTAATTATGTTTTGATTGATTTTCTTTCCCTGTGTCTTAGGAGGGAGAAGTAATGGTAACCGAGCAGTCAATGCAAAGCGAGGATCGTGCAGTAATTAACGGTATGATCTTGCTTCATGTGTGATTTTTGCAGTGGTTGTTATCTGTATTCTTTTATCTGATTACTGTTGGTTGGACGATTAGCAATCTGACCTTAGGATGAAATTTTGGAATGCAGAAGTATGCATAACCTGGGATTACTTATGAACCTGAAAACACTTTTGATAGTTGTTTAGATATGGATGGGAGTCAAGGTTAAGCTCATTTTATAACACTGTTATTCATTATGTTCTAGCATATGCTTTACGAAATAGCATGATTTGATGTGAAAGCTATGTCTTTATGTGAAAACTATGTCTTTCACGGCAAAATAAAGGATTAAGAGGGAGAAACTTAGCTGCCAAATTATAATTTTTTTCCCTTGACAAATTGTGAGTCCTGATTTAGGCTTCGTTGGAGTTCATTCTTTTCAATGGCATAGCAACAGTTTTTCTTAGACTTCCGTCTGTAATTCTTGTTACTCGTGGGGTTGCGCATTCCTTGTTCTAATAATTGATACATATATGTTGTCTTCTTATATCATCCCGATGTATACTAAAATAATCTCTTACCAATATGAAATTCCCCTCTCTGCTGTCCAGGTGACTTTCAAGACAAGACGGGTCTTTTCCAGACACTTAATGGTCATATTGCTCATCCTCAACAGGGGCAGTCAAATGATCAAGTAGAGACTGATGAAACTAAACGCATTGTGAACATATCACCATCCGCCGAGGGGGAAGGTGCTGTTATTTCTGAAGAGTCAAATGATACTGATCTATTAAATAAGTTTTTACCTCCACCGCCAAAGGCAAAGTGCTCGGATGAGCTTCAAGTAGGTTTGCAAGCTTTACTTGATGCATATTTATTATTTTTTGTGCTATTCTTAAATTTTATGTTTCGTTGGGGAAGATTTGGCAAATCTATCTGTAATCTAAGGGCAGCTTTGGGTAATATGGTATGGGAGGATTAGAATATTTATTCCGGCCTTACGGAAATCTCATCGAGTCAAAAAACCGTGTAGTTTGTTTTTTATGTTTTCCTGGAGTAGTCACGTGGCTACGTGAACCTTTTTTTTGTTTGAACTTATACTGCGATTGTGGTCGTCTTGTGCTCAAGAAAACCCAGTTCGCTGTTTTACTGATAAATTTGCTCATATGAAGCAAAAGTATCTCACTTTTCCTTTCCTTTAGTCTTGCCCCTTTTTATCTGTAAAAAAAGGTTTGTTTCTTTTATGAATGCCAATTTTAGCCAATTTAACATGCTTAGAAGCCCTGTAGTTGTATCTTCGGGATTCATCTCCGTGCTCTGTCTTATCCTGCAGGCGAAAATAATGAGATTTCTTACGTTGAAGAGGGGAGGATTAAGCTTTAATGCCGAAGTGCGCAATCGAAAAGATTACCGCAATCCTGACTTCTTAAGGCATGCTGTTACATATCAAGACATTGATGAGATTGGATCTTGTTTCAGCAAGGATGTGTTTGATCCCCATGGATACGACAAAAGTGACTTCTTTGATGAAATAGGTAATAAATTTAACACGCTGTTGAACTTTTTCTTTGATTTATTTGTTGCAATGTTATAAATGATTGGCTTTGCGTCAACTTTCTAAATTACTTACTATGTGTTCCAAAGTGGAGTATCTGTGGCTGATTTCTAATGGTCTTCAGTTAACCGTGCGGTTTTCTTTACATTTATTCTGTCTCTCTGAGATATGATGATAACAGCTCAGGTACTGCTTGAACCAAACATAAATGATCAACTGAAAGGATATTTTTGTTTAATGTTTTGTCATCATGCAAAAATTTGTGATGTTATTGCTTTGAAACTAGAGGGATTTTTGAATTGTTGTTTCAGTTATACTTTTTTTTTTATAACATCAAAGGCTGCTTCTGTGACTTAAAGTTTTTACAAATTCCAAACTGTATGCTTCATCTTTAGGATATAAATTTCTCATTCATTGGGCTGCGGGGTAGAAGAATGTACAAGAGTCTGGCGGTAGAAGAAATGGGGATATCATGAATCTGTATGGTTAAGCGTGTATGGACTGATTACAAGAAATCTTTTTTAAGTATTGTGTGTTATGTGTTCGTTTGTACATGCATTTCTTCTTAAATATACATACGCGTACATATATGTCTTTGGTTTCTGTTGCTCGATGTCTATTGAATTATGTAATTACTGTTGAACAGTAAGTGCGAAGGGAAGGAGGATGGGTGTCTTAGTTGAGCTATCTTACTATTTACAAAGATGGAAGACAAAAACCTTAATGTCTCAAACCTCTTTGCAATATTTGATTATCAGGATTGTACATACTTGAGTAACTTAGATGGCAAGATGACAATCTTTCAGTTGTCCTGTGGCACCAAATTCTTTGAATAATTTGTCTTAAAACTTCATTTATTACTTTCTATTAGGTGTATGATGAAGTTTTTCTGCAAATGAGGAGATACAAGAGTGAGGTCTTTACGTCGTTTTACTTACCGAAATAGATTAGAGATCAGTTGGCATTTATGTTTCTCTTTTCTTCTCTTGTTTGGACAATCGAGCTGTTTCGGTAACAACAATCATTCAGCTTGGGATTGCGTGGATAACTTTTGGGAGATAAAATGTGAGGTCCTGCTATACCTCTTCCTTGGATTAATTTCCATATTGGAAATGCAATTTTCAAGTTAAATGGTTATTTGGCGGCCTGGCTTGTATGGATCAATCTTTCCTCCGCTTAGTTTAGCATGCTCTGTAGTTGCTTAAATTTAGGATTGCTCGTGCATACTTTTTTCTTCTTTTTCTTTTTGGGGTGCTGTGGGATAAACTTTTCTTCTTACTTAGTTTCACATTAGCGGGGTTGCTTGTTAATCAGTGGTTGTAATTGCTGTGTATGCATGCAGAGGCTGATATGAGGCGTGAAATGGAAAGGAAAGAGCAAGAAAGGAAGAGAAGCCCAAGAATAGATTTCTTCTCTGGTGGAACACAAGTAGGAGCAGTTCCCACACCCAAAATTAATCTGCCAATTACAGGTCCATAACCTCTGAGCTTCTTGGTTTCCTTCAATGTTTTTGGTTATGGTTTCAGTGTTTGGTTGATCATGGAAGTGGATGTTTCTGAAATCGTTTGTACTCTTTTTTAGGGCTACAAATGATGCCTGGCGGGGCATTCAATGCAGTCCCTACTGCCAGGGATCCTTTACCTCGAGATGGGCGTCAGAACAAGAAATCCAAGTGGGATAAGGTTGCTTTTGATGTCGTTCTGTTTCAATATTTTCCAATGAAAATGATATGTGGGGAACAGAGTTATTGGAAGCATTAGATTGATAAATGTGATTGGTTCAATTTCAGGTGGACGGTGATGGGAAGACTCTTTTGTCCACTGGTGGACCGGATTCTGTGTCTGCTGCCGCAGCACAAGCTGCAATTCTATCTGCTGTTAACGCCAGTGGTGGATATTCTGCTTATGCGTAAGTTGTAATGTTGTATGTACTGCTTTATGCACCTGGGTTATGTGGCCTTTTATTATTTTGTTTGTTCTTATTTGTTCTTTTTGACCTTTTACCTGTCGTCTTTTATGAGTGAGTTGTATGTGGTTGTTACCACTATTTGATGCATTGCCTCTTTTAGGCTCATCACCAAAAGACTGGTTCGTGAAATTTATTAAGGATTTTCCAGTGTTTTACCGCTTTTATATGTCCAGTAACAGATAGGTGGAGTCTTACTGTTGGTTACTGTAGAAATTAGGCAAAGAACATGTTGTTTAGGCCTAAATTTGAGTGCATATCATGTACGTTGGAGGTGTTTTAGATTCGATGTTATTGTGCTGTATGTTCAGAATTTGTAAACTAGCATTGAAGATTGATGTATGGTTAGTTCAGTGTTTTAGTTAATTTGCCCTCTGTGACTTGGTTGACGGATGTATGTATTGTGTTTTCTTGTGATATATGTCATCTTTGTATTGGTCTTCTGTAAATGGAATATGTTTTGGTGAACTATTGATGAAACAATGGTTGGCAGATAGGTTTAAAAGTGAGCCAGCAATTGATGTAAATGTGGTCTGCTTATTGGCCTCATGGGCATGCTCAGTATTTATCCAAAATTTTGTGTAGGTGGGCACTTTCTTTTGCTTGAACATAGGCTGCAGTATTGGTACATGTTGTCCATAACATTGTCATGCTTTGATGTTTCAATTTTCGACATCTCCAGTTGTGAAACCTCTTCTGTTTTGGTCGTGGGAGTTGTCATGCCACGTCACCTGGTTTAATATTGGTTTGTGTTTGAGCCCCTGTAAAAATTTCTTTGTTGTTTTTCCTCACAGGGAACAAAGACGCCGGGAGGCAGAAGATTATAGACGATCAAGTGACAGGAAATCTGACAGAAAAAGTTGACTATGAAGAGCAGCATGTAGTGTACCAAAACAATGGAGGAGATGGACATCATTGCTTCACGGCGGACACAATAACTATTCTTTTTCCAGTTGTTCCTAACCTTGTACATGAGTATTATGGAAAATGAGTTTACTGGTGTTTGCCGGTATCTCTGGCGTGCTTGCAAAGTAGCCATTGATAATCCTCTTAGAACTTGGTTTCAATGGATTGCGAGTGGGTTGGGCTGTTCGTTGAACTCTAGTTAATGATATCAATGTCGAAGATAGATAGTGTAAATTCTAATGGTCCCTTCTTTGCCGGGGAAGTGATTCTCTTTGTATTTACTACTTGGTTGTGCTCATCCTTGGCCTGTATCTTTTTCCGTTTTGTGCGCATGTTTTTCCACACAGTGTGGAAAAAATGGAATAAATTTTCTTTTGTTTTGACTTTTGAGAGTATCCTTCACCAATGCGGAACATCTGCGGCATATTCATCATTGTCCCCAAAAAAAAAAAATAATAATAATAAATAAAAAATGACGAGGACTATTTTTTAGGACCGAAGGTAAACCAATTTATTTACAATGTGAACTAATTTTATGAAATAAAGGAAAAGTCGATAAACATCAAAAGGCCTCGCAATACTATAGTTCAACAAAACACTTCCAGAAATCATAATATTAAGACATACTGTACCAACCATTCTTGAAAGAATTGCACAACCAAGTCAGCTTGCTCCTATGTTACTACTTCCATATCTAACTAGTCTATTCACCAAAAATGCAATACTGGTTCAACAAAAAGCTCAAACATTCAGTCATTCCGATTAACAATCTACACAAGTCTCAAGGCCTCAAAATACTACTAGTTCAATATAACACTTTCAGAAAGGATTACGCTGCCCTCCCCTGCAATTAAAAGGTTCGTCCTCTTGAGGGTAACGCTGCTTCTTCCTCCTTCCACCTCTTCCGTTCCTCCTTCCAGACATTAGTAGCATATTGGCGATACATTTTACTATTTCCGTAACTGACATACGGTTTACAACAAGAAAGTCCGCAAAGCTCATCCTCCTTCCAACCTGATCGGGCCTGATCAGCGGTTGCACAAAACAACACCTTATTCTCACCATCTTTTCCCTTCTTCATATGATAAACAACAAACAGACAGTAAAAGGTTTACTCGACGATGGGACCATCAAGTGGATATGCAGTGAAAGAAAGAAAATACTTACTTATTATAAAGAGTCCTGGGGGTAAAACCCACATTGTGAACCCTCCCAGCATACCTGTACTCCTTCTCCTGCAGACACATTGATTGTGACTTTATCATCATCTTCTGTAAAATTTATAGTACTTTTTCCATAAAATAGGATCCCTGAGTGGGAAAGTTGGTATATTTGAAATGCTCTGCTTTTCTGATTTGTAGTGCCGATGCCTCGGCACCACCGGGAGTTTCCGAGGTCCCGCCTCCTGAGCCCTACGTTCTCTTATCCTTGCTAACATAGCAACTCTTTCCTGGAAGAATGCTGCCTTGCGGGCTGCTGCTACCCTGGCGGCGGCTGCTTCCTTACCAACAGATACGCTACCATCCATATAATATTTTTCCGGCATTGTTGCCAATGGTGGAGTCAACGGTAGCATCATCGTTGCTGGTTCATGGCGGTCAACGTCGTCGGAACATATCTCAAAGCCTCCGCCTCCTGAAGAAGAAGAGACGAACCAGATCCCTGGCAGCTTCTCTTCTCTTTCACCAGGATCCCTAATTTCCATTGTTTGGCTTGAATTCGACATTACGAAATCGAGGATGATAATAATAATTAGTAACTAAATTATTTAAGGGAAGCCCGTGGGCTGAGTGAGGAGCCCAGCCCCAATTCTGCCCCGACCTTGGCTGAACACTTTTCGGAAATCAAGTTCCTGATGAGGGTCCCCTATGCTATAAGAATCCCAAACTTTCACTTTGTTGTTTCTTTGGTTAAATTCTTCTGCTCCCTACACCGAATCCACTTCAATTTTAGATTTTTAATAATTTTGTCGATTGAGTTCGGAAGAATCAAGTGGGAAACAATGTCGAACGAAACCGAGGATTTTCAGCTTCCGGTGGACACAGAGGATGGACAACGGCAAAGGATGGAAGGTCAAAAACTTAAAGGAGATCCCTTTGAGGTTGTTTCTTTCTTCTTTTCAGTCTGCTGTTTGATATTGAAATTTGTTTTTCCATTAATCATTCGATGACTCACTATGAATTGTTGGTGACTTGATTTCTAGCTTTGGAATTGGTTCCCTCTCAGTTTTTAATTTTATGGGTTTCGTTTCCGTCTTCGGTGATTGTGAATATGTTGTTTCTGCAATTGCAGTGCTCTGTAGCTACGTTAAGGACTAAGGAGGATGCGGAAACATGTCGAAAAGCAATTCAATCCCAAGGGTATATTCTTTTACCTCTGATAGTCCTGCCTTATTTGTGATAGCTCATTGTATGATTTATAACTTATACTACCTCGTCCCAAAAAAATAGTGCACATTAAGTTTTGAATTTTATACTGTTTTTAGCATAAATTTGGAAACTCAATGTGGACTATTTTTTGGGATGGAGGCAGTACTATTTATTTCCAGGAGGAATGAAAAGAGAACATTCTGATAGACTAGCAAAGCAGTATATGCCCGTCTTACTAGGAAGAAGTAATGCAGGCTGTTTTAGATGTCATCTATGGTGGAACCCGTAAGTGTGCGGGTGTGGAGCTCTTCACGAGTCCATTATGTGATCTTCTTGAGTGAAATGATTCTAAGATTGTTACCGCGTGTCTGGAGGATCTTGCACTCATATGTAAGTGCAGTGAAAAGCAACGGTCCAACATGATCTTCAATTTCTTTGCCAAATTGTTTGATGAAGCTAAAGGCTTGGACAAGGTCAAGGCCCTGAGGACCCATGAGAACTCTGAAATCAGCAAAAAAGCAGAGGAAGTTTGGGTGCCGTTATATGCTGAGGTACTAAGTGTATGGGAATTCTTTCGGGAGGTTGGAGGCTTGTTTCGGAAAGACGTAGTATGTACTTGTTTGGTTTGGTCTCCTAAATACCGAGCAATTTCAGTGATTGGAGGGAAGTAATCCTATATGCTTTTTGGTCGTGATTATGGTCCCCTTGAATTAGTCCAACTCTCTTCAATAATCCCCCACCCCCAAAACTCCAAAAAGACACAATTTATGAATTTAAGGGCACCATATTTCATATTATGAAATGTCACCTTGAATTTCTTGAACGGTGAGAAAATCAATATCACTAACAAATAGTATTATGCACTTCAGTTTAGATCGTTCGTTAGTTTCTCTAACTAAACCATCGAATTGGATTGATTAAAAAAGTCTAATAAGAAATTCCAACATCAGTACTTCTATTGAATATTGATCTCACGTCGTCTCATTCGTTGACACATCGATTATGGCCTGAATAAACTCACTGCACTTGTTATTTTGTAAGGAATTGTGTGCGTCAACTATTTCGTCGGGTTTGTTAAGTCGATAAAGGAGTCGACCTGAAATTTCTAATTACTCATCCAATCCGTGTCATCATTGCGTTTTTTGTGTGGAAAACGATTTAATTACTAATCCAATCCAGCTCATCATTGCGGGAATGTGGAATATAGCTTTTGATTTAGGAAACACTTTGCTTTATGAGATCCCTCGTGACTAGATTTGCTACCCTTCACATTCATTTCTCGATTAAGCTTTTGGTGTAAGAGAACTATTCCCTCTAGTTCTTAATATAAGACATTTGATTTGTCTAAGATTTCACCTAATATATATTTTTAATTGAAAAAAAAACCTTAAAAACACTTTCTAATAATTAAGAAAACACGACCAATGTGAAAATATATTTTTAAGGTTTTTTTTTCTTTAATTAAGAATACATACTAGATGAAAACCTATGACAAATCAAAATGTTTTATATTAAAGACCCAGAGGGAGTAATAAATAAATAAATGAAAGAAGATCTTAAGGTTACCATATATTTACATTGCAGAGGGATATTAAAACAACTTCTGTAACACCGAAATAAAATCATTAGTTGATAGTTTATACTAAGCTGCCCAATTGACTGGCAAGAAGTTACATTATACTCCTTAAAAAATTGTTGTGACCAATATTGATGTAATTAATTGGAAAAAATGGTGTCGGACCGGAATCTATGGTCCAAATACTAGTACTACAACGTACAGTATATTCCTGTCCTGTACTCCATTTTGCATGAATGTCTCTGCTGGGTCACCTGGAAGATTTGTATGCACGTGTGTCTCTCTACGTAGTAATAATTAATAATTTTTACACAACTAAATAAAATAAAATTGATGGGGATAGAATTCCCTGAATTTCGCCGACTTTGCAGAAATGGCAACAAAATAAAAGGAAAAAAATAATGAATCGAAGTTGATAATTGATCTAATATCTATTGATAACAAGTTGCTCGTCCCCCGATGCTTAGCAACATTTGCGATCTGCCAATTGGAAGAGAGACGTTGGAGCTGCTCAGATTATGGATTCTTCGTACCCCTTTGGCCGTTTTGCTCCATCACACGTCGGATTTTGATCGATTAATTGATTTTTTTTCCCCTTTTTAATTTCATTTTTCTCTAAACATGAATTATGTTGGTCTGTTGCAAAATTTAATACTTCCGTCGTCTCGAAATAATTATCCAATTTAGAATTTCGTACTAAAATGAAAATTCAAATTAGACAATAATTTTGAGATAAAGGGAACCATAGATTTTGAGCATGTCGTAAAGTTTAGAGGGTATACTTAAATATAAGCAATATGCATTTTTTGAGTCAGATTGGAGCCATTTGGACTTCAGGTTTAATACGTGCTGAAGAGCCTCCTCCAATCATGCACACCTAATAGTTAACCGGGAAGATATGTCAGTCAAGCAATAAGTATCAATTAGTAGTACGAACAGAGGAGTATCATAAAACGAAGAAAATAATATTAGATGTACCATAAATGCTTTCAACTTTGTAGGTGGATTAAATGAAGGAGAAGATAAACTTAAATTTCCTTTTTTTTTAAAAAAAAATAACTAATAAATAAAATAAAACAACTGTTTTACTTTGGTCATGGTTCCATGGACCACAATAGCAATTATTATTGATACAACAAAATCTATGAAGGATCAGAGCTAAACAGTAAAACTACCAAATCCATTACCTGAAAAGGACTTATCATATTTATCATTAATAAAGAAAAGGACTCAATCTCATTATCAGTTTTTTTTCTTTTTTTTTCTTTTTCAGCTAGTAACATTGAGAACGAGCACCACCATATGGCCATATCCGACCTTCATTACATAGGAAGCTCAAACATACATATTGAGAAAATGTTATAAAGATTGAACTTTAAAAATCAACGGTTGTTTTATTACAAAGCGTAAAGCTTGCATTAACTCAAGCTTACATACATTTCAGCCGGATATTTTATCAGTATTTCATAAATACGAGGCTTCCACTTTGTGAAATTCCAAACTGGTTTTGTCGTTCGTGAAATTCAAATATTCGATATTTGAAATATACGTTACTCAAATCCTTGCCAGACTTAAGAATTGTAACGTTATCCAAATTCCTTTGGATTGAAATCATCCATTATACCAATCAAATAATGTCACATAGTAATGCATTGCAGCACTAGGATTATTCATATAACCATAATTGAACATCTTAAGGTCCCTAATATCAGGGATTATACAAGTCTCAAGGCATTGTAAAGTGCGGAAGGTTAAAAACACTTGAAAAGTAGTTACATTATACAACATTAAATAAAAGTAATAGTACAACACAGTTCCATACAGTAGGACTTAACGGTAACATGAGTTTTGTTTGGCAGTGACTTCCAGGGGTAAATCTGGGAACACATCAAAAAGTTAACGGAACTCTCGCTATCAAGAACAGAGAAAGACAAAATAAGAATTTTTTTAAAAAGATATTAGAAATCCTCAGTACTAAGCAGTCCAAATTGCTCTCAAATTAGTGGGCTGCTGCAAGGTTTTGCTTCTTTTCTTCCTCATATTTTATTAGTTTTTCTTCTTTTTTTTCCCCCTCTCTGCATTAAAATTTTCAACCTATATAAATATATCTATACTTTAAATTCATCATCTTGAGTAGTGAGTCTTGACTTCCTTGCACTTTTTCTTCTTTTCTCCCACATTCACATCATCACTTACTTTTTGCTAATTTTGTTTAATTGGTTCAGCTTTTCTTTCTTTTCTTTTTTACTTTTTCTATCTCATTCATTCATTCATTTTTTTGCTCTAACCCCTGTTGGCCATTAGGACACGGGAAAGTGCCAGTTTTGTTGCATTTTGCTGATTTTTCAGCTTTTGATGTTGTAATTCAGCTTTGAATCTTTATCCATTTTGCTGGCATTCCTGTAAAAATTGAAGTGAAAGAAGGAAAGGGACTAAGGGTAATTGTTTCAGCTTTTAATCATCACCTTTTCCTCCCATTCATTCTTTAGCTCAAATCTAGTCTGGTCCTTGGAGTGTAGAAACAGCTTACACACTTGAACAGCGTGCATATTGCTTCATTTGATACAATCCCAGTTTGGATTTTGAACTGAAGAAAAAGTTCCCAAGGTGTTTCAGTGAAAGTTTGCTACTTTAGTTAAAAAATGGCTGCTCCAAAACCTGAGGAAATCAGTCATCCTCCTATGGATCAATTGCAAGGCTTAGAGTACTGTATTGATTCAAATCCCTCATGGGGTATGTCTCATGTTTCTGTACTTTTGCTCTTTTTTGCTGTTAGTTTGGTTCAAACCAAGAAAAATGAAGTCTTGCACTTCTGTAAATATTTTCTTAACAAAGTTTTTATTACTTATTTTGATTTTGCCATGCAAATACCAGCGGAAACGGTAGCATTGGGTTTTCAACATTACATCTTGTCCTTGGGAACAGCAGTTATGATTCCAACGTTTCTTGTTCCTTTGATGGGTGGAAGTGATGTAAGTTCACTATTTACTGCCCTTTTTTTCCACTTGAAGTTTTGTGCCATTTTTAGACTTTGTGGAAGTTTGATGTTACTATTTATAATTTTTTGAGGTTATTGGATTGAAAAATGAAGTCTTGATGTGCTAGCAATTCCATTCCTGTTATCTCTGTAAAGCAAAAAAGAAGAGAAATTTGGCATTTTTGATAACCTTTGTAAAGGTAAAATGGAGGACTAATGTTCTAATACCAGATTTTTCTTGTAACTCTGATCAGGGTGATAAAGTTAGAGTAGTACAAACTCTACTTTTTGTTCAAGGAGTTAATACGCTGCTGCAAACATTATTCGGGACAAGATTACCTACTGTGATTGGAGGATCTTGGGCCTTTATGGTGCCCATAATCTCCATTATTCATGACCCTTCCTTGGTTGCAATTTCTGATCCTCATTCTGTAAGTCAACTTGTCATCTGCAAATTGCTTTCGGAGCTTGCATTTTGGCCTTAATATATCATGAAGAAGCTATAGCATTTAATTCTCAATTAACATTTAAAAGGGAATAGGATGAATATTGATTAGTTGACCATTGAAAGACAATGAATGTTTTCTTCTTCTTCTTTTTTTTTTTCTCCATCTGTAGAGATTTCTCAGTACCATGCGAGCAATTCAGGGTGCACTAATTGTAGCCTCCAGTGTGCAGATTATTCTTGGTTATAGCCAACTATGGGCTATTTGTTCCAGGCAAATTTCTTTTCCCATTTTGTTTCTCCTATTGAACAAAAAATATAAGGATGAGTTTTGTTTTGAACTTAAGAGTTTCTCCAATGCCAGGTTTTTCAGTCCCCTCGGAATGGTTCCGGTAATATCATTGGTGGGCTTTGGTCTGTTTGATAGAGGCTTCCCAGTGGTAATTAAAGTTCATTCTCTTTGAGATTTCAGTCTGATTACATCTGCATTTGTCTGTTGGAACCCTTTATTGAAGCTGAAATGAGCTCTGTTGCTTCAGGTAGGAAGGTGTGTAGAGATTGGCATTCCCATGTTCATCTTATTTGTTGCTTTCTCTCAGGTGAGCTTTCTTCTCTATATCATAAGTTAGAACAGAAACATATTCTTTTCATCGTTTTCTTGGATAAATGTGTGGCTTGATTATATATTGCCATTGTACTCTTTCAAGACAGATTCTTCATATTATTATAAATTTGGTCATTTTAAATACATTCGGTTTTTTCTTCCCGATTATCTTTAGGTCTTTGCCTTCTCCTGTTCTGCATTCAGAACATCCTGTAAATAACTTATTCTCGTTGTCCTTTTTTTGCAGTATTTAAAACATTTCCAGACAAGACAACTGCCAGTTTTGGAGCGGTTTGCTCTTATTATATCAGTTACAGTGATCTGGGCATATGCACACCTTCTAACTGCAAGTGGCGCCTATAAACATCATCATGAGACAACTCAAAAAAATTGCCGTACAGATAAAGCAAACCTAATCTCGACTGCCCCTTGGTTAGTGTCTACTTGGAACATTATAGAAATTTGTTTACTTACTGTTGACATTTGGAAGAAACCGGAACTTAGATAACTATTGAACCTGCTTCTATTTGAATTCAGGATGCAGTAAAACTAAACTAATTTACTCTGCAGGATTAAAATCCCATATCCACTTCAGTGGGGTGCACCTACATTTGATGCTGGACATGCTTTTGGAATGATGGCTGCAGTATTAGTTTCCTTGATTGAGGTATGGAAGATTATTATTATGAAACCTTCTCTGGTTTATTTGTTTGCATTGTCTTGCGAGCTAATACACTATTTTATTTGACAGTCAACTGGAGCATATAAGGCAGCATCTCGATTAGCAAGTGCTACACCACCTCCTGCTCATGTTCTTAGCCGGGGTATTGGCTGGCAGGTTTGGAAACTTGGAGCATGAACTTTTTTGTCTGATAAGTATTCTATGATGATAAGCCACTTTGAGAAGTTTAAGGTGAAAGACTAAAACCAAAGATGAATTGAATGACAAACTTTAGAAGAATAGTATGTAGCATGAACATATGGAAACCCCCAGACAAAATGAAAACAATATCTGTGATTATGTGGCATCCAAGTCTCTCCATGTATGAGAATGAGATCCTCATTCCCTCATCAAGCATGATATTCTAGTCCAGTGGGATTGAAGCTTTATGATGTGCAGGGAATTGGAATCTTGTTGGATGGACTCTTTGGGACAGTCACCGGTTCTACAGTTTCCGTGTAAGTACAATACTTGGTTAGGGTTGCTTTCTAAACTGTTTCACCATCAGATTTGTGACCTCGCTGACGTGTGTGGTATAAACTACAGAGAGAATGTCGGTCTTCTTGGAAGCACCCGCGTTGGTAGCCGTAGAGTCATCCAAATATCTGCTGGTTTTATGATCTTTTTCTCAATTCTGGGTTAGTTAAACTAGCCTTGGTACATCGAGTAGATCTTATATTCTAACTTTTTTGTGCTTCAATTTACATTATGTGCTGCACCATATGCAGGGAAATTTGGAGCACTGTTTGCATCAATACCTTTCACAATGTTCGCTGCCGTATATTGTGTTATGTTTGGCCTTGTTGGTAAGAACACTACATTCCCTTGCTCATTTGTTTTGTTCATTTTGCATCGATAGTTGACATTCTTGGTATATTTTCAGCTTCGGTCGGATTGTCCTTCCTGCAATTCACAAACATGAATTCAATGAGAAGTCTCTTTATCGTGGGCGTTTCCCTTTTCCTGGGTTTGTCTATTCCTGAGTACTTCAGGGAATACACCACAGCTGCTCTTCATGGTCCTGCACACACAAAAGCTGGATGGGTATGTTTGAGCCACTTAGAAGTATATATAACTTCAAGTGATACCTTCCATGAACAATTTCTCAAATTATATTTCCTGCTGCTGATATGTAACTTTTTTTAATTTAATTGATTAAACAATCTTGATTTTTATCATGGTGTGTTGCAGTTTAATGATTTCCTCAATACCATCTTCTTATCCTCTCCGACTGTGGCCTTAATTGTTGCGATCTTCCTGGACAACACACTTGATATCAAAGACAGTGCCAGGGACAGGGGAATGCCGTGGTGGGTAAAGTTCAGAACATTCAAAGGAGACAGTAGGAATGAAGAGTTTTACACCCTTCCTTTCAACCTCAATCGTTTTTTCCCTCCATCATGATTTATATGCTGCTACTACTGGATGAAAGAAGACAAGACAGAGAAGGAAAGTTGGCAAGAAAGAAATCTACAGAAGCCGATCATATATACACAGCAAAAGCAATTGTAGTTTGAGTCATCAGAGAATGACAGATTTGCGTCTTCTGTCATCAATTTTTTCACTGACTTTTATGTGATGTGATGCCTCTCGGGTTATTCAAGGTTAATCCAATTTGACGAATTTTTAAGTTCCTTTGCAGTCTGTAATTATAAAGCTGTTTATCATTTATCTTCTACAAGTATTCTTTACCATCCAGCTCTTTTGGCATTTCCCACAGATTTTGTTACAGTGAAGATATACAAAAGCGATCATGCTTAAGGACTAATGAAGCATGTTTCAAAAAATGAAGCATGTTAAAAGTAGAAAACCTGCTAGCTAACAGTATAATTCATCTGAATACATGAATAACAGACTGATCAAAAAGATCAATGATACTTGCACATACAACCTTTACAGCGAGGATGTCGATATAAGCTTCTATGGAAACCTCTTTGGCGCACTCTCTGGCTTTCCTCAATCATCTTCTGTACTTTTTTCTCAAATGTACTCCATTTTATGGTGCTATTCTTTGATAAAATGGCTGCAAGCCTCTTCTTGAGAGGACTCAAAGTAGGTGCACTACCACCACCATAATATGTACGGAAACCAGAGACCAGGGAAGATAACTGGCTACCTGAGTCCGTTATTGAAAAGACATCAGCAGTTGCGCATGCAATGAAGTCCAATGCTGCAAGCTGCAATTATGTGACTCTGAGTGAGTTCCAAATAAAATGTAAGTTGTAACACCATAAAATGCTGCAGATAAATACTTCTGGAGTGCAATGCAATGACAGAGAATCAATGTAACAGTGCATATGAATTATTTCTTGATGAAATCAGTACTCATGAGTTTTTAACAAGGAGCAAACATACCTGAGAAGAAAAATTTCTGAAGGGTGCAAGTTCACTTGGTGAGAGAAGATCTTCCTTTGTGACAACATTGGGATATAGACTAATAAAAGGATGCATCCTTGACTCTCCTCCATATATCTCCGAGCTCGCCAGGTATATGTAAGTATTGTTCTTGAAACCAAGGGCAGCAAGAACCAGTGCTGCTTCTTCTGGTGTCAGCGGACATCTTCCGAGTTTTCTTAGCTCCCCGGGAGAAGGACTGCCAAAATATTAAGTTTTAAGCAAACAGTGCAGAGAAAAATCAAACTAAATAAAACATGTAGTATAATAAACCTACTCTGAGTTCTTTATACGCTTCACCAAGAGAGGAAAATGAGCTTCTCTGTATTCTTGAAGTTCCCTTCTCTCATTTTCTCCACCTCCAAACTCACAAATGGAGTAGGCCACCATATCAATTTCAAATCTCAAATGCAAGGCAAGGTACTTCAATGGGCTCACCGAAGGATGGCTCTCCTTTGAGGGTGCATCCTGAATATAGCTTCCTAGAAGCTGCTTATCGAGCGTGCTCCTGGAAGCATCATACTTCCTTAAACGCCTGATCAGTAACGATCCTGCCTGCTGGATTTTCGGCACATACTTCAATGCATGGAAGTTACACTTGCACCTTAGTCTCTGCAAATTCAGAAGGATGTGTTATATATAGCACCTCCTAGTTAGAATTGGTCCATTATCCACAATACAGAGAGTAATACACGTTTTTCGTCTAGATTTTCAGCGAGGAAAGAGATTAAATTTTCTCTCTGAGATATTCCTAAGAACGTTTTTTTTTTAAGTGTTCTGTGCACACACTTCCGTCTTGCAGTCAGATTTTCCAATCAGAAATGAAAGAAATACGTGAGATAGCAGTTCAGTCTTGATTAAAACATTTAAACAAATGGATAGTAAGAAATTTCCAACCTGCAGTTCAATGGGCAAAGGATCAAATCCAAGTCGGTTTCCAAATCCAAGGAAGTGAACAACTCCATTGCGTAGAAGGATGGGAAGTATTTTCAAAATATACTCTTGTGGTGTTGCCTCCTTGGAAAGATCAGCATCAGTTACCTGAAGAGCCACTAATTATCCTTCACATGCAAAAAGGAAGAATCCTCAATATTAACTAGAAGAGATGACATACTTGACTGCCAATTGCATCAAAATCTAGCGACCGAAATTGGTCAGGAATTTCTTTCACAATCTCAATATCATTCTTCAGGATGTCAATGAAATAATCCTCTTGATAAATGTCACCGAATTGGCTGCAGGAACACAGATTAGCAATGTGACATAATGATGAGGTACAGAACTAAATCTCAATATACATATGTGCAGTTAAATGTAGTTGTACTAGTTTCTGACCTGGGATCATTCCAGACATTGCTATAAAGGAATTTGGGAATGACCAAAGTTGCATTTAGAAGGGATGCAACAGCAACTGCATTACAGACCTGCCAAATTAATGGTAGCCATTGAAGTTCATTAAACAGACAGCAATGGCATTGACATTATCTGCGGCATCTACGATAGTTACTGCAGTTGGTAAAAGAATGGCATTCAAGTCCTCCACCTTCTCTTAGATAGTTTGTATGAGATGGCATGAAATAACTAAGTAGCCAAAAGTGTGATGTTTATAGTAAGAAATTTTTTTTAGCAAAAGAAACAAAAAAAATTAAGAGAAGAAAAGAACATGCTTACAGCAACTCGCTGCTGATTCAAGCCTCCATTTGCACTGACTATGATGAGACCAGAGCTAGTACTGGTTTTTCCTGCCCTGACAGCAAAGCATCTTTTGTCAGAGACGACGCAGTGAGAAGGAATGGAAAACAATAACATCTGTTCACAGAAGTTTAATGATCAAATAGTAGATGTACCTTTTGGACTCTTCTTATCGGCACAAGGTTTCCACAAAGATGCCTGAGGATACAATTCTTCCCAAAATTTGGACGCCCCTTCCTCAAATTCTTTCTGAAAGTTTCCAATCGTGAACAAACTATAGTTAAATAGAAAAAGAACGAAAGATATAGGTTAAGAGTTTTGAGAAAGTTTCTAAACAAGTACTAAAGGCCATAAAATGGAAAGAAACTAAAGAAGGGAAGGTGTAGAAGATAACACAAACCTCAGCAATAGACCTGGAAGCCAGATGCAGAAGATGATCATACATCTTAATGGGTTTCCTTTCCTCATACCTGTATCCAGTGACTGCATCCTACAAAATGCAAGCAAAAGTGGAGGTCATATATCTTTTGTCCTTCCACAAGTCTTCTTCAGATATAAATGTATCATGTGAAGTTTTATCATCAGGCTGACACAATGTTTTCATAGCTCCACATATTGAACTAGAAGATTATAAGTGCTTTGGAATAGAGAGCAAAATCCAGCAATTAGTTTCAATGAATTTCAACTGGAGATGAAGAGCTGCATGATCATAATCTCATCCGAACTATATCATCCCTTCATTCCTCTTTCAGGTTGCTTCACTTATCCTAGTTGACTCTCTATGGAACTCGAAAGCTAACCAGTCTTAATCTCTTATGCATCCAGAGAAGAAAAAGAATATATCTCAAGAACCATACCTCTTCTGTCGTTGATCCACGTGGTGTGGAATAATAGTTCTTGAAAATTATTGCATCGACAAGGGAAAAGAAAACAGAATCTAACAGCAGCAGGGACCCCATGAACAAAAATGTTAAGAGAATCAACCTAATATGGCTACGTAGCCACCAGATATGCTTTTTGCCGCCATGAAATCCTTTACCACTGGCAAATTTCCCTGAATCAGTTCTAAACCACTTGCTATCACCCCCTGATCCCCTTCTTCCTTTATAAGGGTCTCCATTCTGCTGCATTTCAGAACATAAAGATTGATGATAATCCCTCACCCCATATGAAATATTCAAAATTGATTTCTTAGGCCTGGGGCTCCTGGGGGACGTTTGTTTTCCCATCTTCCTACAATGATCATGAACTAGAACACCCTCCTACAGTAATTTTTCCATTCCAAACGTGCCAAAGTTCTAAGCTTGGCAGAATTATAAAGGACACACCATCAAGTAATATCAATCCAACTTGATACTGATCCTTGACATGGTCATAACTTTCGAATTCGAAGCAGATAAAGCGTTCTACCAAAAGAAGTTTGGTGCGAACTACAGCATCAAATGAATCCATCCCACAATTTGGTTTAGGAACTTGTAAGCTAAGTTAGAATTGTTGGTGGGATTTTGACGTGAATGGCTAACAAGAAATTAAAAACAACAAATGGCAATCAAAATATAGGAAATTGAGGAGTAATACAAAAGCCAAAACCTTTCGTACCTTGATCTGGAAAATATCGTGTACTTGCAATAGTATTATAATATTTGAGGATTGGGACTGATTCCATCAGCAAACAACTGCTTCTCACCAGACAGGGGAAAGATATTGAGGTTATTGTGTATTGTGTAGTCTCAAAGTTGAGATTTTTGGATAAAGAAACAAATATTGAAACATAAGTAAGCTCTGGGAAGTTGGCTACCAACCTTTTGGGGAAGAGAGAGAGATTGACAGTTTGATAATCTTAGCGGGACCTTTCAAACTAACTTAAAAAGAATGTCTTTAAGACACCTTTAATGGTTTCATATTTCATTCATACAAATTCTGGAGATTTCATTCACAGAATTGTTCCTTTTTTTCCCTCCATAATTTTCTATAATCCCATATGGTCTAAAATTTTTGTTCTACTCTTTAGGCCATACTCATCTCAAAAGAAATGAAAAGGTGCATCACTAGGGAGGCTATCAGAAAAGAACCGTGAACCATGATGAGGTGAAAATTTACAACAATGAGGTGAAAATGAAAAGTGGAAATTGGGTCAACAATGAGATAGTGAAAGGTGAAAACGAAAAGGGGAAATTGGGTTTTTCCTATTTGTTTTCTTCATTAGTATGACTTTGGTTCGTCTGAAATCGTCATCTTGGTGGCATACAAATTATTAACAGGACTTTTGACCCAACAGAGGCGCTTGAATTTCATAGTTAAAGCGTTAAACTTTGAATATAATTAGTTCATTCGTATTCAGCGCTTAATTAAAAGAATAAATAAATAAAGGTTCTTAACATACCCCTCTTCCAAGATGTTTATCCAATTTGTTACTCCAAAAATGTCCCGCCAACATTGAGATAGCTCAATTGGTTGGGGCTTTAGCATCACACTTGAGAGACTCGGGTTCTAACCCTACTTACAACATTATCAGTGCTGAGTTTGCAAGTTTTCAGCTTGCACCGCCAGAAGACTTTTCAAGTATCAGATCGAGGGATGCGCTCTCCCTTAGTAGTACTATTCCTTCCTTATAGACGTCACCCACATGTAATAAATTAGGTACTTGTAATTGTATGTAAAATATATATATATATATACCAAAATTATTGTGACGGGACGAGAAGAATAGACGTCACCCACATGTAATAGATTAGATACTTGTAATTGTATGTCAAAAAAAAAATATATACCAAAATTATTGTGACGGGACGAGAAGAATATATATTTTATAATATACGCAGTACAACCATTTTGTGACGGAGGGATACGAATCAGCGGTTAGCACTTGGAAATTGACCTGAATGTGCCAAAAGACGTGGGAACTGGGAACAGATCTCCTAAGTGATCTGTACAAGAAGAAAACGTATCAAAAGCCGGAAAGAACATGATAAGAAGTGATATACTACAATAATGTGAAGAAAAGACATGGATATGCTGGTTGGTCTCTGCCCAGAAAAAAAAAATCACCTTAAGTCAACCACATCTCCTGTTTTCAACGCATTCCTTGTAATATTGAAGACCAAATAATAATTTAAGTCTGATGTTTGAGAAATTTCTGTTCAAACAATTCTGTACCCAACAAGTTTCTTAATTTACGTTGGGTTTTTCCCAACATCAGAAATTGGTACCAGAATACTGCAGCATCAACTGGCATCAAATCTTTGATTTGAAACGATACCAACTTCTCTACTTATATAGTTGAATCATGAGGAAGAGTACATTCACCTTCCTTTTTGCTGCATCATTTTTCCAAGGGCTCATCATGATTTGCTTGGCCTTGAAAGAGCTCAGCATCACTACTGATGAATATGCACTTCTTGCCTTGAGATCCCATATTTCCGTTGACCCGGAAAACGCCTTGGCGAATTGGTCGAATTCAACAGGCTCAGTGTGCAGCTGGAATGGAGTTACATGCGGCTTTCGCCACCAAAGAGTCACTGCTTTGAACATTTCCAACTTAGGCCTCATCGGCGCCATTCCTCCAGTCCTCGGCAACTTGTCGTTTCTACAATCTTTAGACATCAGTAACAATATGTTCCAGGGAAATCTTCCAGGAGAATTAGCTGGTCTGAGAAGACTGCGATACATGAACGCGAACTTCAACAACCTGACCGGAGATATACCATCCTGGTTCCCTCTCTTACCGAACCTTCAGCATTTGTTTCTTGCATATAATGCATTTTCTGGCCTAATCTCACCATCATTATTGAATGCATCAAACTTGTTGACATCAGTATTGGGGTTCAACTCCCTTGAGGGAAATATTCCTAAGGAGATTGGAAATCTTAGTAAGCTGCAATGGTTAAGTTTGGGAACAAACAAGCTCACAGGTTCTATACCACTAAGTTTGTTTAAAATCTCATCCTTGCGACGCATTGTCCTGACTAACAATAGCCTATCTGGCAATCTTCCGGTGGAGATATGTTCCAATCTTCCTAATATGAAAGTAGTTGCTCTGTCTTGGAATGAATTGGAAGGTCAACTCCCAACAGTATTGCAGGAATGCTCCACAATTCAGATTCTGTCACTATCTTACAACAAGTTTAGTGGAACCATACCAAGACAGATGGGGAATTTGACTCAGTTAACTAATCTTTATCCTGGAAACAACAACTTACAAGGCAAGTCAAAAAAACTTTGCTTTAAGTTATTCTGTTGACATTGCTATGAAGTAGGAACTATTGGCAATGAATATTAGTTGGTGATCATCAAGTTGGTGAAAATCTTTTTTGGGATCGAGTTGAAATTTAAATGGCATACCCTTTCTGCAGGTGAAATTCCTCAAGAAATCGGCAACCTTCATGATCTTCAGCTGTTAAAGCTTGGAAAACTCTGGCATTTCTGGTACATCACCATCATCAATCTACAACATCACCACTCTAACATGGATTAATCTATACATTAACAAGCTTTCCGGAAGCTTGTCACCATATATTTGCTCCTACCTTCCTTTTGTTGGATTTGTTGACCTTGGAAGCAATCAATTCAGTGGAGGCATTCCAAAAGGAATTGGAAACAGCAGTTTCCTAACTAATTTCTATCTTAGTAACAATCATTTTACAGGTGATTTTACCTTTTTTTGCATTCATGGAATTTTTCATTGATGAAACATTTTCTGATGAGAATTTATTTAGCAAAATATCTTGACATCTCTTTTTGTCAACTTAACAGGTCCGGTACCTGTGGAAATCGGTAACCTTGCTAATATGGATAGGTTGGCACTTGAGAACAACAACTTCACAGGTCTAGTTCCATTATCAATATTCAATATCACAGGGATTAGAGGAATTTCACTTCTGGGTAACAACTTTTCAGGAAACCTTCCTGAGGATATTGGCATAGGCTTGCCTAATCTTGAAGGACTTTACCTTGGGATAAATTACTTCAGTGGAGCTATCCCTGACTCCATTTCAAATGCTTCCATACTCACCAGGCTAGGACTTGGCTATAACAGGTTTACTGGCACAATTCCCCAGTCATTTGGTAATTTGAGGATGTTGCAATATCTTAATGTCATAAAAAACAACCTGATGGCAGGCGCCACGCCAGAGTTGAAGGTTTTCGATGCATTGACGAAATGCAGACACTTGCAACAACTGTGGATAGGCTACAATCCTCTAAATAGAGGCCTCCCAAATTCTATTGGCAATCTATCTAGTACTCTTGAATATGTTTATGCAGCTTATTGTGGAATCAAAGGACAGATACCCAGCCAAATATCTAATCTTACAAGTTTAGCTTTCTTATTCCTACAAGGAAACGACTTGACTGGAAGACTTCCAACAAACATTGAAGAGTTGTCAAAGTTGCAGGCATTCAATGTTTATGACAACAAGATGGAAGGAAAGAACTCATCGAAATTGGGAAGTTTTCCAATCGCTTCAGGAATTTGATCTGTAAATTGAAGCAACTTTCAATGTGATTATGATTGTCATAGGTTTAAAGAAATCTAATGTTGGAAATAAAAGAAATGCCATCCTGAATAATCTATGATGTGTATGCCAGCAAAAAAAGAAATGGATGTCTTTTTAATCTGACACGAAGTCAAGAACATCTAGGGTTGAAGGAAGAAAAGAAAACCTTGCATTGCCCGTAAACTATAGACCAGAAGAAGATATAGTAGCATCATCAACTGAGTAGAATCAACAAAGAGAATAAACGGAAGCAAAAGTGAAGCACACTTGCAAGCCTTACCACCGAATTTGTTACCACCAAAGAAAAAGGGTTTTTAACATGGTTAAGTTGCCAATTTCTTTGGGTACAGGTCCGCGAAATAGGTTATCTTCAAGAATCAGCGTCTGTAGTCGCGCACACTTTAAGCAGCTTGATGGTAGCAGACCACTAATTTGATTGAGTATATACTGAAATACAGCAGCTCAGGGAGATAGTTGCATATATCTGCTGGAAGTTCACCAGATAAGTCATTGTAAGAGTAATCAACAGTTTGTAGAGAGGAAATGTTGAAGATACTCAATCGGATGGAGCCAGAGAAACTGTTCTGACTTAGACTTAGACTCTTCAAGTTTCGGAGATTGCCAATCTCTTCTGGGATGCTTCCATCTAGCTTATTGGACTCCAGGTTGAAAGTTTCCAGGTTTGACAAGTTGGACAACGATCTCGGGATTGATCCAGAAAAATTGTTGTTATCCAGAAGCAGATATTGAAGGTCAGGTAATTGTGGAAGCCACAATGGAATGCCTCCAATGAGTTCATTGGAACTGCAACTGAGAAACTTAAGTCTTCTCAACCTTGACATCTCTTCAGGGAAATTCCCTCGAAAAGTATTGCTTCCCAGGTCGAGAGAAACAAGAAATGACAAATTCCCAAGCTGCGGAGGAACGAGGCCGACAAGATCCATGCTGGAAATGTTCAAGGCTGCCACTTTTTGGTGCCTAGAGCTGCAGGTAACCCCTATCCAATTGCAAACAGTTGAACTTAAACTCCAGTTCTTAGCCAAGATATGGCTTGATCCTCCTCCCATCATATTTTTGAGATTTGAGAACAAGAAGAGCAGATTGATCAGTGTTGATGTTCATTGTTTCTGCACCCAGACAAGACCAGAAAAAGCACACAACAAGTATAAAATAAAATCACAAGTTACACATACTCTCCATGGATTTTTACCCCTTCCAAAATGCCAGTGAGGGCTAAAGGGATATGGATGATGCCCCTTCTAAGTATATTTCGCGTAATCTCAGGTATTACCAAGGAAAGATATTTTCTTGGCAGAAGTTCTTGATGGCTACTTAGTGACTGAAATAAAGTTCGAGAATGATAGGACTAATGTCTTTTCAGCTATTGTGGAAAACACTGAGGTCAACCTGTCCAACACTATTAGTCGTTGAGATCATTCTTAGTACAGTAAATTGTTTGACGAATGAGGGCCAAAATTTGTTGGTTCCTACCTAAAATGCTAACTTTTAAGAGTCTATATCTTACTAGGTGAATTGGGGTGGATCTCCATTGAATCCCAGCAGATCATTACTCATTAGCATTCCTGATGATAATGAACACTACACAAGTTCATTCAGCCTTATGCATCCGAAACTAACAACCAAATGGCACACAAATCACTAGCAACAATGAAAATCCCTCAGGTATAACAACATTAACTTCAAACATAGGAAAGATAAAAATTAAAAAAAAAAAAACTACGACGATAAGATATCGGTTGTGTAAAATCTTTATTTTCTTAACCTAAGAACTGAGCCAAAGGAAATCCCAAGAACAATTTAGATACTGGAGATTAAAGACTTCAACGAGATCATATTCTCCTCGAAATATGACATAGTGAGACTAGGGGGTTGGCATAACAAGTAAACTTCGGTCAAGCAAGATACAGGAGGTATATGAAGCTCGATCATCTCAGACTCTCTCTTGGTTAGATCAAACAAGTACCCTTTTTGAGGTTCACCATCAATAATCAGTGCCTCCCCATTGGGAGTAAAACCCTGCAACTTACTCAAACAAAAATTAGCCTTCAACTTGGGATATCCGAGTTCTAACTCATCAGTCCATATCCATCCCAAATCTCTACAAATTCCATCATTACAACCGTGTGAAATGAATGTTACGAGTCCATGACGCGCGTCAACCCATCTTTTAGATACAAGAGTCAGGCTAGACCCAAAATTTGGCAGAAAGAACTGCCTTGGTTCTCCAGGAGGAGTTGGTATGACTTGAAACTTTTCTTGAGCAAGATCAAAGGCAATGAGATTCTGATCATGTTGGCCATTAGTTGAAACCATCCAATATAAAACTCCATTGAAACATATGCCACGTCCTGTTACTTCCATAAGAGGGTTATTTTTAGATCTCCTCCATCTATAAATAGTCCTCCATGATTTGTCTTTGCCAATGGTGAGGATCTTACATCTCCAGTTACATTGATACCCAATCCTCAACAACTTGTACAATTTATTGACGGGATCAAAACCAAAATAGTAGCGATAGTGTCCGCGTTCATCAATGCAGGGGATCCGAGGAAGTCGCAATCTTTCACGAGTGGCAATGTTATAGAGGAAGGCCTGATTAAAACTGTAGTAACACATCAGGCCATTCACAACCTCAGTGCGGCGCATCATTGTATCGTTTTTGCGATGATTCACGGTGAGTTGATTACAAAGTTCATTGGGTTGGCCGTCCAGGCTCACATAGTGAAGGTGGTGTTTGGTTACAGGGTAATTCAGATCAACCTCAGAAAGGAGGAGGAGCCCTTGAAAGCCACGGCGGTGAGTTTTGGCGAAGGCTGGATCATTAATAATTGAAAACCATACCCTTGAAACACACTTGAACCTCATCAGGTCTTTCACCGGAATCCATATCAAGATTTCCCATATCAATTCTGCAGGAATATTGATCTCCCGCGAAGTTGATGATCGAATTCGACCATACTTCCGCATTTTGACAGAATCTGATTAAGGGCAATCAAATAACCAAACACCAAATTAAAATTAATCAGTTAAAGTATCAATCTTTATGCACATATAAAGGTTTTAGGCCTATTACTGGAGTACATCAAAATACAAACTTACCTTCATTAAAAGGGGAAATTCTTAGTAGCGATGGGAAGAACCATAATGCTCAATTCCTAAGTAATCAAACCCGTGCATACGATTTCCTACAAATTTTGAGCACTTTTTTAAAAATGAAATCTTTGATGATCTTAGAAGTTGAAGTTTGAACCTGGCGGCTGTGGCTGAGGGAACAAACCAACAGTGAAAAGAATTCAACCTAGTAGCGTGGTTTTCAATTTTTTAAGAACTTTTTTTACACCAGATTTTCTATATTTTGTAGTTTCTACGCTATTTTTACCTTCCTAATAGGCTAATTAACACTCCCTCCGTCCTTATTATAAGCTATTTTGATTTGTTCTAGATTTATCCTAAGTTTCACATAGGATATATTTTTAATTGAAATAAAAACCTTAAAACGTTTCCTAATAATTATGAGAACATGACGAATGTAAAAATATATTTTTAAAGTTTTTTTCAATTAAAAATATATCTTAGATAAAATATAAGACAAAATCAAAATGCCTTATAATAAGGACAAGAGGGAGTCCAATTTTTGGAACATATGTTGTTTTGAACAAATGTTTTTTTAATACTACTAATTTTTAAAATTTTTCATTCTACAGTTTTACCCTTGTTTATTTGATTTGAAAGTTTAAGAAATAAAAAAATTTTATTACTAAAAAACAACGCACAGATTAGGAAGGAAAAAAATAATTCATGTCTAATAATATCAATATATCTTATAAATACGAATGGATGAAATAACTTACTCCCTCTATTCTACTAGTGTAATTTGTACCCTAATTAGAAACAAAAGGAATATTACATAAAAAAATAATTTAAAATACTTTTCTAACAGTTCATTTTATAAAACTAGTGCATATGTTTTCTTTTTTTCTGCCAAACGATAATCATTATATTAAATAAAATAAAAAAAGATACAATCAAAGGAGTTGGACTACAACAAACTACGGTTGAATTATTACAATCCGTCTTTCTCGCTATATTTAACCATAGAATCAATGATACAATTCTAAATCTGTGTACATTGTTAGATCGAATTAATTTGAAAGTATTGTACCAACATTATTAAATACACAGAAGATTTACTAAAATTTATGCAAAAACAAAAAGAATTCTATTCTAACAAAGGATAATCGTACTAAAATCTAATGAGAGTAAAACTGTAGATCTGAGTCTCAGATATATTGTGTCTAAAAGTCCCAGATATGTTGTCGTTTCATCCGTTTTTAATCTTTAAAGCCTGTGTTAATCCTTAAAACTAGTGTATATGTTTTCAATTGAACGAAGTATAGTATGAGAATGGAATAGTATTATTTTTTCGGTGGCAAAATGTCCAATAATCATTAGTATGACCCAATTTAACTGTATAGTATAAGAACAACAATTATGATAACATTCTAATTCTCACTTTCAAGTTTCACCCATCTTGAGTCTCAACTCCCAAGTCCGCTGAACCCAAACCAAAAGAGAAAGAAACAGTAGTAGTATAGGAGCTACTAAGAGAGAGAGAGAGAGAGAGAGAGAGAGAGAGAGAGTCAGAACAGAACACCGAAAAATAGAAAGAGAGAGAGAGAGAGAGAGCTGATGAGAGCTGTAATCACATGGGTTCTGTTTGGTTGATGGGGTCCTCTTCTTTCTCTTCTTCCAACCGACAATTATGAGCTTTTAATCAATAAAACAAAAACCCATTTATAATTTCTCCCTTTTTAATTTTTTTCCTTCTTTTTTTTTTGGGTTCTTCCTCACCGGATCTGGATCATGGCTAACGATAAGGTAACCGTCTCGATTTACATTCTTTCCTTATACTCTTGGTGGAAGATCTATTGTCCTTTTTTGGGGGATATATCTGAGCAATTCTTGGTTAGTTTAGTTTAAAGTGGTGTTCTTTGTTGTTTAATCTGTTGATTTTTCGGTGGGTTGGAAAAATGACGTTTCTTTTCCTGAAAGGAGAATCCTTTTCAGAAGCTGCGGACTCTGATTGTCTATATTTTGTTGAAATTTTGGTGAAAATCTCTTATTTTCAATTTTTGTGTTTAGGTTAGAGCATTACAAAGAAAACCCTTTTGTTAAGTCAGTGATGGTAGTCTGTGAAGTTAGTTGCTAGTGTTGCTTCTGAGTGGATGGAATTGATCTAGGTCCGGTCATTTATGAACTGGGAAGTGATCTAATTCCAGCTGACTCTTTTTTATTTTCTTCTTCTTCAATCTTTTTTTCTCTCTCTTTTTCTTTTTTTTTCTTTTTTGGTTGGGAAGGGGGGTTAATTGGAATTGTTGGTGTCCCTGGACCTGAATGGAAGCTGGCAGTAGAATGTTTTGCTGAGTGATAGTTTTTTTTTTTGACTCCAAACGGTTGACATTTCATCTTGTGAACAGATTTTTAAAATTGTCATGACTGGGTTTGGTTAATATGTCCTAGATGTTTGTTCACAAAGGTTTTATGCTTGCATTCCTATCAAGCTATAATGACATTTACTGAATTTATAATTAAGGTAATTGCTGAATGCTCTAAAAAGAGAGTGAATTTTTTTTTTTGGTACCCTTGAACTTCTAAATGCATCATGCTCCTTGATGGTTTGGTATTGTATCTCTGGTCTGTTGTTGACAGTTCGTGTTTGGATCCATAACCATTTATTATGAGTGGAAATATGTAATTTAAAGTGTGAGAGTTCTGTGAACTGCTCGGTGTTGATTTGTTGCATTAGATGGGCTAACCATTATCATCGTCTAATGCTTGTTGCAGGAATTGCCTGATTCTATGATTAGCGGTCCTGACACGGTTACCGGTCACATCATCTCTACAACTATTGGGGGGAAAAATGGAGAACCTAAACAGGTGTGAGTTTGCTCCTGTTATACCTAAGTTTTATCTCGGTTGTGCTCTTTTCTTTCCCTCCCCATCTTCCCCTGGGATATTTAAAAACGTCACTTCATAAGTTTGATTTTCTTTGTTTCCGCATGTGTTTAAATGTCTTTATCCATGTTTTTATTTGTCTGGAATTCATGTAGAAGCTGGTGACTTACCATGCGAGGCATAATGTTTTGGTAGCTTTTTTATTATTTCCTGGATTGCATTGAAAATTTTCTTCCTCTTGATGTTTCATGCAGACCGTCAGTTACATGGCAGAGAGGGTTGTGGGAACTGGATCATTTGGAGTGGTTTTCCAGGTAGTTAAATGACATTTTTGTTGCTTTTCTTTCCTTACTATAATATACGGGGCTAATAATGGCATCCATGTAGGCAAAGTGCCTGGAAACTGGAGAGACTGTGGCTATAAAGAAGGTTTTGCAAGACAGGAGATACAAAAACCGTGAACTGCAGTTGATGCGTACCATGGATCACCCGAATGTGGTGTCTCTGAAGCATTGCTTTTTCTCAACTACGAGCAATGATGAGCTCTTTCTCAATTTGGTTATGGAATATGTCCCTGAATCCATATATCGAGTTATAAAGCATTATAGTAATAACAACCAGAGGATGCCGCTCATCTATGTCAAACTTTACACATATCAAGTATGTTGACTGCTTCCTTGCTGCAAAACATTCATTGCGCTGTTCCATTTGGTGGTACTAAATGCTTGGCATTCTTTTCCCCCAGATTTTCAGAGGTTTAGCCTATATGCACACGGTTCCTGGAGTATGCCATAGAGACTTGAAGCCCCAAAATATATTGGTTAGTCTCTTATAGATGGTGATTTTTCTATGTAGCTATGCTGCTTTTCTATTTTCTCTTATGGTTTCATTCCTTGTTTTGGCAGGTTGATCCTCTTAGTCATCAAGTTAAAATTTGTGATTTTGGAAGTGCAAAAGTGTTGGTAACTATCAAAATCTCTCCCAGTTTCCAATTTCTTTCCTGCCCCATTTCTCCTTTTTTCTTTTTAGTTTTTGGGACTGCTTTGTGTTTGGGATTGGCATCTTGATGTAGAGGGGTTTAAGACGCCCTTTGCTTTTGATGACGAGTGATTATCAGCTCAACTGGGATTTGTCTTTTTCCGTGAACAACCTTGTCACCTTTTTCACATGAGGGCATACAATAACTTAATTTAAGTGACAAGTTGTCAAACAATGGAAAACTAATCCCAGCAGTGATTGTGGCGATTTTCAAATATTGTGGAACTTCTCTGTAATCATGTTAAGAAATTTGTGTTTATGTACACATGAACACACATTGAGTCGTTAATTTGCAATGGTTGGCTTCAGTTGGAAACTTGATTATTTCCCAATTTCATTTGAGGCTTTTTGTTGTCTACCGACCTTCACGTTCTGTATGCATAAATGCTCAGCTTTTTTTCTTGAGCATCATTTACATATCAATTGCACCTTCTTATGTGTACGTTGTACGCATGGTGTATGGGTGTTTGTACGTCGGTATCCAATCTGGTTGACCTCTAGTTCCTCTTTGAATGATTGTTGTGCCTCTTTACTTTGAGCCTTTATGGTTTTTGTAATAGAAAACTTCTGCACATGGAGACTTTTAGGCCGTGCGTTAGTTTTATGTCTTTATATCTGTTTTGGAGACTTCCATCTGTATGAGAGCTCATATGCTACTTTTATTTGTATTATAAGGTCTCCCATAATGTCATGAGACTATGAGTTAAAAGCCATTTGAGCCATTTTGGATTACATCATGTGTCTGTTGTCTCTACGTGAGAGTGTTGTATACGACGCTTACCATGGAATTATGATATCTCAAGAAACAAAACCTGTATAACAAAGAGAAGTGTAGTGAAGTTCTCACCCAAAGTCTTGCCTGCCAATTGCATGAAAGAATTATCATAAGGATTTATAAGCTGATGAGAAACAATTCTATGATATCAGCAAAACGGCGCAGGGGCTCACACCTTTCATCTTTTCGACCATTTTAGTGGAAATTAGCACTTCAAATTAAGTTTTGCTTATGCGGCTGCGTTCTCTTGGTGTTACTTCAAGATGATTGTCTGTCTATTAAAGTTGTACAATCTGTGAAGTTAAACTATTTGTTGAAGCTCTTTTCTTTCATTGGGCAATTTTATGATAACTTATTTATTGCTTACTCTTAAAACCTTTGCAATTATTTCGTGTCTATGAACAGACAATAATGGTTCTCCGGTTTCTTTTGATCAGGTGAAAGGCGAAGCAAATATATCATACATTTGCTCACGGTTTTATCGTGCCCCAGAGCTGATATTTGGTGCCACGGAATATACTACCTCTATTGATATCTGGTCTGCTGGCTGTGTTCTTGCTGAACTGCTTTTGGGACAGGTCTTTATCAGTTTCTATCTTCTTTCCTTTTCTCAAATGTGGTTTTATCAATTTCTGTATGACTTTTACAATAACCTAATTTGGTTCATCTCACTCGCAGCCACTATTTCCTGGAGAGAATGCTGTTGATCAGCTGGTGGAGATCATCAAGGTACACTAGCTTTTATTAGATATTTCTATAAAATGCATTTTTGTCCTCGTGTTGAGACTGGTCTGCTGTATCTTAAGGTTCTTGGAACACCAACCCGAGAAGAAATTCGTTGTATGAATCCAAATTACACTGATTTTAGATTTCCTCAAATAAAGGCACACCCATGGCACAAGGTAAGCTTGCTTTCCAATTCAACTCTGAATGTAATCAATATATTTTGTTGTTAATCATGTTATAACCCCTGGGGTTAGTTCTTGATTACTTTCTCTCTGATTTATGCCTCATTTTAGTTATTTTTGGCTTCTCTGACGTAACGGTTGATCATCCTCTTCCTTAATGTCTTACATCCTTAACGAAGGATAACTATGAACAGTATGATGAAGCTTGTAAAATGTTTCCTTTTGGTCACTGTTTTACCAAAAGAATAGAGAAGGCAAAATGTTATGATCTACTGGATACTGAAGCTTATGTTAGACAAAATTTGCTGATAGGCTGACTTATCACTTAAAGAAATTGATATCTTCTTTTGCTACAGTTGCTTAATTACGCCACTTACAGATCTCGACATTGATATATCTTTTGCTTTCTTTTGGATTTTAGTGTTGATGCATCTACATTACTAATCTTATTGCTGGGGTGCAGGTTTTCCACAAACGAATGCCTCCTGAAGCAATAGATCTTGCATCACGCCTTCTCCAGTATTCCCCAAGTCTTCGTTGCACATCAGTGAGTTTGAATCCTCTTTGATATACATTACAGTTTTTATAGTTTTGGTCTTTCAAATTATCATGTCAAGTATAAATGCAGCATGCTATCTTGGCGTTTGTTCCAGCAACAATGCTTTGTTGTCTTCTATGTCAAATATTTTGGGTGTATATAGCCCTATCTTCAATCGGTTTTCTGGGACAAGAGATTTTGAGTCTCAATCGATTTTCGCAATGTTTTTTGGCATGCAAATTTTTTGTGTGCTCTGCTGCTCCCATTTGAGCATCTATTCATATTTTCATATTCAGGTTTACTTGCTCCTTAGTAGAAACCTTTTATATTTGCAGCTTGAAGCATGTGCACATCCCTTTTTTGATGAACTTCGTGAACCTAATGCGCGGTTACCAAATGGCCGTCCACTACCGCCTCTCTTCAATTTTAAGCAAGAGGTATGTCATTTCTCATCATAGTATATCTGAAATCCTTCCTTTGCTGCTGTTTGTTGATCGTGTTTACTTAGAGTATAGTCCCAAAGGTGGTTGAGAATTGTTGTGCTGTTCTTAGATGAGTATAATAGACAGGAAAAGAAATCTCTTAGTTTGTATTATTTGGGTTGTTGAGCTGTATAGCTTATAAAATATTACACAAATTATATTGTCAAAACGAGCTTGCAACCATGTTGCATGCTGTTCTTTTCCCCCTTGATCCTCACATCTTGTGTCTTTCATCAATTTCTGAGGTAGCCATGATTCACTTGACCGAATCACTGGTTTGCAGAGTCTTGTTTGATCTTCAGATGTGGTACTTTTGGTGCTTGTTACCAAATTCTTTTAATTCCTTTTGATGCCTGGATGGAGCCCATCTAACAACTTTGTAACGTAGTAGTTGTTGACCAGTTGCAAATCATACTACAAAATTGGTGGTTGATAAAAATATGTCAAGGTTGACACTAATAATTACTAATGTATACAGCTGGCTGGAGCCTCACCTGATCTTGTCAACAGACTGATACCCGAATATATGAGAAGGCAAGTAGTCATGCCAATGCAAATGGGATGAGTCAAGGTTTTGCTACTGGGTGGGTTGTAAAAACCAAAGAGTTGTTTATTTGATGTACTCCCGATGCGTACCTAGCTGACCATAGGCATCACGTTGATGGTTGCGGCCGAGTACAGAATAAGGCAGCTGCAGGTTGGGTATCTCGAAATTTGTTTCTGTTGCTTTGAAGCCGGCCACGTTTACCTCTGCCCAAAGAACCCTGATTTCCTCTTTTTCCCGGAGAATATTTTCTCTGGCTACCCTTGTAAGAGATGTCCACTTGTAATGTAATGAACAGATCCCTCGTTGTAAATGCTCAGTTGTTTCTGTTAGAAGGAGAGTTTTTCAGCAAAATATGAGTTGTATGGATAGGGGGTATTAGTGTTGTAATCCAATCAAGAAGAGTTGGTAAAGTAATTAGTGTCTCTGAAATTACGAAAAGCTTGATTTATACTGCTTGTATTTAATTAATGTTTTGTAATGAGTGAAATTTCTACGTATAGCAGAAGAAAAATATACTGCACTTATGAAGCATTGTAATTTGTATCTTTTGTAAGGATGTCTTCTCTTATCTTTTTGTCCCTTCTCTCCTTCCTGCAATTGCAATTTTTACTATCAATAAAAGTGTCTTTGAAGGGAAAACAAGAACTTACTGAATGTGAATGTAGAATTTTTTTAATTATTATTATTATTTTTATATTTTAGGATTCTAGTAATAAGAACCTCGTTTGCTGTATTATGGGAGAAAATAAATACTCCCGTCCTATAATTATTGTCCACTTTGCCCAAAAAATTTTGTTCCAAAATTATTGTCCAATTTGACTTTTTATGGATCAAATTACACATTTGTCCTTAGTAGAAAACATTAGCCATAAAATCGTAGTGGTTAAACAATTATTTATATAGGGGTATATCCGGTTGTTTAAGGTAAAATATAGTTAAATTTGACCAAAAATAAAATCTTTCATTTTAGTAAAATTGGACAATAATTATGGGACGAAGGGAATAAATAAAATTAATGATTAATGAGCTGTTCTTAGTTCAGTCAAACAGACCGACAGTAGAGGTTCCAATTTCAGAGGTTCGGCGGCACCATTTAGCAATAATTAAGGAACAGTTAGGACTTTCAATCGGCCGCTAATCATTTCTAAATATTCCAGAATCGTTGGCCTAAAATACTCTGTAAACTATCGAGTAGAAGACTTTCTTTTTGTTCCTTTTCGTCATATTCCTAAAAAGACTTAAACTTTACTAGCATTATTCTGGAATGAAGGTAGAACTGGCATTTTGCTTTCAACCATATACATTCCAGATGAAACGTATAGTAGAGCAGCACGGTGGTCTCGTGGGAAATACAACAGAATCGGCCATAATTGATACTATTATATTGGGGACATAATCAGGACATTATTATAGTGGTAGTATATACTAATAGTAGTACTATTTTCATCAACAAAAATGAAATAAACAAGAAAATAGACCCATTAATAGATGTAGATGATTACACACAGCACAAATTAGAGATTTACTAAGACTGAAATGCACCAAGTCACTGAAGAACTCCAAGTCCAAAGCCCAGAGGCAACACAGCCTTGGACTTTCAATCCCCTTTTTCATAACCGTGAATACTCTCACAAGCTGTCGTCTAACATAAGACAAGACAAGGGGACCATATTTTCAAATCTCGAGACCAGTTTGGAGGTTTTCCAAAGGTCTCTTTTTTTTTATGTTCTTTTTTTTTCGATTTTTCTGGGGGCAGTTTTAATACATTGATTACAGTATATGCTTCTATTTAATTTCTTGATAATAGTTTTATTATAATCCATGATGGTCACCTTGTAGCAATCCTATGGTGGTGGCTAGATACCCGAAGAACAGGACACTACATTTGGAGTTGCTACTTGTGTCAATTTGGCCAAAAAAATAAATAAAATAAAAATACTAATACTAATGAAACTCCATATTACTACACTCATTAAATGATTGTATAAACTATCATCACAGAATTTCCCAGGTTCCCATTTAACTGCATTGAGATGTGCATTGAGCTAGTGTTTGGCATTAATTTTCTTAGAACTGCCTTAATCATCATTTGGCTGTATCAGTTTACGCAAACAAACGTAGGAAAAGAACAAAAAGAACAACACAGAAGAAAAAAGATAGAAAGAAGGGCGGTAAATGCAAGTCAAAGATAGGGGCAGAACAGAAGCTCTTTTATCCAGCAAAAACCAAAAATCCTTCCAACATTGTCTTCTTTTAGTGGCGGCATCCAAATGGGAGATGGGATTTTACTTCTTTTGCTTTGCCTCCATTTTCTGGCCAGATTTTGTGAATCAGATAGCCTTCTTTCCCCGAAGGGTGTCAACTATGAAGGTCAGTGTCCAGTTATTCTGAATGTTGGTTTTTTTTTTTTCAAGAATGAACTTTTAATGGTCTTATTCGTTGATTATTTGAGCAGTAGCTGCATTAATGTCCATGAAGACTAAAATGATTGATAAATATCACGTTTTGGATGGATGGGATATCAATTCGGTTGATCCTTGTACCTGGAACATGGTAGCTTGTTCTCCAGAAGGCTATGTTGTTTCTCTGTAAGTCATGAAGTTTTCCTTGCTTAACTTCTACTTGCCCCTTCTCTAGAATGTTTTTCTGCCTACTGACGTGAGCAGTCTTTGGCCTCTTTGTTGTTTTTCTTATGTTCCCTTCTTTTGGTGTTTCGGTTTGCAGTGAAATGGTTAGTGTGGGATTATCAGGCACACTTTCCCCAAGTATTGGGAACTTAACTCACCTCAAAACTTTGTAAGTTCAGCCTTTAGTTATGAACTTATAGTACTACTAGTTTTTTGTCTTGAAAGGCTGAATTTGGTTTACAAGTTGCTATGTTTTGTCAAAATATTCCTCACTTTATGATGTTTAAAGGGATAATTTCAGTTGACTGATTGTTGATGATTCTTCTCTGCTTGTTATTCTTTTAGGTTGTTGCAGAATAATAGGTTATATGGGTACATACCCATTGAGATTGGGAAGCTCTTAGAACTGCTCACTCTTGACTTGTCCGGAAATCAGTTTGCTGGTGATATTCCCAGCTCTTTAGGTTACCTTACTCATCTAACTTTCTTGTAAGTGTAGCTTAGCATTTTGGATTGGCATTCCAGAAGTTCTTGGATTTGCTGATTCATCCGAGTGTCTAACCCATTGACATGACAAGTTCTCAGGAAGCTTAGCAGAAACAAGTTATCTGGACAAATTCCTGAATCGGTTGCTGATCTTGCCGGGCTATCATTCTTGTATATCCTTCTACTACATGCTATTTATTATTTCGGTTTCTTAAAGTCTGAATCAGCAGAACTATTGATGTACCTTTGTTCTGCTACTGCAGAGATTTGTCCTTCAATAACCTTAGTGGGCCTACACCAAAAATACTAGCCAAAGACTACAGGCAAGTATTTGGTTGAGAAATCTTGTTTTCACATAACCTCTCCATTGTAATTTTCTGTTATGGAGTTTTAAGTAATCAGGGAAGTTACTAAACTGGAAGCCTAATGGATTTTAATTCTTCAGTTTTTCTATACAGAGGGACTGAGGGTGTAATTTCTGTCAAGCTTAAAAAACCACTTTTTAAGTTTACGTGTGATAATCCCTACATCAAGTCTTAGCGGATCTTTTATTTGTGTGAGAACCTCTTAATCTTGCATTGGATGTTTGTTGCCATGTTGCTGAAACAGCTTGACTTGGTTATCAGTTAAAATTTTCTTTGGTGTACACAAAAAGGATGGATTTCCTCCTTCCACAGCTGTTCTTTTTCCTTTTTTCTGTTCTGTGTTATCATGTTTTACTCAGTCTATGAACGGTGGTATTTCTTGTTTCAGTATTGCTGGAAACACTTTCCTCTGCTCTTCTGTTTCTCCTGAAATTTGTGATGGTGTACCCAAACCATTAAATGGTAAGAGCATACTACTGTTACAAAGCTATTTATGATTATGCGGATGCTGTCAGATGAGTGTCTTCCATTTGTTTATTACAGAGAGCAGTCTATATAAGAACAGTAGCAGTCATCACCACAGATGGATTTTATCAGTCATCATAGGTGTCAGTTGCACTTTTGTAGTTTCAGTGATGATTCTTATTTGTTGGGTGCACTGGTACAGATCTCATCTTCGCCTTGCATCTCATGGTACCTTCAAAGAGCTTATTCATCTGTTTTTATCTTTTGGGAGATAGCCTTCATTACAGCTAACACCATAAGACATGACTTAACCATGCAGTACAGCAAGACTATGAGTTTGATATTGGTCATCTAAAGAGGTTTACATTCCGCGAACTGCAAAATGCTACAAGCAATTTCAGTTCCAAAAATGTGCTTGGCCGAGGTGGATTTGGGGTTGTTTATAAAGGATATCTTCCTAACAAAACTGTGGTGGCTGTCAAAAGATTACGAGATCCTAATTTCACAGGGGAAGTGCAGTTCCAGACTGAAGTTGAGATGATTGGTTTGGTTTTGCACCGGAACCTTCTTCGTTTATATGGCTTCTGTATGACTCCCGAGGAGAGGTTGCTTGTTTATCCTTACATGCCAAATGGAAGTGTTGCAGATAGATTAAGAGGTGTGTCTTCAATTTACTTACTGACAGATTAAGAAGTCTGATTATTCAATGACGATTAAGTTGGCATTGTTTGGGAGTCTTGTGCTAAACTCAGAATTTTAAATAAGTCCACGTAGGCAGTTATCTTTTTGTGTCTCTTATTGCTAGAATATTTCCACTGTCTCAGAATGCATGAGTGTTTATGAGTTCCTTTTTTCTTCTAGCATCATCAGCCAGCATTAGAAATGATGCTAAAAGTAAGAGTAAATGAGTATTAAAATTTATTGATTCTAATTTGACGTGGAAGCTTGTTCAACTGTGCATGCAAAAGAAACTTTAGTTTATAGCTGCTCAAAATGGTGCAACTGGAAACTAATTTTTGAGTGCACCAGATGCTGCATGATATAAGATGCTTCTACCCCTTGGTTTATGTAGCATTCTTCTTGCTTTGTAGATACTGGTCAAGAGAAGCCATCTTTAGACTGGAACAAGCGCATGCGTATTGCCCTTGGAGCTGCTCGTGGCCTTGTGTATCTGCACGAACAATGTAATCCAAAAATCATTCACAGGGATGTCAAGGCAGCCAATATTTTACTTGATGAAAGTTTTGAAGCCGTGGTAGGGGATTTTGGTCTTGCCAAGCTCTTAGATCGAAGAGACTCACATGTTACAACTGCAGTCCGAGGCACTATTGGACATATTGCTCCTGAATACCTCTCGACCGGGCAATCTTCTGAGAAAACTGATGTCTTTGGGTATGGCATACTTCTTTTGGAGCTGATAACAGGTCAGAAGGCATTAAATGGTGGCAATGGTCCACTTCAGAAAGGAATGATACTTGATTGGGTAAGTTTCATTAAGGTTAAGAAATACTATTAGTAGTTTAGTTTATATTATCTGCCTAACAAACTGCAGTCAAACACATTCAGAATAGGAGGTGAATGCAGGACTGATTTACTTGCTTCTTGTAGGTTAAAACTTTACATAACGAGAAAAGGCTAGATGTTCTGGTGGATAAGGATCTGAAGGTCTGTTTTAATGCCGGTGAGCTGGAGAAAGTAGTGGAAGTAGCTCTGCAGTGCACACAATCGAGCCCCATCATGCGGCCCAAGATGTCTGAGGTCTTGAGAGTAGTGGAAGCCATTGCTGGACAACCATGCCATAGTGAAGAATCACAAGTAGAAGGGAACATTTGTGATCGTGGAACTTTTAGTTTCTCAAGAAACCTTCATGACATGTGTGAAGAATCCTCATTTACAATGGAAGCCGTGGAGCTTTCAGGACCAAGATAATACTGGCCAAAGCACCTTGACGTGGGACTTCTTCATGGCTTTCAGATGCTTGGAAATTGGAATATTACAGTCAGATGCTGAATAATTAGTATTAGAACTAACATAGAAGTGGTGACTTAGTGTTTGTTCATCTTAAGGCTTCCATTGTTGGAGATAGCAGAAAGTAAGAGGCTTCTCAAAATGTAAATATTGATTGAGGCTAAAAAGTAGCCGTTATGTTCAAAATTTTGTTTGCTTACTGATGGGAAGCATATACATAGGGCCTTTTTGGATTGTGACTTTGGTTGTCTTTTGGCTTCTTTCAGTACTTCTTTGTGACATTTTCCTTGACATTGTCGAGGCAAACTTAGAACGAATATAGTACTTTTCTATACAGCTCAAGAATATCACTGCTGCAATTCAAACAGTAATAAACTTTCTGCAAATACTGTACGTTGACATGTTTCGATTTCCAGACATCTTGAATTTTGTTATGCTTGAAAATATTAGCTAGAAACGATAAAAAAAAAACATACTCAACGCTTGAGTATTTGGCAGCTGAATTTCAATGGAACATATCTCCTCACCCTGAAGTCACAAAAAAAAATCTCCTCACCCACAAGGAGAATAGCGTCTACCCTTTTGGTCGACTTCGTCCTTCTCGACGATAAGGTCGACGAACTTTTAGCAGAATTTCACAATTTAGTCCTTTCCTTTCGTCCTTGCACGGCCTCTTTTGTTGTAAATCCATGCTTCTATATTGCTATTAATGGTATCATAATCATTTTATTTTATTTTTAAAAAGATAGTATTCAAATTTCTTGTGGTAAATGTGGTGTGTGTTTGTTTTTTGACATAATCATAGTGCCAACTGGAAAGTTGTATACCCAAATTTATTATCATAAAAGCGAATGAGATATAGGATAGTGTTTAAAAATTGCCACAAAAATTAAAAAATATTTTCCAACAGAATTTATAATCATCTGATCTGTCAAGAGCGAAATCTTATGAAATACTATTTAACTCAGTCTCATTTTATTAGTCTAATTTGTTGTAAAATTTTAATTCCATGTGGTGTTGATCATCCATCCAAACCAAAAGTATATGCAGTGTTCATGATATTATCTTTTATTGTAGTATCTCTTTTGATTTAAAACCCTAAACCAATTCTTAGATAAAAATACGGTTCCCACATTCCATGGCCGATCTTACGGATGTCTAAATTTATATACTAAATTTTATACTTGATAATCGACTTTCATAAATCTGCTAAAGAGCATGTTAAACAGAAAAAGGAAAACGACACAATGTATATTATATGTGACATCTATAAAATTTTTATTTTTTATTTTTTTACAAAATAGGAGCCTAAAGGCTGACGAAAATTTAAATTGAAACTCTCGGTGGACACATATATATATACTAGTGATGTCTGGTCGCGCAATGCACGACCTTGGCCCAGTCTATCTGTAAATCTTAGAAATGTTTACTTGAAAAAAAATAAAATTTTATATTTGGAGCGATATATTTTAGAAATGTTTGAAGGATTTAGAAATGTTAGACAAAATATAAAAGCATCCTAATAAATTTAAATATTAGTAAGATGATTTATTGATGTTCTCCATTGGTCGTGCCAAATCAATATTTAATTTTGGAGATTTTTAATAGCTTTGTAATAAGCTTCATCCGAAGGGTATATGCTTAAAACAAAATTGACACTTTGTAACAAAAACCTAATTGATCAATTCAATTTAGACTCCATAATTAAGAAAAAAAATCATTCTAATTGAATGATGAAACATAAAGAAAAAATTTTAAAAAAAAAGTGTCACGTAAAGTGCAAAGGGGGATTTAACAATTTAGTTATGGTTAGACAAAAGGACAATTTAGTACTTTCCTCATGTCACGTGGCAATCATAGGAGGTGTTTGAGAGGGAGATTTTTATTTCTAATATAGTAGGATATATATATATATATATATATATAATTTGAAATCATTTTAGATTATCAAAATTTTTTAACTTAAAAAACATCACACGTCAAAGAAAAAAAAATTAGAATAGAAAAGATAAGGTAGTAAAGCCATTTGATGAATGGAGCGCAATGAAAAAAAAGTACAAATTGAGGGATAAAAAAAAGAAATAGCAAACAGTTCAAGAAGGTCTCTTTTTCGATTTTCGAAAGGGTGGGAATAGCCAATCGCGCTCGAAAGCCGTTAAACGGATGTGTAATTCCCATCTTCTCCTCTTTCCTTACTGCAACCTTCAGTTTGCATCGATTGAATTGTTCGTGCTGATACTACGCTGTCGTTTTCATGCGGTTCTCAACCATTCCTCACTTCAGGTTAATGTTGTTCATCTGATTATTCGCTTGATTATTGAAGAATTCTTTAAGCAAACAAGTCTGTTCCTGTTTTTGTGTGTGTGTGTGTGTGTGTGTGTGGGTGGGTGGGGAGATGAATTCAGTAGGGATTTTAGGGAATTCATTCTGCAAGTCGCCACAGAACTGCAGTTTAATTTCTACTGCATCGGTTTGTTTGTGTTCTTCCCTCTGATTCTGTACGGTTTTCTGTTTGATCAATGATTAGTTATGATTCTTTTTCTTATTGTATTGTCAAGGGAAAATTGAAAAGCCTTAATTTCTCGTGTATATGAGTTCGAACACGGTTTCGTTGCTTACTCTTTTATGACTTACAGTTTGTTTTTGCAGGTCGGATCAACAAAGAGATGGAATTCGAGGAACTTGAGTCAAATCTCCATGCTTTGAAGCAATTGTATGGACTTCTTAGAAATGATGGAAATGGTTTCCCAAATTCGGCCTTCAATAGTACGGTACGTACGTTCCCGGTTCTACAAATTCATCTTCTGATTGTTGTGTTTTGAATGCTCGCGCATCTCTTCTTTTGAACATAATTAAGGTATGATGCATTATGAGACTGTAATTTATGGAACTGATTTGGAACCATCAGAAGTTGACATTTAATCCATTTTTGCCCTAATGGAAGTCAGATATTTGCACAGATGTGTTTGTTATCATCATCGTCATCAATTTATTAAATGTATGAAAAGTTTTGTACGTGGTACTTTCTCTCTGATTTGAACTTCCAGGCACTGATATATGGATACGGGTGTAGGGAAATTAATGTTCCTTAATCTTTTTGAGATTTATAGATTATTTCAAATTCTTGATTTCACGCCCTGATGGTCATGGCTTGTTCATCTCTTGGGTTATTCTCTCATCATTATTGGTTTTAAAGGCTTGTTCCATATCTTATAAGTTGAGATATTCCAATGTCTTTCCTCCTTTTTGTTTGTCATTTGAGTAGCTGGATGACAAGTCAAGGCTTCTGCTAAAGAAGTTACTGGATGGAGCAGTTGAAAGTGTTTTCAAGATTCATTCTGAGGTATGCAATCATCTTACTTGTTTGTTCTGCACATGCATAAACTTGCTCCATGATGAAAACATCAATGTTTTGCACACAAAAATGTATCAGATGCATCACGCCCTGTTTGATTAATGTGTAGTTTCCACGTTAGTATATGATGAAACATTGAAGTTGTACAACTTGGAGTATTTGTCTGCTGCAGGTCTTGGGAACTCAAGTTGAATCATCTTTGGCAGATTGCTCAGAGAGAGCACAGAAAACAAGTGACTCATGGATGCAACTACCAGCGAACGAAACTTCTGATGTCCTGCAAGTATGTGGAAATGACCGGAGTAGCATGGAATACACTGGATTGAAAACTGAATGCAGCTTCAGAGAGCCACATAACAAAGGAATGTTTTCAATGCAGCCGTCGCCAAGTCTTACTTCAAGTGGTAATGACAACAGGCATAAATTCTGCAGGGTTTGCCAACGTCAAATTGTGAGGAACCCTACAGAGGAATCTGCTGCTTGTGATAGTAGAAACGAGGCCACTGCTTTGTCTCAGTTGCAGAATTTCCAGCCTGATTCCTTTTTATGTGGTGAGAAAAAGGACATATTGACATCACCAAGTCAATTCCCTGTGTGGTCTATAAGTTCTAAGGATAATGAACAGATAGGCCAAATAAGATTGACAGATGCTCTCCAAACAGGACCTGCACATGAGTCGATTGAAGAAGCTACACCTTCTCACTTATCTAAAGAAGCTTCTGATGTTATCAAGCAAATTGAAGTACGGATTCAGGATTTGCGAAGATGGCCTGAAAATTTGGAGACCAATGGAAGCTGCGCTGCAGTTCATAGATGTGGTGCAACTCAACTGGAATTATCTGACAAAGTACATGACATTCTTTTGAAGGCAGAGCAGGCTAGTGATGTTGTAATGGCAAAACCCCCAATGGTCACCAGAATTGAGTGCAAAAATAGTGAGCACTTTACAAAAGGGATAAATGACTCGCAAAAGGAAATGCATGGATGGTATAAAGGTGCTAGTCCACTGCAATATCTGCCTAGTATGCCTAAACATTCGTCAGTGGAAACAGAACTGCCAAAATTGACTGCTAATACGCCTCTTCGGTCGCTTCCACCTAAAAAGACCATGAGAAGTCCAGTGAGTAGCCAGATGAGTGAGAGGTTGAATGACCTAGCACCACATATGCAGATTGACAAAATAAGTCCTTATGAAGAGAATAGGAGGCAGAATTACATGACTGATAGGGCTTTTGCTCAGACAGTTAAGTCCAAAGAAGGCGAGCTTGAACCAGATTTATTAACTAGTAGTGATGGCCTGAAGCCAATCCACCTGCATAATTATAACTTCTTTCTAGACAATGACAAGATACCAAGTAGGATCCCGGCTTCTGTTACGAGCTTGACACAGCAGATGAAAGAGATGGATCTGCGTCAAGACCAATCAATCTTAGAGGACAATGTTATGAAATCAGGAGCTTGTCAGACACCATTACAATATAGGACACATAAAGACCACTCCAGAAATGGAAATACTTGGGCACTTGATTCTAGGCACAAGGTGAATCAGTTTTTGAGATCCCAAAGCAAGATAAGATTGACAGGGGAAACAAAAAAGTGGCAACCTTCTCGACATCACAGGGCTGATCCGTATGGAGACAAAAAGATAGTGCAGCATCAACATGAATCAGATAGTGCATCTTTGAGCTCAGAATCCTCGAACTGGAATAGCCAGGGAACTAGTCTGTCCTATAGTGGGAGTGAAGAATATTATCTCCCACAGCAGATTCATCGAAGGAACTATATTAACTCTCCGTCCAGCAGCGAAAATGACATGTATAACCCATCAGATGAAAGTGAAGACCGTTACAAGGGTGTCAGCAGTAGCGACAATGAGGTTTACTCATGGCAAAGTAGTGACGACAGGAAAAGGAATTCATTACTGAGTAGTGCAAGCTCTAGTCAAGCCTTTTATAGTGATGATAGTGACACCGACAGATCCTCCCCAGACAAACATCCCGGATTCCAGCTCCCCTGGCACCCCAGAGACTTTTCAGCTAGTTCAGCATCAACAAAGAAGATCAGGCCAAAAGGGGGTTATGCATCAAGTAAAAGGAGCAACAGAAGTAAAAAAATTGGACGATGGAAGAAGTTGAAAGACAAATTGTCTATTATCTTCCATCACCACCATCATCACCACCACCACCATTATAATCAGCAGCATACGGATGATGATGATAGTGAAGAAGAAGAAGATCTTAGTAATCATAAAAACAAGGAGATCCATGGAAAGTTACTCTCAAGGCAGCAGAGTGTTGTGAACTCACATTCTGTGAGGCCAGAGGCTGATGAGAAAGAAGCATTTGAAAATATGGGGAGGGCTATAATCCACAGCAGAGATGCTAGGCGGCAACAGAAACCTGCCAATGCTCTTATGGGAGGCCTGTTCAAGCATATCCGTCATTCAAAGGGAACAAAGCCATCAGGAAAACATATAAAACATTTAAAGGAAGGCCAACATGATCGCAACAAGACGCCGGCCAAACTAAACTGGTTGAAGATTCTTCATCGCCACAGAAAGGGCAAGAAGTTTGGAATTGGTTATGGGAAGAGATGATTTTAACATTGATAAAGTTGACATGATATCCCCGGAAAGTGCATTCCAACTTATCATTAGTAGAATCGTATATTGTAATTCTGCTGATAGTCCTTAACTAATATACTTTGGCCATTGCCTTTTTAAAATGATCATGGTTTTCAAAATGTATTACTTCAATGAACATTGGCCATTGCCTTTTCAGCATAATTGAGATAATAATCTCTTTGTAAGAATCATACACCACAGTATTTCTCTTTTTTAAAAAAAAAAATTACAAAAAAAATTGGAAAGAAAGATTGGCCCAACTTGTTGCAATGACTTGGGGCAAATGTGGCAAGGTTGAAACTTGAAAGGACTTCAAGCAAATTTTAAATCGGATTCCTTTCCTAAAAGTATAATTACAGAAAAGCCCTACGGATTTTGAATAATTCTGGAATCACCGCTCGGGTTTCCGAGATCAGGAAAGTAAAGGCTGTGGCACTCTTCTCCCTCCATACCCATTTCAAATTCTCTCGTCGGCGAACTGAATCTCTCCGGTACCTGAAATTCTCAAGCCGCGCCACCTTCGGAAGCAAATTCATTTAACGGTAAGTATATTGTTCTCTAGTCGATTTGGGGGCTAGAATCCAAGTTTAAGTGGGTGATTTTTATTTTCTTATTATGGGTTCGGGCTTTTATTGAAATTCGTATTCGAAATTGGTACATCTTGTTCTTATACATTATACAATTTGTAAAATTCCCATCTTCTTATACAACTAATATTCCCAGCAGAAAAATTCCAGGCTTAATTTATTAGGTTCGTGGCAAGATAATTTATTATTCATTTGGTGTGTTAAAATGCAGTTCCATGGTTTATGATATCGCTCTATCAAGGATTTTGGGTTAATTCGTTAATCTTGTAATATGCCGAAGAAAAGAAGTCGAAAAGCTGTCAAGCCAAAGGTTGCTGAAACTGTCAATGTCGGTAAAGATGAGACTCTGGGTGAAAACCCAGAAAAAGAGCAAGAATGTGAATTCCAAAACCCAGAAGGTATTATATATCCATTTTTATTTCTTTTTCTTAAATGTTTCCTTTGATTTGTTGGTGTCTTTATTTGCATGATTATTGCTATCAAAACCATTCTCAATGAAACCAAATACTTATATGAACTGCTTATCTGCATTGCAAATGAGAAAGTAACACTTTTACTTGTGGCCCTAATAACATTTATGCACAGTAAGTCGAAAGATAGACATTTGCTCAGCGATTTTGTGGTTTTTGTTTGTGTATTGTCAGCAAGTTGTCCTGAGATTGGCTCGATATGTTTTGGTGGCACGTAAATCACAATGTATGTTCATCACGAATCAGCATGTTCAGTTTAATTCTTGGTAAAGAAGGTCTATGCATTGTTAGAAAGTTGAACCTTCCTCTACAAAGTCTTATTCCTTCTAGACTTGTCACCTTTGATTTTATTCTTTATCACACTTTTTCATTCTTGAATTTATTGTTTCCAGTTGAACGTCAATGTGCTGCTATTAGGGCCCTTCGTGATGTGGAAATTGCACAGCTCCAGACTATGTTTCAGCTGCTCCGATCATATCTTAGCAAGGAACAGCTGGATATTCCCCTTTTGCAATTTTTTAAAGAAAATCTTCCAAATTTAAACATTGTTAAAAATGAGAAAGATGGCAACTACGAAGCACAAATTAAAAAAGATCTGGGTCACTTACGCATGCACCAGACTGATGGAGACAATTTTCATTTGTCTCTTCTACATCGGTTGTCCATGGCTTACCCTGATGTCTCCACTGCAGAACCCTCTCGTGGTGGCTTTGAGTTTTCCAATCAAAGTGGTAATCATAAACCGTTTTAATTTTGTTCTTGGATTAATGTCGTTCTTAGTTTCCTCTGCTGATTATTGTCAAACTGCTGCAGTGAAAACAAGCTTCTTCGGTGTCGATGATATGCAGATTAGAGGATTCGTAAGTTGTTACGCAACCCATGTGAACCATCTGATTTTTAGGATAGCTGATCACCATTTTCTCCCTTCCCTTTCTTGCATTTCTAGATATGGGCAGTTTGTTGGATGGAGAACCGAGACAGTATTAAATTTTGTAAAATTCTGTATATATTTTATGTGCTAATGCTTTTGAAACTTGTGATATTGATTTCTCGCATTTGGTTATTAAAGTCTCTTTGAACCTTCAAATTTTAAGTCATTTTTGCTCAAAGTTTTCTAGTAGCTTTCTACCTTTTGTGGGACGAATGCTTGTTGTTTTTGTTCACTTTCTGTATGAAGTCTTTTAACTATGAATTTTGGCCTTGAAGTTCTCTTCTGAATTATGGTAGTGATATCAAGTGCCTCATTCATGATACTTTTTGGTGGCCATGTTTCCTGATGAGAAAATTAAGTGAGAAAACAAAACAATGCGTGATGTCTTTAACCAAGTCCAGATTTAACCTGAATATATCGTTTTACCTAAAGTGGATGAGTTTGGATCGCTAATGTCCCGCGCATTGTAATTATTCTCTTATTTACCTCATTTGGTCTAAAACAGTGTAAGCAACTTATTTTGTTACCTCTTCTACCATGGTAGTGAATAATATTTCTGTTGCTCACGTGGGTACTTTCCCCTCTGAAGTTGACTAATTTTTTTGATTCCTGATGAGTTGCATGAACAAAATCATTCATTTAATCGAACTTCCTTTGTTGTTCTTGTGTTAGGCTGTTATCTATGCCAAATACCATCTAAACAAAACCAAAAGAGAAAATACAAGCATGCTTGGTAAATTTCATTTATTGGACTCTTTGCAGGACTTGGGAGAGCTATCCGATGCTCCAAACTTTGAGATGCCGGACAAGTTTCAAACACCCGATGTATGTTTGCTCCAAAATGGATTCTATAATATGTTGGGTGATAATTTTGTGATATTTTCTTTTCATACCTGCTTATTTATTGAGTCAGGAATTGACATAGCTCCTCTATTCTTGTTCTAACCTGAAAATCTTTCCATGTGATCTAGACATGCCTTGAAATATTTCCTGTTGCATCATAAAAATGTTGCATGTATCTGGAATCTGGATATGCTTATAAATCCCTTATCAAAAGCCAAGCATTTCTAGCATCTGAAGGCTTGCAGCCAGCCTGCCATGTTTCCCTTTAAGTCTTTTGTTTAGAAGCCAAGGTTTCCCAGCAAAGCAAGATTGATGCAACACTCATATTAGTACCTAGTAATCTTAAGATTTTAAATTGTACTTTAGAACTGGATTAGCCTTTCTTTGAGTTATGCATTAGTTTCTTAGTTTAGGAGATAGTTGGCCTAGCTGAATTAGGATCTAAGACAGTTATGTTCAAAGTATTTCAGAGGCAGCTACGTTCTTTTCCTCGGTGCATTAAGGGCAGATAAGTTGTTAATAAAGTTTCATTTCTGCAGGTGAATAACCAGAGACTCTCTGTAGGTGTGACACCCAAAACTAAAAGGCTTCCCAAGCATGGAGAGGTGCTTTTATCTGTCAGAGGCTCGCCTCTTGGTGTTTACAAGGAAGACAACATGGAAGCAATAGATGGTAAACTTCTCTTTCAAATCAAGTTTTGAGACTTTTATTTATCAGCTTTACATTTATTTGCTCGAAGTAACCGAATCCCAAAAGATGAAAGTGGGCATTCGGATGACAATCTAATATCTCAGATCGTTTTTGCAACTATTCATTCGTGAACTTGCTGGGATATTTGCTACTTCATGTCAGCGTGGACTGCCTCTTTCCGGAGCTATATATTCCTCTAAACTTTAATGTACTCCAGTTTTCACTGATCTTGGACGAATATTTAGCCACCTTATTTATTGTCCATTTTGCAGAAGTTGAAGATGGTTGAGCAGATGCGCTGTTGTATTTCTACCCTGTTGTGGAACTGACGTTTTGGTCAACTGAATGTACACACATTTGTGATCGATTCAACTCAAAGTTGGCAGCTCTTGAAGTCGGCATGAACTAATTGATTTCATGCCAGAAAGTCCTTAACCTAGCTTAGAAGGAGTAAATATGTAGCTTCTATAGCTTTGTAGCAAAGAATAAAAAAAGTTACGTATCATGCTGAGTTGTAATTTCACTTCCAAGAAGTTTCATCTTTACAATTAACGTTGTTGATTCAGCTTCTAAACGATTTAATGATAAGGGGATCAGGTGCATCTGCCCTCACTCATGTCTCGAGTACCAACGAACTCGTGATGTAAAGACCAAAAGCAATAAAAGCAGAAATGAGGGTGAATTTGGGGGGGCATTCTTCCTTCATCACCTCTCAACACCATGGCGTCATAAATCGGCAAGCAATTCAGGACTCCAAAACCAGCAATAAACAGTTGGAGAAACAAGTCTTCCAAGTTGAACACCCGGAAACCTCCACCACCTTTCAACTGTGGATTTGGCGAAAATGTAGTCTAGAAAATGTTGCAAATATCCTCCCAAGAACAAGAAGGAATGCAACAAAAACCATGGATCAGAGACCTGTGAGATCATCATATGAAACAAGAGGTAAACATTTTGTGGGGTTTATCAACATGCAGACACACACATCACATCGCATGCAAACTAATCTCGATTCTCTTCGAGTGTGATTTATAACAGTTACATCTTATCCAATTAACTAAGACTTTTTTATTGTGGGACCGGAAGAGTAGTACTCTATATAAAAATGAAATGATGAAAAGTGACCTGGATGACGGAGGGATGTTGTTGACGAATGAAAGGACCTTGTTTCCATTTGCTAAATGCTTCAACCTCCATTGATGTCTTCATCTGTCACCTTCCCTTTCTCCACCCCACTTTCTATATTTTCCTTCATGTTTTCGTACATATTCTGATCAGATGCACCAAATGCAATTAAAAGTTAAATGATATTTTAAAAATAAATAAATAAATAATATATAATCATTTTCATCTTAATTCATAACCACCCCCACCCAACCCTCCCATTCCTGAAACCCGAAAACCTAAAACCTCCGATTGGAAGTTTACTTTAATATGTCGAGCCTCCTCAGAAGTTGGAGAGTAATTAGTGGAGTTGAAATAAACACGAGAGCATCTATCCACAATGTTATTCCGCTTGCAAAAGGATCGTGTTGGTCACGCGACTCGGCCGGAAAGCGGCCCACATGAAAGCAAGGACGAGGTCGGCGATGAGCATGGAAATGGAGATGGCGATGGACGGCTAGGATTTGGGATGTTGGTTCGGCAAGATGTCAACGACATGGTGATAAAGTAGGGCTAAGATGGCTACTGAGTACACGGCGGCAAATGCACGGTTGAAATGCGTGCGGCGGAGCTGCCTTTGACCGTGGAGTTGGTGCTGGTGTTTCCCGGCGGGTGCGGTGGTAGTCATCGCCTTTTTGAGTTCTTTGAAGCAAGTGGACGATTTACTTACTACTCCATTAATTTTGTGGTTTGTACACTTTCCTAGTATTGTATTTAATTACGTTGGAGTATTTTCTTCCTTTCCAAAGATTCCTCCAATGTGATTACCAAACTCAGCGCTTGAAATATCATATTCGGTCCTAGAAAAATATTCTTATAGTAAAACTAAGACTAAAATGTCCAAATGATCTCTTATATTTGGGTCTATTTGAATTTACGTCCTTTACATTAACATTTCAATATTGTAGTCCCAAACATTATGTTTTCACACTTTTTTGGTCCCATCTCACTGTTTCCGACGGTTGACAAGCCGGAATCAGGGGTATTTTTATCTTTTAATTTAATTTAAATTTTTATTAAAATTTTAATCATTAAAAATATTTTAAAATTCAAATTTCATTATTTAATTATTAAAATATTATTTATTAATTAAAAATATTATTGTATAAAATTTATCATTATTTTCAAAATTACTTTTTTTATTTACTATTTACTTTAAGTACATAGTAAATAGTAATTATGTTGCACTTTTAACTTTGAGCCCATTGTAACTTAAAAAATTAACCAAGTTACGATAAATAATTCAAAATTCAATTATTTTTTTTTAAAAAAAGAAAAATAAAAAGCAAAACTAAGATTTTATTTTACTCTGACCGCTACAGTAATCACAAAATGGTAATTATGTTACACTTTTAACCTTGTACCCACTGTAACTTTAAAAATATACCCAGTTACAGAAAATAATTCAATTTTTTTAAAAAAGGAAAAAAAAAACAAAACCAAGATTTTTTTTTACTTTGACCGCTATAGTAAACCCTAAATAGTAATTATAATATACTATTAACCTTGGACTCATTGCGACTTAAAAAATTTACTGAGTTACAGTAAATAATGCAAAATTTAATTTTTTTTAAAAAAAAAGAAAAGGCAAAACCACGATTTTTTTTTACTCTGACCGCTATAGTAAACTCTAAATAGTAATTATGTTGTACTTTTAACCTTAGACCCACTGTAACTTAAAAAATTTACCGAGTTACAATAAATAATTCAAAATTCAATTTTTTTTTCAAAAAAAAAGAAAAAACCAAAATTTTTTTACTCTGACCGCTACGTTGCTTTTTTAACGTTGGACCTACAATAACTTTAAAAATTTTTCGAGTTACAGTAAATAATTCAAAATTTACTTTTTTTTAAAAAAAAAAAAAAAAAGCAAAACAAAGTAATTGACCGCTACAGTAAACCCTTATGTTGCACTTTTAACATTTGACCCAATGTAGCTTAAAAAAATTACCGAGTTACAGTAAATAATTCAAAATTCAACTGTAGCAGTCAAAGTAAAAAAATATCTTGGTTTTGCTTTTTCTTTTTTTTTTTAAAAAAAAAGAATTTTGAATTATTTACTTTAACTCGGTAAATTTTTTAAGTTATAGTGGGTCCAAGGTTAAAAGTGTAACATAATTACCATTTAGGGTTTACTATAGCGGTCAGAGTAAAAAAAAAATGGTTTGGCTTTTTCTTCTTTTTTTTGAAAAAAATTGAATTTTGAATTATTTACTGTAACTCGGTAAATTTTTAAGTTACAGTGGGTCCAAGGTTAAAAGTGCTACATAATTACTATTTATTTTGACCTAAGATAAATGATAAAAGAAAAAATTAATTTTGAAAATAATGTAAATTTTAAAATTTTATAATAATATTTTTAATTAATAAATAATATTTTAACAATTAAATAATGAAATCTGAATTTTCAAATATTTTCAATGATTTAAATTTTTATTAAAATTTAAATTAAATTAAAAAACAAAAATACTCCTGATTCCGGCATGTCAACACCCGGAAAATAGTGAAATGGGACCAAAAAAATGTGAAAATATAATGTTTGGGACTACGATATTGAAATGTTAATGTAAGGGACGTAAATTCAAGTAGGCCCAAAATATAAGGGACCATTTGGACATTTTAGTCTAAAACTAATACATTATTGTTCAAGTATTGTAAGCCAACTGCTAACCCAATTAGAAGTCAATGATCTTGAGATTGTGCTACTCCCGAGCTTACTACTCTCTCTCTCTCTCTTCCCATTCGGTAATGATTTTTAATTTAGATTCTTCGATTTTTTTTTTTATAAAATTGTTATAAAAATCAAAAATCAATTTCAAAACCGAAAGAAATAATGTCAGAAATCAGAATCCTCCCAAAAAGAGTAGTAGGATTAGATATTAATAATAACATTTGATAACATTTTCCGATTATAGAGTTCATTTTGACTGTCTACGTATTACGAAATCCTTAAACCGTAGGCAGTGTAGCAACAGCATCATGAAGTTGTCAGGTTAGCAAATTTTGTAAGAGCTTCTTCATTGGTAATAGTAAGTGGTTTACTTTGATAAAAGTTAAGTAATACTACCTCCATTTCATTTTGGTTTGTCGCATTAGGATAAAACCAAATCCTTTTTTTATCTGTAGTCTTTCATTCTCAAGATATATTTAATTTTTTTTTTCCAATTTCACCCTATCTCTCTCCGGTTTTAATTGGTCATATCAATAACAACTACTTATAATTTAATTTGTTGCATATTCCCAACACAATTAATTAAGGATAAAAAGGTCAGTACATATAAAATTATATTCCTAAACATATTTTTCTTAATTTGTGTGTTTGTCTAAATGCGACAGATAATATGAAATGGAGATAGTACTAAGTTGATAAAGTAAATCCTAATAACTTGCTGTTTGGAATTTGATCACATATAGATTTTGCATATATAATCCCAGGATATCACATCTTAACAACTTGCGTTGGGGATTTGATTCGATATAAATTTTTTCATATAAAATCCTATCTTATCAGTTGTATTCTAGGTGTATTTGAAAGGAAGTACAATAGTTTAATTATCAGTATAACCCCCTAAAATCCTTCTTGTCTTATGTATAGAAAAATATAGATGCAGTTTCACAAAATCAAATGGTTACGAGAGAAGGTATTTTTATTCCAGGGCCGGGCGGCTTGAGCAGGGAAACGGAGGGAAGGAAGGCTGCCGTGGCTATGGGCTATGGCCGGTGGGATTGAAAGTGGCTCCACTGGCGATCAAGGAGGTGAAAGCGTGTAGTGAGTAAGCACATGTGTAAATGAAAAATATTCTACAGTGAAAATTTAATGGTGAATTGCAATGTTTTGGAGACAAATTTGAGTCCTTTGTTCTTTGTCTTTTTTTTTTTTTTTGTACAAATTATTAGGATTGGTTCCAAGCTTTGTTCAAATTGGCTGTAAATCCAAAAAATGCGTTTCCTTAATCTGAGATTTTGAAACATTAAACCGCCAATTGGTGATTATGAGATACATTTCAACCTGATCAATGCGTGTATGAACATCTTTATAGTAGTACTTACTTCTTCAGGTCCTATTTAGATAAGTAAAAAATTTAAACAAACTTTAATACTAATTTATACATAATAATTAGGACGAGATGGAGTATTATCACTCTTGGCATAGAATTACAATAGATTCGATTTTGTTAAAGTGGCATTGAAACTGGCTATATATTCATTTTTCTTTAATATCAACTTTTCTCAACCATGAACATTAATAAAAGTACAAAATGCACGGACATGGGAGGGTTACCACTTACCACCCAATTACTTATTGGGCAATTATTTTACTAGGCCTCATTTGAACACTTACAAATGAATTTTTTTTCCCCCTGGAATTAGGAGGGTTATCACTACTTCAAAACATTAAGTGAAAAAAAAAATACTCATACTATTACATTTAAAAAATTAAAAATGAAAACGGGTAGAATTAAAACAAAATAAATAACTAAATGAAAAATGTAGGAAAAATCAAAATAAATGGAAAAATGTGTGAACAACTAAAATATAACAAGTTGAGAATGTGAAATTTTTATTTAAAATTTGAGAATCTTTGAAAATGAGTAACTAAGAAATGATTAAATTGATAATTAATCGTTTATAAGGAAATTGAAAATCATTAGAGACAAAAAAAAAAAGTTGAATTATTTTACTAAGAGATGGAATACTCCCATCATTATGTCTTAGATTAAATATTGTTGAAAATGGGTAGTGCTTAGGTAAAATAATTGATTAATTGGTAAATACAAAGGGATTAAAACAAATTAAAAAAGACGAGTAAAACAAATAAAATACAATAACCACAAAAAATGTAATTTTTATTGAAAGAAATCAAGAACAGTAAAAAATAACCCAAGAAAGATTAATGGAGCAAATTAAAATTGAATGATATTTTAAAGGAAAAAACAGATATTCTCATTGGTACACTTTAAATTAAAAACCTCTAAAACTTAGTAGAGTGAAGAAAAAATGAATGATTAACTAGGAAAAAAAAGTGAATAAAAAACAACTAATTAAATGATAATGAGTGGAGAATGAAAAGTTTACAACTGAAGTCATAATTACAACGTGCCAATAATGATGAAAAGGACCTAAAGTGATAATGAATAGAGGAAAGAAAAAGTTAAATGATACTATTATTAAGAAGGGAAAAGATAATTTTCACCACTAAATTAAGCCAAAACAACTTACTGAATAAAGCGTGCAAAACAACTCAAATAAATGAATAAACAGGTGATAAAATTAATTAATCGAAGATATAAATTTTAGATAAAAGTTGAGGGTCACTTAAAATGAAGTAGTATAGGTGAAGATGGAAAAGAATTGATTGATGTTATTACATGGGCATGGAAGAAAAGATATTCTCTCCATTTCATTTTGAATTTAAAATCTATGGAAACAAGTTCCGTTGAGATAAAATATTGGGTTGCAACATGGCATCAGATAGTAATACGAGAGATATTCTATGCATAACCCGGTTGTCAATTTATCCACCTGATAAATATCTCTTTAAAATGAAGAAAATGCAATTTCTTTGACAATTTGTTTTGCAATAATAATGAATAAAAGTCAAGGTAAATCTTTATCACACGTAAAATTATATTTACCACGTACAGTTTTTACTCATACGCTGCCTTAGCAATCTGAAGTTGAATTTTTTGTGGGAGTCCTTAACATTCAACCTAATGTTAAATAAAGCATCACCATCTTCATGTGAAAAATTATTTTTGGTTTTTTGTATTTTATATTTTCAATTATGATCAAAGCCATTATACATTTTATAATTAACATTTTTGTTTACGATCCATAAAATAATAAAAAATTTTACTTGATTTATATTATAATTTTTATTTTTGTTTTGTTTGCCCGGTTCATCGGACGGGTTTAACACCTAATTTTATGTGATTCAAAGTAAAAAGGAAAATAAAGAAGAAGAATAAGGAGAGCCACTAGTTGTATTCAATTTGTGAAGTGGGCCATTTGGATACCAAGGATATGGGTTTAAACTGTAAGAACGTAGGCCTACTATTGATGACTACCCAATAAATGATAACAAAGACTTAATGGGCCTCATAGGACTGTTGGAGTATTATCAAACCACAGCCACAGGGAAAGCTGATGTAAGTTGGCCTTAATGCGAAGCATTTGTGTATTTGCCTTTGGTTGGAAGTTTTTGCAAGAGGCTGATGGATGCTTTCAAAAGGAAAAAAATGAGGTTGATGCAAAATTGGGATACCAAAATTAATGTCCAGTTCGAGATTTCACTTTTAGTATAATTTGAACTAGAAATGAAAGTCCAAACTAGACAATAATTATGGGACGGAGGGAGTAGTATTTTCCATGCACTAAATAAGGCAATAAATTATATTTTGAAATAGATAAGTAGTAGCCAGTAGTGCTGAAATTTATTGCACTTATTAGTTGTGTTTTAATATGATGATGAAAGACCCCAATCGGAGCAAAAAATGGTAACGTGTGCCGGCCACAAAATTATTAATTTCCATCCAAGAAATTTCACAACAAGGCTCCATCTGGAACCAAAATTGTGATACTACGTATGAAGCATCACTCAAAGAGTACTTTTTCTTTGTCATACTATTTTGAACTTATAAATCCAGCCCCTGAATTTTTTCCATCTTACGAATAAAAATTACTCCCTCCGTCTCATAATTATTGTCCAGTTTAATTTTTCATTTCTAGTTTAAATTGTATTAAAAGTGAAATCTCAAAATGAATAATAATTTCCTCCGTCTCATAATTATTGTCCAGTTTAATTTTTCATTTCTAGTTTAAATTGTATTAAAAGTGAAATCTCAAAATGAATAATAATTTTGGGACGTAGGGAGTATCTACTTTGCACTACTAATATGGTGGTAGTAGTACTAGTACTATATCTATATTTAGAGAGTCTACTTTATTGACTGCATTTAGAATTTAAAAGAAAAAAGAAAAAAGAAAAAAGAAAAAGAGAGTAGTATTTATGAGTAACTTATATTAAATTTTCTTTCCTCCAAAATGAACTCTTGACGGCAAACCACAGTAAAGACCTCCTTCTCATCCGTTCTCTTACATTACGCATTTAAATTCAATACCTACCTAATTCCATCCTTCTGTTCCACCGCTGCCAAAGCTCCCAACTGATTTCTCCCATTTATCCCTTTTGTTGTTCACTGATGATGGATGATAAGAATGAATTGGCTGATCAAAACCTCGGAAACTCTAATTCAATTAATTCAGCTGTTCAAGAAACCAGGATTACAATCAGGGATGACGGCAATTTTCAAGATAGAAGGGATCAATGTGGCGGTGGTTCTGATGAGAAGTCAAAAGGGGTTATGGGAAATGCGGAGTTGAGACAAGGGTCCAGCGGTGTAGGGGTAGGGGAGCCGTCTTGCCCGGATAATGCCGGGCGTGGGAACAAGGAGATTTTGGACAACCAAAAATTGTGTCGGATATGCCATCTGAGTAGATTAGAAGAAAAGGAAATGGATTTGTCGGATTTAATTGAACTTGGATGCGCTTGCCGTGGGGAGCTTGGTTTTGCTCATTCACTTTGTGCTGAGGCTTGGTTCAAGCTCAGAGGAAATAGGTAATAATTAATTAAAAGATTCAAACAAGCATCAAGAAATCCCCTTTTGGTCTTTTTCCCTTTAAATTATTTGTTTCGGTTGTGATTTTCAATGGCACATTTATTCGTTGAAATTCTTGTATACTGAAAAAATCTGATCTTTGTGCCTTTGTAATTCGATTTTTCTTGTGTCTGTGGAGATTCTTTTTTTAACTGCATCAGCATAATGTAAAGGCTTTGTAATTCGATTAAACTTATGTAAAGGCTACATAAGTTTCATTTATGCGGAGTTATGAAGTGGTTCGTGATTTTATTTCCTTCTTTGAGCTGTGATTAAAGCTGCATGAAATTTGCAATTTATTGATTGGTCTCACTGGTGTTTTGTAACTGATGAAGTGTCTAATTTTTTTTTGGGAAGAATGCTAATTAGTTGAAGGTTGCAGAAATAGTACTTCAAGACCCATTGCGCCTCCAACGCCTTTTGGTCTTCTTGGCATCTGTTATTTTGGCACAAATCTTTTTGGTTCTTAAAAAGAAACAGTGAGCAATTTATATCTTCACTTCCTTAATCACACAGAGGACTCCAAGCTTTGAGTTAAAACCCTAGTTGTCTTCTTTAGAATCAATATTGAGGGCCTTCTTCAAGCTCAGTTGTTCATGCTTTAAATTATGGAAATGTTGGGATGTTGGACTCCAGATAACGATCTGTTGTTCTGGCTGGCACTGATTTATTTTCTTCTGCCCTAAGTTTGACGTTTATGTATCCAATCAGATTGATTTGTATATATCTTTGAGATACGTCTATTACTGATTTATTACAGATGTTAAAGTTATTTCCCCATCTCTTGATCCAGATTATGTGAAATTTGTGGGGAAACTGCAGAAAACATCAGTGGTACCAGCGACAATAGGTTCATTGAAGAGTGGAATGAAAATGGATTGGCCGCAGGTGCTACACCCGTGTCAAGGAGAAGGGTTTGTTGGCAGGACCAACCATTGTGTAACTTCTTGATGGCTTGCTTAGTACTAGCATTTGTTTTGTCATGGTTTTTCCGTGTAAATATGTTTTGACCATATAAATTAGGATATATATTCAGTGAGTAATAGTTTCTTTTAGTTCTTGAGTTTTGTGTTGCAAGACGGAGGTTGCTAGTTTTCCCCGGTAGGATCCATTCAGTTGCAAGTATAATTCTGTGAAGTGCTTCACAAATTGGATTATGAAAGTTCATTGAGTAACCTTCACGTTTGGGCCATGGACATCTTTCTGTTTATCAATAGCGTTAGCAGGGGAAACTCGAAAGGTCAGTTCCTTTTCTGCATTAAACTTTGCGTCTGTGCAATTATTTATGTAGTCGAAGATGTGCTTCTGTACATCTGAAAGGGTCCATATTGGTACGGTTGTGAATATAATATATTCGTAGTGGTGCTATGGAAAAATTAAACTGCTGAATGGATATGTTTGGGGCTTCAATATGAATTTTCATCTTTGCCCTGTTGAATCTGCTAGAAAGACAGAACAGCTTGAACCCAAAATCTCGGTGTAAGCTAGTTCAGCCTTTCCAAATAGTTTGGTAGCCTTTAGTTCTATCAGAATTCGCCTCACCTAGTTTTAGTGCCTTGAATGTTAGCAAAGTACCCTTGAATTTGATTGTCAATCATTTATGGGAGGCAACTTTTTGAGATCTGCTTGGAGTCCTTGGTTTAGTGGAGGGATAAAGATCTCGTCTCAAAGTTAAATGGCCTTCCTTTTCTTTCCAACCATCTATGCATAGGAAACAGGTGAAATTTTTAGTTGGCTCAGACAGATTGAACCATGAAATCTTCCATTGTTGGGCGTACATATGGCTCAAGACTGATTCAGTGAATATTTGCTACTCGCAATTTGCCTCATTTTTAGATCCAACTTAGGCTCAGCGCAATACAAAGTTCTCTCCCTTGAAATCACACAATATATTAACATATGAAAGGCAAACAATCAAAATATCTGTCAACTTCTTGGTTGCTTACACTGTACTACAAGTAATAAAAGAAGTAACACAAGATTGCATTCCTACTAATGGTGTTTAGACAAGGATGAGAAACCTCAAACGTGAACCCTCTGATACCATGAAAATGTGAAAATTAATAGGGTTGTTTTACTGACATTGAGTATATATAATAGTACAATAAGAGTTATATAATTACAATAATAACCTCAACTATATCTTACTATATTAGAAACAAAAACCACATTTAAGAGAAAGCAGCATCATTTGGCATGTGGCATTTCCACATCATATTTTTAAAATAAATTTTTATTACCACATCTCCTAAATTTAGAAGGCAAATGCAGTCTAAATTCACTTCCACCTCCTATTTTCGTCAAAAAAAAAACAAAAAATCACGGGTTCAAAAAAAACTCAAATCCTCATCCACATCTCCACGACAATCGACTCCTTAATCAATCCCTTCTCCACAATTAAAAAAATAAATAAATTCTTCATCAATCATCAATTGAGAATATGTGGTGAAATATACTCCTTTCCTATTAGTACGTTCAATCTTTTCATTAGTGATGATCAACTACATCTAATCGGATAAAATTTCAATTTCAAAAAATATTCTCTTTACCTCTCTATATAAACACAAAGGAAAAAAAAATAAAATTCTCATTGAGCTTGCTTCGGCCGTTGTGGTGGTGCCATTGCAGGTATTAAAATTTAAATAATTTTATTTCCACAGATCATTGGTTTGGCTTTTATTATTTTTTGTTTTTCCCATTCAAGAATAGTGTTATTACTATTATTTTTATGTGTCCATCCGTTACAGCTACCGTAGCCGTTGTCAGGTAGCATGATGTGATTTCTTATTTGGTTAGTTAGCCTAGAATTTTTGTATGATTTTAGTTATGTTTGGATTGAATTGATTGATTGGGTTTTTGTTACAAAGTGTGATTTTTAATTTTTTTTTTTTTATGTTTCATTCAATTAGAGTGGTTTTCTTTTTTTAATTATGGAGTCTCGGGTTTTTTTTTTGTATATGGCCAATTATGAAGTGTATTTTTTCTTTGCTTAATTGCTTTTGATTTTGTTTCATACTCCCAGTTGACCAATTATTATTATTATTATTTTATTTAGAAATGAAGCACGTTTCTTTTTTTGTGTTCGGGGTTTCAAGAATATACTTTTTTAGATTTGGTTTTTGGACTTTTTCTAGTTTCTCATCGTATAAATAGTTCAGTTCGCTTCTTTTAACTAATTTATGGGGAATCCTTTTATGAATTTGAGGTGGAGAGGGAAGGAATGATGTTTCTACGTTTATTTGTGTTTTTATACATCGTTTTTACCTACAGAAAAATAATAAAAATTCTCAAATTTTAATGGGCTATCTTTTACTCTTTTTTTTTTATTTGCCATGGTAAGGTGAGTTCTTTTTTGCTATATCTTGAAACCTATGCAAATTTACATTATTTTCATTCTCATATTTGTGATCAACCAGTTTCAACAATTAACCAGTTTCAAAATCATATTTTTGATATTTTACTACCTATAAACTTTGGAAGAAATAGTTCCAACAATTAAGCGTATACCCTTTGGAAAAAGCTAACTACAAAGCTATTATAAATTTCCAAAACTAAGTATTGATTTGGGTTAACCAATGGAGAACATCAATAAATTATCTTACTAATATTTAAACTTATTAGGATGCTTTTATATTTTGTCTAACATTTACTTCAAGACATATATTTGATCAAGTTTATTTATATTAAGAAGTAACACTTATAAAATATTTCTAAAATCTTCAAACATTTCTAAAACGTACCGGGCCAAATACAATTTATTTTTTTGCCAAATACAAACATCACACTTATAAAACATTTCTAAAATTCTTCAAATATTTTTAAAATATATCGGACCAAATACAAAATATTTATTTTTCCAAATACAAACATTTCTTAGATTTACAGATATATTGAGCCAGGGTCGCGCATTGTGCGATCAGACATCACTAGTATAATCTATAGGACGGGATGGGATGTAGCATTGAGCATGTAGAGTCATGTTTTTGTGTTTGTTCCTTTTTCGTCATTCTCATGTGCAAACATGAATTCGTGATTGATGAGAGAGCGATCTTTTTCTAAAAAGATAATTTGGTGGCCTTAATTACTCTATGAGAATTGTTGGGTGGCCTACGCTGTAATTTACTCTTTAATTAGTCAGCAACTCATACAATTACTCCCCACCCCAAAAAAAAATTAGGTAAGAAATTGGAAAAACGTAACCATTTAATGCATAATTACAAACTAAAAAAAATAAAATAAAATTGTACACCAGCTCAACTTCTTAGTCAGCTTTTATTAGTTGTAATTTTTTTTATAGAGTTCGCATTTGGCGTCTGTATATTTTAGACTCTATGGATTAAATTGCTCCACCAGTTTTCTTTCACACAACACACTTAAGTTCCCATTTCAAAAAAAAGCACGCTTAAGTTATAAAAAAATTTAGGAAGCTTATAATTACTCCCCACCCCAAACAAATTAGGTAAGGAATTGGAAAAACATTACCATTTAATACATAATTACTAAGTAAAAAAAAAAAAAATCGTACATCGACATCGATTTTTTAGTCAGCTTTTATAAGTCAACAAAGATGTCGACACAGTAATTTGTATAGAGTTCCCGTTTGGCAAACACATGATCTTTACATTTTACACTATATGCATTGAATTGGTCCACCACTTTTTCTTTCACACAACACACTTAAGTTCTATAAAATTTTAAGAAGCTTATAATTGGTCCCCATCACAAAAGAATTAGGTAAGAAATCTGAAAAACGTAACCCTTTAATAAATAATTACGAAGTTAAAGAAAAAAAAAAAACCTGTACAAACTTTATAATCAGCTTTTATAAGTCGACGAGCAGGTCGACATAGTCATTTTGTATAGAATTCGCATTTGGAAAATGCAATGTCTTTACATTTTAGACTATATGTATTGAATTGCTCCACCATTTTTTATTTCACTAAAGACACTTCAGTTCTAAAAAAATTTAAGAAGCTTACAATTACTCCCCACCCCAAAAAGTAAGGAATTTGAAAAACATAACCATTTAATACATAATTACAAAGTAAAATAAAATAAAATAAAATTGTACACCGGCGTCGACTTTTTTGTCAGCTTTTATAAGTTGATGAAGAAGTCGACACAGTAATTTTGTATGATTTGTATAGACTTCGCATTTTACAAAGCGACTTCTTTACATTTTACATTGTAGACTATATAATGTATTGAATTGCTCCCCCGTTTTTTATTTACACAAGACACTTCAGTTCTATAAAAATTTAAGAAGCTCTGAGAAGTTCGAACCACCTTTAGTTAACGATAACGGCATAACGCCTACGCTCAGTTCCCGCCAATTTAAGTTGTTTGTTCCTATGGGAAATGAGAATTAAAAGTTAAAACCCATGTCTTCAATGGGGAAAACATCGGTAGTAAGCTTATGCATTTATCCTCTGGCTTACGATTATACAGGAAAACCATTCATACCAACGAAACCTTTGATCTTACCCAAGAGCCTGTCTTCAGAAACCTCTGTTTCCTCGTTAGCCAGGGGTGACTTTCGTAATTCTGTTTCTACCAAAGCTAGCATTTTGTCCGTCAATAGAACCGGAAAAGATTGTTCTTTTGACTGCAATGTCGAAATTGGCAAGTTTTGTGAAGTGGGCAATCTTCAAAAGGCCATGGAACTGTTGTGTCGGAGTGGAAATTTGGGTCTTGTCGATGTACCGACTTGTTGCTGTATACTGCAACTATGTGCCGATTTAAAGTCACTTGACAATGGAAGAAAAGTTCATTCCTTTCTGAACACTGCCGGCATTGAAATTAATGGTGTTTTGGGTTCTAAGCTTGTGTTTATGTATGTGAGTTGTGGGGATTTGGTTGAAGGTAGAAGGGTGTTTGACAAAATTGATTCTGAAAATGTCTTTCTTTGGAATCTATTGATGAATGCATATGCCAAGATGGGTTCTTTTCAGGACAGTGTACTTCTATTCTATAAAATGTTAGAGACGGGAGTTCAGGCCAATTCCTATACATTTTCTTGTATTCTGAAGTGTTTTGCAGCTTTAAGGAGTAGACGTGAGGGTGAAGAGGTTCATGCTTACCTTTTGAAACTGGGATTTGGTTCTTGTACTACGGTTGTGAATTCGTTGATTACTTTTTACTTCAAGTGCAGAAGAATTGAACATGGTCAGAAACTGTTTGATAAAATGTGTGAAAGAGATATCATCTCATGGAATTCAATGATGAGTGGATATGTGGTAAATGGTCTGGCTCAGAAGGGTATCAAAACTTTCAATGAGATTCTGAGGCAAGGTGTTGGAGTTGATTTATCTACAATGGTTGTTGTTCTCGCTGCCTGTGCTGATGTTGGTAGCATTTGGTTGAGTAAAGCAATTCATGCTTATGCCATGAAAGCTGGATTTGCGACGAAAATGGATTTTGACAATACTATTATGGATGTGTATTCCAAATGTGGGGACATTGGTGGTGCAGTTTGTATTTTTCAGAACATGGTTGAAAAAGATATCGTGTCCTGGACTTCAATGATCGCAGGATATGGTCGAGAAGGCATGTCTAATGAAGCATTTGAATTATTCCGTACACTGAGAAAAAGAGGAATCAATCCTGATGTTTTTGTTGTCACAAGTATCCTTCATGCTTGTGCATGTAGTGGTTCATTGGAAAATGGCTTGAAAGTGCATGAATACATCAAGGAAAATAACATGGAATCCAATTTGGTTGTCTCCAATGCTCTTATGAACATGTATTCAAAATGTGGAAGTATGGAAAATGCTGAAAACGTTTTCTCTCGAATGACAACTAGGGATATTGTATCATGGAACACAATGATAGGAGGGTATTCAAAGAATGGTTTACCCAGTGAAGCGCTGAACATGTTCATTAGAATGCAGCTCCAATTTAGGCCTGATGATGTTTCAGTAACTTGCATCCTTCCAGCTTGCGCCAGCCTCGGAGCATTAGAGAGGGGTCGTGAAGTCCATTGTTACCTGTTAAAAAATGAACTTTCTTCGGACCTACTTGTTGCTAATGCACTTGTTGACATGTATGTAAAATGCGGTGCATTAGCTACTGCGAAGCTGCTCTTTGATAAGATTGTGTTGAAGGATCTTTTCTCGTGGACAATAATGATAGCTGGATTTGGTATGCATGGGTTTGGGCGTGAAGCTATTGCTACCTTCAATGAAATGAGGCAAGCAGGTATTGAGCCTGATGAAACTTCTTTTATTTCCATTCTTTATGCTTGTAGTCATTCTGGCTTATTTGATGAAGGATGGAAATTCTTTAATTTGATGAGGAATGAGTTTCACATACAACCCAAACTTGATCACTATGCATGTATAGTAGATCTTCTGGCTCGTGCAGGGAAATTGTCCATGGCATATAAGTTTATCAAGAACATGCCACTTGAGCCTGACGCGACAATCTGGACAGTACTACTTAGCGGATGTAGAATGCACCATGATGTGAGACTGGCAGAGAAAGTTGCAGACCATGTCTTTGAGCTAGAACCCGAAAACACACACCATTATTTACTTCTAGCAAATATATATGCAGAGGCAGAAAAATGGAACGAAGTTCAGCAACTGAGGCAAAGGATGATTAAGCGCGGCTTAAAAAAGAACGTAGGTTGTAGTTGGATTGGGATGAAGGGCGAGGTTTATATTTTTGTCTCAAGCAGGACAAATCACCCTGAAGCAAGAAACATTACACTCTTGCTAAAAGATTTGAGCAAGGAAATGAAAGAACAGGGCGACGCTTCCAGAAAGAAGTATGCACTGATCAACACAGAGGAGAAGCAGAAACAGTTTGCTCTCTGTGGGCACAGCGAGAAGTTGGCAATGGGTTTCGGGATATTAAGGTCACCGCCGGGGAAAGCTATAAGAGTGACGAAGAATTTGAGAGTATGTGGTGAATGTCACGAGATGGGTAAATTCATGTCCAAGAAGTTTGGAAAGGAGATCCTATTAAGAGATTCCAATCGGTTCCACCATTTTAAGGACGGGACATGTTCTTGCAGAGGTTACTGGTAAATAAATATTGTCCAGAACTCAGCAGAGTTTTGTTTTTCTGGGTTACATATGACGATGAATGGCGGTAGTGATGATAGCTGATGGCCGCTGTTGTTGTTGTTGTCCGAATACATATGTCAATGTAATGTCAAAACGGTATTGACGAAAACGTTTAAAAAATAGTGTAATTTGCAGAAACCATATGTAGTCTTCCAGTGCAATTTCAAGGATTTTTAACAACGTCACCATAAACACTTTTGTGTCTATTTTAATTATTAATTAATAATAACGAATAATGTAGGCCTATCCAAATATAACATACTACTACTATTTTGTAAATAAGGCAAAAGGAAAAAAGAAAAGGGGGAAGAAATGTCCGTTATAATGATCAGATTCATTATGAGACAAACTGTAAAATAAGTTATTACAGTATTTGGCACTTTTTAGGACAAATGATAAACAATGACATTTCGATGCCACAATTTGTACCTCGGCTTTAACCTCTTTCAATGTTTTAGGCCTTATGGAATGTGCTGATGCCTGATGGACTTGAAAATTAATAGTTCATCTAACATTTTGTTAGATTGCTAATAATAGTACCAGAATTAAATGTAGGTTAAACTATATATGGCGAGCGTTACATGAAAATATATTGATAAATGATACTCTGTTTCTAGATCGATTTATAAGTTCCTCAAAAACAATAAATCAAAAGCGAAAATAACGTCCAGAGAAGGAATGACTTTGTCCTGGAGCCGAATAAAAATATGTCAATAAAGGGCAGAAAAAAAGATTCAATCTTTCCTTTTTTTGATGATAGATGAAATCATACAGCACATCAAAAAAAACAACCACAGCTCAAAGAAAAAAAAAAAAAACATCTCACCGTTTTCTTCTTCCAGCAAACGTAATCAAATAGAAAGAATCATCATCACCAATACTCAAATTTAAAATTACTTTTTTTTTTTTCAATCACTGTAATTTTGAACTATACTTCAAATTTAGACAATTCTCATCACTAACTAGCTACCAATTTCCTTCTCCTATACTAAATTAGGCCAAAGCCAGAACCTTTCCATAACTTGATCATTTTTCATCTACAGCATCTTGACAAAAGCACCAAGAAAATAATTAAAAACACAATGGATGACAGCGCAATTGCAATTCCAAGAACAACCTTACTTGGCCCATGATGATGCTCCTGTTTATTGTTGTCAGAGTAATCATCAGCGCTGTAATCATCACTTGAGCTGTCAGAAGACGTATCCTTAGCTGGAGGAGGAGACATGGGCAATCCATGTTTATCACAAGGAGCAATCCCAAGCTTTACTTTGACAGCCAGAGTTGAATGGTTATAACACAGATTGCCATTGCCACCAAGCTTGAACACCTCCAATCTTGCCAGAAATGATGCATTGAAAGGCAAAATCCCATGAAAACTGTTCTTCTCAAGATTCAAGTACTTGAGCTTCTTCATATCAGCAAGGAACTTTGGAACCGTCCCGTTTAGCTTATTAGACCCCAGATCAAGATGAACCAAATCTGGCATAGCCGCAATTGAATCTGGAATCGACCCTGATATCGTATTGGAAGACAATGACAGATTCTGCAGTGAAGTTAAGTCACCAATGGAAGAGGGCATTTCTCCTTCCAGAGAATTAGATGACAAATTGAGGACCAACAGATTCTCCATAACATTTATAGAAGAAGGAATCCTCCCTTTCAAATGGTTTCCAGACAAATCTACATAAGTAAGATTTGGATGCCAATGTTTAGGGAGAAACCCAGTGAGATTGGTATTCGAAAGTGTCACAGAACGAAGTTTCTTCAAGCTGTCAAGGATGATACCCGGACCACTGGCACTAACAGGAACATCAGAAACGGTTAAATCAGTAACATTTTCCAGCTTACTCAGCCAGACACTAGTGAGCTTCTTGAGGCTGTTTATGCAAGTGAAAGTGTGAAGATTTGAGGTGAGCTCGGAGGGGAAGCGGATAGGGGAAATGGGACAGTTAATGAACTGGAAAGAAGTTAAAGTGGAGAGGGATTTGAGGGCAGTAAGAGACAGAGCAACATCCTCGGAGCAGTTGGAAAGTGTGAGAGAAAGGAGATGCCTAAATGGGCTGGAAGCGTCACAAATGATGGTGGAATTGTGGGCCGGCGAACAAGGGTCCCTGGAAGTGGGAATGTCTAAGGATTGGAGGGCTCTAATTTGTTTAGGGTCAAGTGGGGAATGGGAGGAAATGGGAGTGGAAGGAGTTGATGGTGTTTTGGGGGAAGGTTTAGCAGGGGAGGCGGTTGGAGATGGGGAGGCGGAGGCAGTGGGTGGAGATGCGGTGGTTTCTTTGGCGGCGGAGATGGTGGTGGCTAGGAAGAAGAGGAGGAGGAAGGTGGTGAAGATTGGGGAAGATGACGCCATTTTGGGTATTTGGGAAAAGAATGCTTTTTTAAGGAAATCAGTGAGAAATGAGAATGGAAGAATGTGTCCAAAACTGAAAAACAGAGAGTGAGATATTGTGAACGGTGAAAGGCTTTGAAACAGCTAAACCCAACCCCTTAATTTTATAGTCCTGGTTTTGAGTTTATTTACCAAACTTGCACTTCAATATTTTTCCTATTCTTTTCACACTGTCTCATCAATTCCCCTCTAATTCTTTTTTTTTTTTTTTTTTTTTCAATCCCCCTTCTTCTTCACCAAGTTTAGCATATATCACCAACTTCAGAATTTTCCAGATGGACATTGTTGAAATTATGTTAATACATTTTTATAGTTATAAAATAAAATTAACAAACAGGGGTAAGTCGATTGGTAGATCAATTGAATATATCCAACTGACATGTATAAGAGTATAAATAGTAACGGAATCAGTTACTCAGACTTGGAGAGACAAGGTTAATCATGACTATCCTTAAGGGGATCTCTGGCCCACTGGGTCCCGACCCTCTTAAGGCCTGCATACAGGGGCAAAGGCAAGATATAGTCAGCTGGGGCAGTTGCCCCAGCTCAAAATTTTTAAAATACCTCTTATATAGTATTAAATTATAAAATGTACCACTAAATTTTAAAACATTTTCAGTCTTGCCCCAACAAGATTTGCATATATTTTGTTTGCCCCACCTACTATTGAGGGCTTGGCTCCGCCTATGCCTGGGTATAAGTCATGTTATAATATAGAGTTATAAATTGTGATGAAAGAGAACATTAAGTGTGAATAGCCTCAGTAACGGTCTTTTTATCTTCATTATTGGAACCAAACACCTGTCTGCCTGCGAGATTAATAGTATATTATTGATATAGTTTCCAACTAGAAATAACCTGGAGCTTATGCCCACATGGACTTGGAAAAGCAAGAGTCTCTCTGAGATTCATTCGAACAACAACTAATCTGCATAGAATAAAAGGGGGGGTGGGGGGGTTGAAAAGAAATCATTAATCCAATCTTACTCCCAGCAAACCATGTGAGCAACAACCCAAGTTTTATGAACAACCTGGGAGAATGTCATCACCGGGTCAAATCCTCCAACAAGTCAACATAAGTTGCAACTTAAACAAAATGGTGATTCAAACAGCGGGGATTATTAGGTGATAACACTGAGAATATAAATTTGTGACAACTGCCCAGTTATGTGTCCAACGGTCCAAGTCATTTAAGAAAAACCCACTGGTAGAGCTATTTATTATTTTTCTCCCCGGATTGTATCTGTTTTATTTACGATTACAAGTATAAATTTTACAATATGCTATAAAACTCAGGATAATACTTATGGCCTATTCGATAAAAATTAGTGCTTAATTCTGAATGCATAATAATAAATTAGAAATATTAAATTCATTAAACGGTTATGAAATAAGCAATAAGCTAACTTTATTGCTTATATTTTGTATTACAGTTTCAGCACCACTATTATTAAGAGATTCGGTTTTTATTATCAAACGTGCTAAAATAAAAAAATATTTAATTAAATAATTTTAAGCATTAAGTGACATAACCAAACAGGCCCTTATTCACTTACTTAAATTGACTCCAAGTAAGCAGAAAATGAATTGTTAGAAAGATGGGAGAGAATCCATTTTGGACGGAGTGGTTGAATAAATTATGTAAGTTCATCATTTCCTTCACGGTCAAACTTTCTTATTTTTTAAAACCATTGTCACTTTCAATATAGGCTGGAGATTTATGATTTTATAAACATCGGTAGAATTAATAGTAGCTGGATTTTAGTATGGGAAATGATTGTTCAAAATTTGCTTCACTTGTGTTATATTTACGTATGGACCACACAAGTAAAGAAGGTTAAAGATATAAAAGTTTATGTTTGATACAAATATACTATTCCCTCCGTCCCATAATTATTATTCAGTTTCAGTTTTTATTTTTAGTTTAAATTATATTAAAAGTAAAATCTCAAAGTGGACAATAATTTTGGGACAGAGGGAGTATTTTTTAAAAAATAAGACTCTTTTTTTTGAGAATTTGGTTCACTCTTCCTGTTGAAGCAAAAGTAGAAAGGAACTACATATTTTTATCAAACAACTATCACAATACTAAAATGACTATATCCATTCATTTCTTTCTTCTTTGTTGAAGAATGATTCTTCCTTTTTGAACACTCAACAATTGAGCAAATTGTAATTCATACATTCTTTTCTTCTATAAACTTATATCTTAGCTACAAAGCATATATGAGATGATGATGAGTAGTTCCAAAATTTAAGCAAAAAAGTCTTGTCTGGTCCAAAACCTCAGCAGTCAATTGAAATGCAGCCTTGAGCCAGTTTAGAGGGATCCACTTTGCTCACAAATGGATTTATCTTAACCCAAACAAGAGAGAAGACAGAGGCTAATAGCACAGACCATAACACAACAATGGTTGGTGTCCTGTTTTGGCGCCCCATTAGACCTTTGAGGAAAGGATATAGATGAACAATCACCCAAAATGCGAAGAACACTTTGCCGAATAACGGTCCCCAAGACTCGTATCCGCTGTTTAATGCATCAGAGAATCCAGCAACCACACCAACAATGTTGATAATGATGATGGTTGTTGGAGGGATCAGAACTGTTGTCCATTTGATCATGTACAGTTCTCCAAACTCTGTGTCGTCCGCTGCTTTCGCTGTAACTGTGAAGTTAGTGTCAACACCCGCCAGCATTTTGAGAAATCCTTGGAACACTGCGAAAAGATGGGCAGATACACCTCCAATGACCCAAAACTGCTCGTTACGCCATAAAGCTTCGATGCTTACACCACTCCATCGCAGCTCTAGCACACTCGTGGATATGATGGAAATGAAGAGCCCGAGAAATAGAGCACTTGCGAGATTTGATAGCTAAAATCCAAGAATGAAAATCAATGTTAGTCACACTGGAGATATCATCAATTCAAACATAAAAAAAAGAAGGCAAACAGTATGTTTCTGAAGCTGCAGCTGAGGCTGGAAAAACTTTACCGTTGGTATGATGAATTTTCCAGTCAGGAGACAAACAGCTGGCAATATACAGTAAGCTACTAGCGGAAGCGATGTAAAAGGATAGACAATGGTGTTGACGTATGCAAGTCTTTGAAGCAACTTAAGACGGCCACCACCCCATCCGTACCACAGAGGACAATGTCTGCTCAGGAAAATCTCAACAGATCCCAAGGCCCATCGCAGAACCTGATGCAAACGATCAGACAAGTTGATTGGCGCTGATCCTTTGAATGCTGGTCTTACCGGCATGCAGTATAATGATCTCCATCCACGGCAATGCATCTTGAACCCCGTCAAGATATCCTCTGTCACCGAACCATATATCCATCCAATCTAAGAGAGGAAAATACATGGGAAGAGCATTAATAAGTTAGAATTGCCAGAAGACAGTGTAAGATGTTTTTGTGTTGGCAGATATGGCAGGGAACAAATTCAGACCTCTTTACCCCATGCAGTCTTCTCTTCATAACTGCAGCTGATAACCTGGATTGCTTCTTTGATCAATGTGGATGGATTTGCAGACTCAGCTACACCGCCATTTTCCATCAATGTGGACTCAATAAACACAGATGACATGCCAAATGTCTTCTCAAAACTCATTTGTGAGATCAGCAATGACCTCTCATACTCATCATAACCTGAAGACAGTAAAAGTTGCTTCTTAGTGCTAGTGCAATTAATCGTACCCGAGCATTATAACACTGAAGGTTTCATATAAAAGATTTTAATCATCGAAGCAAACTCACTCTCAATTTCCCTGAGGTTAAAAATGGCAGCATTCAGATCTTCTCTTTTTGCATCACGATAAATTTCTGCAGGATCTTTTTCTTTTGCAGGCTTCTTACGCAGGCAGCAGCAACAGCTTGAATGAGATGAGGAAACCTTGGTTGCATTGGGCAAGGAGGGCGGTCCATATCCATAGAGTGCTTGCCTGTTGAAAACACATCCAGTACCCACATACATCGGACCTTGAATGCCATCCAGCCCTTTCATGTTAACCTGAATGTGCAAAATAGTTAGCTTTGGTGAACTGTTATCTGTACAAATCGGGATCTTAGACTTATTTATGCAGAAATTATGTTTCTTTTGTCAGTCTTCTTACAAGTTCAACAGTTCACTACATCTAATGAATTAATCAAGTTCTTACATCGAAGAAGACTGTATTGCGATTAGCATATCTGTCACTTTTGTCGATACCATCAAACCTCTGTGGGAACTGAACGTAACATACATCCCTTCCAACTAGTGGATCCATCAGGAAACACATTGCCTCACGAATAGCCTTGCTGTTGTTCACATAGTGATCACAATCAAGATTGAGAATGTATGGTGCATTTGTCAAAACTGCAGACACCCGTACCTTCAAAAAAATCATAACTTTTGTGTTAGTTGAATAAGGTAAGATGAAATCTACATTTTACTGCATTTGTGATAAGAATCAAAGAGCTACTAGATGGAGATACCAGAGCATTTTCAGCACCAGCTTTTTTGTGATGTTGGTATCCAGGTCTCTTCTCTCTTGAAACATAAACCAGCCTAGGAAGTTCATTTCCTTCAATGTCATGGGCACCAGTATTTCCTAGGAATACCTGAAAGTTATGAATAAACATTAGTCAGAGAACTTGATAATTTTAATTCAATTTTAAGAATCAAGTCAGTTTTACTTCATTCAAACATTTTCTGATGACTACTAGGCATATCCAACTGAAAAGAATGAGTTTTCACATTCCAAGTTGTCAGACAAGGGGCAACTTCTAGCTTCCTTTTGCCTTCATATGCAATTAGTCAAGGTTTTTTTTTTTTTTCTTTTTGGGGTTAAAGTTAAGTTATTACACAGAATGAGCCATAGGATATAACTCTCACTGACTTACTCGTAAAGGTCCTAGGTTCTTGCATTGTCAATCATAGGTTCAATACACCAAGATGAGTGTGCAATTTGAAATTAATTACATCAGCAAGCTGACCTGAATCATGCCGGGATGGTCCCGTGTGTTATTTCCTGGCCAAGGTGTTCCATCTTGCATTGTCCAGCCTTCATCTGGAGTTTTTTGAGCTTTGGCTACCAATGCATTTATCCTTACTTTATACTCTTCATATTCTCTCTGCAGAAGGAAAATGACACAAAAGGAGACAACAATTAGATGCATTATAAAACATCTTTTGCCTATCTGGAAGCAAGAATGATTTTGAAGTAGATAAGTGTAAAGGAAGCTGTTATGGATTATGCTGATGTATAGATGCTTACTTTCATCGCTCGACGTTCCTTCACAAACGATGGCTGCACTTTATCCTTCAAGTAATCAAACTTCTGTGAGAAGTAAAATTCAGGTGCTCGTGGTTCAATAGCAAACTTCTTGCAGAATGGAACCCACTTTCTGGAAAATTCAGCAGTTTCAGCAAGTGATTCAAATGTGAGCATTGCAGCACCATCATCAGATACGTAGCAGGAAACCTTGTCAACAGGGTAGTCCACAGCAAGAATTGAAAGAACAGTGTTGGCAGTTATCAGCGGAGGTTCTTTTAGAGGATCAACTGTACTGACAAAGAAGTCGACAGCAGCAAGCTGAGATGGTTCACCTTCTCTTTCATACCTGTAATCATGGGAAACAAACTCATGTTAGATGCTCGTATAACCTAATGAAGTTTGCATTCTAATCTGCCACAACAGAAAAAATGAACTCTATTCTAGCTCTGCAAGAACATTTAGCTCTCCTTCATGAAAGTACTTTAGTCTACCGAGGGCCACTAGGCCAGTGAGTTTTTTTTTTTTTTATAATTTTAAGGGCAGTGAGGTTCATCATGGAATCTAGTGAAGAATCACAGCATTATTTGGGAGTGAACTAATGAAAAAACTGGACAGGAAAGCACAAAAGGGACTGCTGATTCAGAACAGACAATTTATAACCGCCAACATATTAGTCAGTAGCTGGAAATGGAAACAAAAATTTGGACTCTGTATAAGCAGAAGGATAAATGAAATCTGGTTACAGACATTCTACTGTAATTAGGCTCCAAATTTATACCTTGCTGATAACCTGTCAATGAATGTAGTCCTGTTGACCGGGGACCATTTAGGGAACTGATCCAAAACCCACGAAAACGCAAACCAGATCTCACAAATAACAGAAGTAAGCCATAGAGCATATGCACTATCAACAGGATGTGTCACTCTATAGTGAATGAAAAGCCCCAGAATGATCAGCCGCATTATGATTACAATCCTGTATGAAGTCTGTTGAGTTCTTGGTATTGGAGCTACAATGGAAAGAGGCTGAGAAGCCTCTGCCAATCTGCAAAAGTTTCAAAAAGCATTGTTTTATGAGTAAGCATACCAGATGACTCCATCAACTCTAAGACGCCTTTTACAACATAGACTATAATGCTTGGTAAATGAGATCCAAATGTTTTAGTATCATCTAGTGGAGGGCATCCGAATCTTTTCCATTCTTCTTTTTATAATCATAAAACCTGTTAAAAATACTTACTGTCCTTTTTCTTCCATCTGCTGGTCTACAGGAATTTGAACTTCTTTCACGGGCTTACTTTTATCTTTTTTCTTCTTATTCTTCTTCTCCTTCCAGCTTTCAACCCTATTTTTCCATATTGGATTCCCATATTCATCAATGTATTCTTCAATTATACACAAGAAAAACACACAAGTCAGTGGCTGTAAAGCTGGGAAAGAATATCTGCAAAACCCTTTTACAACTGTAAGTTTCATCTTACTTACCACTGTCTGCCGTGGAAACACTACTAATGTTCCTGGCATGAAGCCCAACATCCTGCACCACCCATTCAAGATCACTCAACATGTGCTCAAAACCAAGGAGAGAACATTTTCTGAGCAGCAAAAATGTAAAACGCAAACCTGGTCTTTGCTAAGGTGAGAAGCCATAGTGGTATGCCCTCCAGATTCATCTGCCTTGCCATCAGTGATCAACGAGCTGTCTGCACCATCATTTGACAAATGACTTAGTACAATATCAAATCGATTCAGAACATTTCTATGATCATTTTAGTTTGCAACTGGATCAGTAAGCACGCTAAGCATGCACATACGAATAGACTCTCTCTCTCTCTCGCACACACACATAAATACAGCACATGCACTGATGCTGAAGATGAACAATATGCAACTGGAAAAAAGAAGTAGGGGATTTATTCTACATACCATCGTATGGAGTGGCGCAGCGAATACATGAAGCCCGACCATCCTTGATTTCATACTCAAAACAGGATCTACAAATGGGATAATTGCATTCATGGCAAGCCACAAACACTTCACCATTTGAAGTCAACCCAATTTGTTCACCACAAGTGTTGCACAAAGGAACACCGGATTCCATCATTTTTGGATCAATTCCTGGAACCCCCTCTATTTTGCTCCTTTCCCTTCAATCCTTGTTGTTTATAAGTATACAAAAAACTATTCCTATAACAGAAGGGGAGAAACAATACTATATTGGGAGGGGGTTGCAGTTGAAATGGCAAGTTATTTAGTAAAGGTGAAGGAGGGTGGCGGGTTGATGCATGATACTGAATACTGATACAGATGGCTGGCAAATGGAGGTTGAGGTGTTGGTGTCAGGAGTGAAGATGAAAAGCAAAGTCTGTTCCTCTGTGGACGGATGGAGGGAATTTTTGAAAAAAATTTTGCGGGACTTTGAAGGAAGCCTGTGGTTGGTTGGGCTCTCGTACATCTCCCAACTAACAACTAAACAGACTTCAGGACTACGGTCTTCTTTCTTAATTTCCTGCACATTTTCTTCAATCATCAAGTAAAATAACCCGGCTCGTCAAATTTTTTTTTTGATAATCTGTTTCAGTAATTTATAGGATCATCTCAATAGTTAACTAACTGCAATTTGCTAATGCATCGATAAATAAGATAGTGAACTAAATTAGAAGCAGTGAATCATACACTACCAGAGTTGGTTTTTATCCCAAGCAGAAAAAATCTAAACAATAAAATTATCTGGTGACTTAAAAAGCTATTGTTGCACGAGAATTAGATATTTTTTGAATTGTTCTATTATCTGAAAGATACAATGTCCTTTTCTTTTACCTATTGGAGCAAGAGCTTTTTACCCATTGGAACAAGAGTTTTTTCTTCTTTTTTTAAAAAAATAAAAAAATAAAAAAAGGGGATTTATAGAGCTACGATTACAGAGTTTTTACTGCTGTATGTGGTAGATATTTAGGTACAAAACGTAATGACATGATCATCAAAGACATGATAATTGGTAAGTTTGTCTTTTCGTTCATTTTTTTACATATTACAGCAGTCAAATAATATTCTGACGCAACAGAGGATGTCCTCCTCCTGTTACCTTCCACCACAAACTTCAAAACAGAAGTGTAAGAGAAAGATAAAGAAAGCTACACTTCTACTCTCACATCAACATTGAGATAGAGTAAGGAAAAGAGAACAGCACCAAAACTACCAAAAAGCTCCCAGTAGCGCCACTACAAAGGTTAAAGTTTCTAGACCTAAGCTAAAAGAATAAATTCCTCTGCAAATCTAATCTACAAGTCTGAAGGGAGTCAAAATCTCCGGAAAGCATCAGCGGGAGAACAGATTCTGCTTACTTTCTGCGTATTTGACGAAGGATTCTTTGATTTAGGTTACACTAAAAACCTTGACGACCCTAGATGTATCACAAACAACAAGGTTCTCTGAATCCATAGGCGTAGTACAGAGCCAGTTAACCTGTCCGACATGTGCAGCTAGTCATGACAAACTTTGAGCGGAGGAAAAAGGATATGACAAAACCTGGTGAAGGAAATGCAGGACTAACCTTTTTGCTCAAGCCGAAATTCTTAGATAGAATATTGGTGCCGCCACTGATTGCTCCAGCATCATAAGAATCGTACCAATCCCATACCTTCACTGATTTATCATTTCCGCCGGAAATTATAAATTTACCTTTCTCTCCAAACAATGAAAATGTCCTAGTTTAAAAAATTTTAAGTCAGCAGCAGCGTCGAGATGATGTACAAAAATGAAACTAACTCAACTATGGATACTTACACACAGGATACAGCAGCAGAGTGACCTCCCATAGAATGCTCCAAATGCAACTTCTTCCTGCTTCCAACATGAAGCGGACCAGGAGAAATACTGCTGTCAGACACCGACTTTGTAACCTTTTTGGTTTTAGATGAAGTCTTGGACTTGATTGCAGCTAGTTCCAGTTCAATATTGAGCACATTTACAGCACCATCACCCCTAGCCACAGCACAGATCTTGCCCACTTTATCTACCACATCTATATCAGGAACAGCCAGCGAGTGGACAAAGGCAGGATTCAAACACTGTCCCGAATCACCAGTATTGGTCATATCAGGCATTCCTGCAACAGAAAGGGAAATATATAATCATCTATAAGCCGGATATGATAATCTCCCAGTATCAATAAAAGCTAATGTAGCTTGGAGGTAGAAAATAGCACAAAAAACAAATGATTAAAAAAGAACTAAAGTATCCATCATCATATTAATATAAACTAGTGATTTTATCGGCAAAACTGATTAATCAAATTGCAAAGGAAAAAAAAACTTATGTTGAGAGTAGGACTGAGGAATGCATGCACAAAATTTGATAAACTACAAACACTAAGAGAAAGAACAGATGAGAATACCAAAGTCTGCAACTTTCTGAGGGCGTCCCTTCGAGAAGTCCCACATGAAAAGCTTTGAATCAAGACCACCAGTAATGACTACAAAACAAAAGCATAAAAAGATAAATGATTACATACACATCATGTAAAATATTGGTCCATAAAAAGTACTGAAATTACTGAAAGAATTAACGCCTAAAGACTTAATTTAGCAACATAGCTTGGTAGCTTTTCACCACATTCGTCGCCAGAAAGAAAGATAAAACTTCTACGTCTAGAAAGCTAGCAAATACTTGAGTTTCATATTTAATTTAGTCCAGATTAGCAGAGTAACACATGCTCTCACTTGTCAATAGGCAATAGCCAGATTACCAAAAATCTCCATGGGTCGACCCTTCCACAATTCAAACATGGAATTGCACTTGAACCAACAGTACATGGGAAGTGAACTTCTAACTTGCTTATGGCACCTCATTTCAATATCCTTTGGTAAACTTCGGGGAAAGATACAAAACTGACTACCAACATATTTGGTTCTATGATTCTAACTACTTAAGTTTGCTATTCCAAGTCAGGAGTTAATTGCACACATGGAGTTAATTGAAATAGAAAAACCAGAATATACCAGCAAAATGCACACATGTCAGGAGTTACGTGTAAATTTTAGGTTTTTGCTCGGGGATATGTTAATTAGCACTAGTAAGATTTTGTATGAAGTTAATTTTACACACTTTTGCAGACAAAACAAGCAGATATAAAATATTGTGGAAATTGAGGCGATAGACCAGTTGACATACATGTCAAATATATAGAATAGCAGCTGAACATTCATACAGGAATTTGAAAACAATGAACAGATCTACTCATTTATAGAAGAAGATAGTGAAAGCGGTTTAATGAAAGACAACTGCCACCTGGTCATCCACGCTTGAAAGAATATCTTACAAACTCATGAAAATTATCAAATTACCTTCCCAAGGTCTCCAAGGTAGGAACTGAACGCTGCTACAAATCTATAAATATCAATTAAGGAAATTTTCCAGGTACATGTGTCTTAAAAGAGAAAAAGAGAAGAAATAACTGATGAAAATCAAGTAGCAGTTTCGAAGAAAAACAGACCATCAAAGTTAGAAACGTATCTTCAGAAGGATACAGTAGAATGTCCAGCTCTTAATGTTTTATAAAGGCAATGATTCCGGATGTCAACTATCTGAAATAATGAGAACTATCAGGAAACCAGCTGTCGAAAAAGGGTGGGGTGGTGGGGGAAGGGGAGGAGGAGATTTGTATTAAGGAGTACAAATTAAAAGTGGATCCAAATTTACAGAGGATGGTCATTTGTATATTCAATGTCACTACTTTCTGTCGCTGTTCTCATTCCAAATATTTCCGAATCAAATGCATTTCTATTGAGTTTAAAATACACATTCAAAAACAATACAAAGTAGCATAGCAGAGGCGTATTAGATAACCAGAAAACTAAAACTAATTAATGATAATTTTCACCAAGAGCACATACTGACACTCATAGCACCTCCCGCCCCCACCAAAACCAAAATTACCCAGGTCCCAGGAGACTTTGTACATACTATTTTTTCCATTGCCTTTTTGTCATAATGATTGCAAAGAAATTGGTCATGTCTTATGGATTTACTTTTATCGCATCGTCGACATCAATAGGAAATCATGAAACCATATCACACAACAAAAGTTGAGAAGAGAAAAGGCCTTACGTAAAATTTGATTGCAACGTATAAATACCTTAACATCACCACAATCATCTGCCGCAGCAAGGAAAGATGACTTCGGGTTGCAGGCAATCTGCAGACAAAGAAAAGAGCAATTAATGGAAACGGCTTCAGAAGTAAGAATGAACATAATACACACCACAAAGAGAATCCAGGGATTAGCATGAAATGAATCATGTGAAGGAAAGAGAGTAAAATCCAAACAAGTTCATTTTAGTAGGGTAACAAGAAATGGTACCACTGCTATTGAAACATCAAGTTGGGAATTCTACAATTAAATGAAAAAAAAAAAAAACTACAGCATAGGGAAGTGAGTAATTAAATGCGGTCGTGATGTCTTTTAGAGGCGCTGTTTACCCAAAAATGTTGCTTCTAAAGTGAAACGCCAGCTTCTGCTCCATTAAGTGGTATGGAATTTAGTGATATGTGCATTAGAATCCCAAAATGGAAATCTGGTACTGTGCTGACTCTACACATCTATGAAGGCACTATAACGTGAGCATAGTTTTCGGGACAAACACAGTAACAGGAAATAGCTCTTAGGAATCACATGAAAGGTAATTTTCTATTAATGTAAGGATTATGAGGCAAACGAAGGCAAAACTGATACAGATCAAATAAGATTAAAAGAAAACAGTGTATATGAATGTTGTTTTACAAAAGAAGCAGTGAAACTAGACAAACAGGCTGAAAATCAACAAGCATCAAGAACCTGGTAAGTTTCTGCTGCATCAAGTATTCCATCGAAATGAGAAGGATATGAAAAAATCCCTTATCCAAACTTCAAAGGAAGCAGATTTTATTTCAATCAAGAAGTCTTGTTTTATTTCATATATAAATCCATGACACCTATTTAGGTGGGTTCCACCTAGTGGGGAAAAGGCTTGTTGTTGTTGTAAAAAAAAAAAAGGTTAAAAAAAAAATCCATGACACCTAATTATTTATGTTCCAAACTGTGGCAGGAGTTCTTAGGAATAAAAAAACAATAAGATAGAGGAAAGGTGTACTTTATACAATCTTAATGCATAGTAGGACATTCATATCATCAATCAACTCACAAGACATGATTATGCAGATGATGTGATGATGAGATGCAGAATAAAAATATCACCTGATTTATCTCATCCTTATTGTAAGAGTAGCTCTCTAGTGGCTTCCATGATGCGGCCTTCAACAAAATAGGAGGTAAAATGTGTCAGCCCATCAGGAAATGGGTGGCGTGAGAAGGGGTAAGGAGAGGGCCACTCTTTCGATTTGGCAGAAAATGATAACTGTTTTGCATTATGATAAGTTAGATTACAACACCAAATTAGCCTTGGCTTCAACTGGCAAACTATAAATCATTTTCATACCTCAAATACTGCAGAAAATATACCTATAAAACAAGTGGCACTAAATCTCTATGTTTTCAGATGTCTGTAGAATCACACTAGCTCAAGAAGGTACCAAGCATTAATTCCGCAACCCAGAGCATATAATTTAAACCTACGATGCCTCTCAATCACGTAGTGTACACTAGGCTAACTTTGGCCATGAGCAATATCAAACCATAAAGATCCACTATATACTTATACATACATATATATGTATATATATATAATATGCATACCTACAGACACGCGCACACACACACACACACACACACACACACATATATATATATATAGATATAGATATATATATGTATGTATGTATATATATGTATATATATATATAGAGAGAGAGAGAGAGAAACTTTCATTATGATAGTATATCTTACCAGGTTCACATCATAACATCTGACTTCATTTCCAGCAGACACATAAATAATGTTTTCATTCCCTACATAAATCAAGAATTATATTCAGCGATGAAACATCGGTCCATCTAGCTCTCTGCAATTATAGCAATGATAATTTTTCTAGTTTTGCAATGTAACTAGAACTTTAGTATCCCACAAAAGATTGCAACTTTCATTATTTCATAGCTTAGGACAGGATGACTGATATGATGTTTAAGATATATGATTTCTGCCTATTGACATACATTTCACACTGTGTACAAGGGATTAAATTAATGAATGTTACATAACAGTTCAGCGAACTCCTGTGTCTACCATAATAGAGATGTTACTTATCTTATGATCACATATTCCAACAAAAATTTGATGCGCAGTTCATCTCACTATCAAAGCCAAAACGGTTGAAAGGCCTAGCATAGTAGCTTTAGATGATCCTAGATGGTATATAACTCTAGCAGAGTAATACTAGATAAGAAGACACTCCTTGTCTAAACTATTTTAAGCAATCAACAACCATCAATATACTTAAACATTCGAATAAGACCAACAACCTTGAGATGTAAACAGCTGAAAGTTTTGTCTCAGAGAAACACCAAAGCTATCAACTAAAATATAGAACAAACAAGAATCTTTAAACTTGTATAAATTGCAGTTTCACAAGCTCACAAGCATCCATGAAGAAAAAAAATTCCTATTCTGCCATACCCTTGACTACAGGGCAATATTCAAAATAAGCACCATGTCAAACTCTCAATCCATTGAATTAGAATTAACATTAGCATGAAGGACACTTGAAACTAAATCAGGAATGAGCCTCAGCGTGATCATGCCACCTTAGTCATCTCCAATGTCTTTCATAGACAACGAAACGAAAATTTCAGGCCAAATACTGCAACAAAGATAAATAGTAACTAAGGATGAAAAAACTAACCTGTCTTGAAACAGAGAGATGAGATGGGATTATTATTCCCAACATCCATCACCAATAACACATCTTTGCACCGTAAATCGAAAAAGCAAACACAACCATCCTAGCCAAAGAGGGTATAAAATTATCATCATCAGCCACAACGGATTCGTGAATTAACCCAAAAAGAAAGAAAGATAAATTGCATTTTTTAAGGGGAAAAAAAAAGGAAAATAAAATAGGGCCCTTGAAAGTGGAGACAGATAAAGAATAAGAAAGGCACCTCACCGGCGGTGGCAACTAGGCCGGGCCGGTCACGAGAAGCAATACAGTACGTGGCAATGGCTTTATGGCCTTTAAGCCGTCTTGGCTCCGTCATCCTCTCTGTGTAGTATTTCTTTCTCCTTACTTTCCCTCCTTTCTTATGTCGAAAATACGGAGAAGACTATATTAAAATAGCACTACTAAAGTACTAATTATTCGTAAGTTACCCACTTAAACGGACGACAAAAATTTCCTAGTTTATCTTTTCCACATTTGATATAAATTATACGACTTCCGTCCCCAAAAAATAGTCCACATCGAGTTTTTATTTTTTGGGACGAAAGAAGTAGTATTTTTATCCACCTATAAATAAACTGATTTTTATTGAGATACTCCTCAATGTGACTCAAGAACTAAATGAAAAAATTGCCATACAACAAATATTATTTTTTTTTATAAAAAAAAAAATAGTTTCATCTTTATTTGTGTCAGTGCAGATGAAATGAAACTATAATTGTTTTTCCAAAGCTCTGATCTGGGTTTGAAAGATCTCCCAGCATATTTAGTGAAGAACAAAAGTAATTTACACTCTTCTGATCTGCAATGTTATTAAAAGCTAGACATTATTTAGTGATGAAGAATTCAGGGTGGGTTTTCTAGTGACAAAGGAACGTTAAAATACACCAAATAACTCAATTCAATTATGCAGTTCCCCCCATTGAAGATTTCTTTGATTTCCATAACAATAAATAAAAGCTTCATCTAGGAGACCAGAGGATATATCTTGGCCAACAACCACAAGTGATCCAAAAATAATTGTTACACTCTCATAATATTCTTTACTTTCCAACTTTCTGGACAAGCCATTTTGCATTTCCCTCCAAAGCTGTTCAATCAAACCCATTATGAAATCCTTTCTGAAACCAATAGTTGCCGCCCTTTAGTATATTCAAAAGATTCCCAACTCGTTTCTCCGGCTTTAAACCTTTAAATGTTTCCAGGTTTTCTGTCATACATTTCCTGGCAGGCTTTATGCTTTCAGGACTTGGCCTTAAAAGTAAAACAAAGGCAGAGAAACCCACTCATTTCATATCTTTCACAGGCACCCTAAGAGGTGGTAGTTTCCATAAATGAGGGCCAAACACTGGAGTAATCCTTTCTCAAGACTTCTTTTTCCCGCCAAAGCTTCAAATGCAGTCTTAAGTGAACCAAGATTTCCATTCCCCTGTAAACCTTGTGTCAGAAGATCATCAGACTCTAACGACATTGGATATAACAACTTCTCACCAGGATTGGCAAACTCCAAGTCACCATCATCCTCGAGATCATAGCAAGATTCGGACTCATCCTCGGACAGATCATCATAATCCTCATCATAAGAGCTGAAACGGTCTGTTATCTCATAGTTGGAGCTTTCTTGACTTTCAAAGGCTTCGTTGGCATCCATCAATTCATCTAACTCAGTGAGACTACATTCAGAGTCAGCAGCAAGTTGAGTGTTTGCATTGGTGCGTTTCCCAATAATCTCTTTTGAAGCTTTACGCAGCTTCCGACAAAGGAATTCTACTTCTCTCTGTCCAGTCAAAAACACAAGTATACCACCAGGTGGCTGCTTCCTATGCATTGACAGTACCTTTTTACAAGCTTGGCCTACATAGTCTACTACATCCGTTCGCTTGGAGAATTGCACGGTAACTGGATATTGTCTCGTTGGGACTTCTATAACAGGTGGGGGGATGTTAAAAATCCTCCCAAAATCCTCTCCCCGCAAAGTAGCACTCATCAATACTAGTTTCAGTGGATATATCCTGTTTTCAAGGTTAATACATTCTCCTAAATCAATCTTCTCCGTTTGTTCCTCATATAGTCTCTGACATGCACGACAGGATCCAACATGAGCAAAGGGAAAAACAACCAAGAAGAAGGGCAGAGAAATAGAGCATTGAGAGGATAACAATGATAAATTCATCTTCACATAATTTGTAGCCGCAGATCTACAAGAAGATGATATAAACATTTGCATCTAAGGCCATTTTAAAGTTACCTGGCGCATCGATATAACTCGAGATAGCATTCCTATAAGGATATCAGTGTTCAAGCTTCTCTCATGAGCCTCATCCAAGATTATGACTGAATGACGCTTCAATAAAAAATCAGCCTGAAATTTAAATGGATATTTTATTCATAAGAACATGGCACAAAAACTAGCTTTTAATACCAACAATCTGGAGTGGAGCCAAGATGGCTTATAAGAGGATATCTTTACAAAATAAAACAGCCTATATTATCAGCAAGGAAAAGAGATAAGGGTGATAAGGACCTGGAGTTCCCAAAGTAAAACTCCATCAGTCATAAACTTAATATGACAGTTGTCTCCAACCCTTTTATCATGCCTAACTTGAAATCCAACCTCCTTCCCTAGACGAAGATCAAGCTCAAACGCTACACGCTTTGCAGTTGCAAGCACACTACCCTACGTGGTTGTGTCACACCAATTATTCCACCTCGAACACTTGACTCCTTAGAACCATAACCAGCCTCAAATAGTAACTAAATAAAAACAAAACCCATGATTAGATCCTCCAATCATCAACCTTACCAAGATGCTATACAAGTCATTGATATTTACCATCAGGTAAATACAGTAACTGGCTTACCTGAGGAACCTGAGTGGTCTTACCACAACCAGTCTCACCACAGATTATCACAGTTTCCTTCTCATTTATAGCTTCCATTATCTCCTGTGCCATCATTACAATTGGAAGATTTCTCCTTTGACTTTCTACTTCCATAGGTCTTTTTACAGGCACCACTGTAGGGGACGCCAGAACGCTCTCCTGAAGAGAGTCAGAATGAAGCCTTGAACTATCAAGAAAAGTCTCAGGAACTTCATTCTGCACCAGTCTTGAGGAACCAAGACATCTTCCTGTCGGTGAGTTACCCAGGAATTTCGTACTCTGAAGATCGAGTTTTTTTTATCTTCATCATCTTTATCCTGACAGATGATTAGGGATGCAATTATGATCATAAATTAGTCCATCCAATTTCATATAAAAGCATGTTGTCACCAAGGCGATGTATCAAGGCATAAACACGGGGATATGAAACTATACCTTACACTGACCAATACTCTCATCGTCTCTATTGCAATGGGATAAGCACTTCTCCTGATATTCCAGCCTTGACAACATCATGTTGTCACCAGCCACAAGTTTACCTGGAAGATCAGCCTGTCCAGATAGACTAAGAACAACATCTGTTATGTTAAGATCTTCAGATGATAGAGAAGAGAAAGAACTGATTTTTAGGATTCCTCTCTCATCTTGAGTCACTTCATAGCTCTTTCCTTCTACTCTATTCTTTTCATAAGAAGAATGGTCCATTGCCCTCTTCTTAAAGGGTTGATAACTATGTGACAATTTTACACCGGCTTTAGAATACTGGACTTCCCTTTGGCGTTTCTGACGAACAGTTTCAACCTGGAAATTCAATGAAGCTTAATAATGAAGGCATAATCCGCCTTATAGAAGCAGTAAACACCACGATAACAAACCTGGCCCAAGTTCCTTGAAGACCACATGAGTGAATGAAGATCAACACTTAGTTTGCACTTCCTGAGGAGCCAAACAAATCAATTAGCTATTCAATTATTTTCGTGCTCATATACGACAAAGTAAAGGAATCCAATAGTAAAGAGGACAAAGTTTAGATACTACTTCAATGTATCAAGGCTCGCAGCTAGCCTTCTCCTTTTCTTCCTACATATCAGAGGGAAAACAAATCTTAGTGCATGTCCCTCAACTAAACTAAATATTCCACCAAATCAAAAGATGAATGCACCTCGACTCTTTTCAATTTTCGTGAATAGCTTAATTTTGGTTTTGATACCTCTTTAAGCTTGCCAGGAACCTGGAGAATATCAAAATTTGTTAGAAATCTCAAAGGGTCCACAGAACGTGACATGGCTATATACCAGGATGCAGAGTATAATGATATACCTGATTTTTCTTTTTGCCCTTGTCTTTCTTATTTTGTTTCTTTCCAGGTAATATGATTGCATTTGAATCATGAGGGTCCATTTTGATTCTGCAGGAAAGTCCATTTTTTTGTGAATGAACTGCAACAAGCCACAAGATTGAGCAAAAATAAAGCTGGAGTAAATAATCAGTTGATGAAACACAAAATTCTGTGGCAAAATAGAATGCAACTGAGTTGGAAGTAATTTTCAGCGGATAACTAGATCAATCCACACAAATATACACATACGCAGCAAGTGATCAACTACCACTCGGGCCATAACAAAGGGTTTATAAAGTTTGAAACGGAAGAACAAGAAGAAGAAGAAGAATAAAAAAGGAAAAAAAAAAAAAGAAAAATTGAAATTGGGCTGACGACGACCCGATTCTTTTTGTTCGGTTTAATAACATTCGGGCCCAAAACCGATCAACGTCAGAAATCGAATGTAAACCAATTGCAGCTCCGGTTTGTCGTTACCATAGCTTCTTCGCTGCCAACTTTTCATCATTGGAAAAACGCCTGAGCAAAGCATCCACAATGTCGGGGCTTTTCACATTGACTGCTACATGGAAGAACTGAAGCATGTACTTTTAGTCTGTAGATTAGATTAATGTAGATTCTGTAGAGTTAGTATGGGAATGGATATGTGGGGACCTATATACTCAACCCCCCAAGTAATTGTCTTTTTTCTTATTTTTGCAAATTTGATAATTATTTTGAAATAGAAGAAATCCCTTTTACCCTATTAAAGCAGAAGACATGAAGCTTATGTGGCAACTAAGTATGCATCTGTTTTGGCTTCAATGCACCATATTTCAGATTTCAGGAGTCTTTTTGCCACGTGTAAGTCTCTTTTAATTAGAAGTTATATAATTTTTTTTAAAAAAAAAAACACATGTTTTACTACAAATAAGGATCAGTTACATTTCAAACGAATGGATATATTAATTCAAATTCAAATGTCCAATCGTATAGTTTTCCAGGTTTAATATAAACAAAAAATAAAAATACCTAAATCCAACAATTAAGAATAATGCCTTATAAACTGATTATTTATTATTCCCTAATAACCTCAGATTTATAGGTATATTTTTTTAAGCCCCAAATCATAGCATAAATGATATATACGCTAAATTAATTCCTCAAAAAATAGTAATTCAATTAGATTTTAATAAAATAGTAATTTAGAAGGGGCGCCCGGGCATCTGCCTGGACCAAACATCTAGTATGTTTTAAAAGAGGTGGTGTAATATAATATCCCTCCGTTCTAGACAAATATTTCACATTGTATTTTGTAATTTTTACTATACAATCTTTTTTAGAATATATGGAGTAATTTTTTTAAGTGCATCAAAAATCTTAAAAAATAAAAAGTACCAAAAAAAAAAAAACTAGTGCACGACAATTGCAAATTTGCAACCACCAATATTCCTTAACGGGCATAATATATGTACACCATTGAGCAACCCAGACTAGTTAGTTCCACATAAACAACATTGATTGATTTCTGCACTTTTTGTTTTTTTTTTTTTTTTTCATATTATAGGATGTCCAGTTTCGATAACTGTAATTAATTTTTCTTTGGTTGAATTCTGCATTTAATGGAAATATCATTTCAGGAGTCCTATGCATATCCAATCCCAACCCAGATTTGGTGGATGGGAGGCTGGCCGGCTTACAAGTTACAATGGTGCGTTAAATAATTCCCGGGGTTACATCTCTGAAAGTGACCTGTGAACATCAAATAGACGTCCCACCACAAATGAAAAGAAAATAAAAACATAATTTAAAAAACACACTCATATTTATTTCGTTTTGTTAATGTATATTTTTAGATGTTTTTATATTAAAAATATAAAAAGATAAATTTGAATAAAATAATTATTATTTAAATATTTTGAAAATATCATAAAAAAACCTAACAAACAGAGTCTCAATCCTCAATTCACATCTGACCCCGGAGGCCCGGAGTGTGGAGACAGAAGACCACAAAAATGGAACACGTGAAGCACACATGGGATTGGCCGGCCTTAGCCATTGAATGAATAGTGTTCAGATTTTTCTTAGCTGATGAGTGACGACTACCGAGTGAGTGAAGGACTCTATTATCATCCTTTATTTATCATCAAGTCAAAACTTCTTCAATAATCGTATTTGTTTATTTAACAGTGACATATAGTACATTATTGAGCATGCAGCCCCCGTTGCCACGGCAAGGCAATAGGCAATAGGCAATAACAATAATTTAAGAACATGATTGATTGATTACACAGTTGACTTTGAACATTCTTCCAATAGACCATAGTTTAGAGGTTTTTCAATACAACCGAGATTAACGAAAATTCTTCAAAACAACCGGAAGAAATTGCACATGTTTTTCCCTTTTACGTGAAGGATAATTCAGAAATATCACATGAAGAACAAGCGTAACAATTTCACCATAATCGGATTGAAATGTAGATAGATACGATCCTTCTTTCGAGTTTCTTGTATTTGAATTGGTCTATTTGTTGTTTGTTTGGTCTAAAATGCTCATGTATCTTCTGCAGTGGTATGTATAACTTCCGTTAGGTATATCACTGGAAGTAATTGATTTCTTCAAAGAATTAGCTTGATGCTAATCAGAAAAGAAGGGGAACAAAATGTAAAGAAAAAATATAATCATCATGTATTCATGTCTGTTTTGTGAACTTATCTTCGGTTTTCATCTCTAACAACTTTGATAGATCTATTTAAAATGAGAAATCAAAACTAAAGACCAAATTAACAACATTTTCTGTACAGGCCTAAACAATTGAGGATTGAACATCTTTTGCGTATATGCATTTATTCATCCCTAAGAACTTATCTACAGTTAAAAACTTGACCAAACTTTACAAATTTGCAATGCTAATGATGAAATGCATAAAGCTACAATCATTGTGTACAAAACTTTAGCCTTTCTTCTTTGTTTCGTTCTTTTTGTCCCATTCAATTTACATTGGCTCTCCAACTGTTGTTTCTGATTAGGCTAAAATGTCATTGCAAAAACAGATAAGACCTCATCATCTAAACTGTAGAAGCAACAATATGTGCCCACCGTTTGAGTGTATCTTTCATCACAATCTCATTTCTTTCCTGAGGAACTTTCCAATTCATCAATGGATTCTTTTCCTTTCTCCTATTTAAAACTTCCCATGCTTCAGAAAGGTAAGGTCTCCTTGCGACGACAGACGAGGACGCCTCCTCCTGGGCTTCATTTGTAGATACTTTTTTCTCTTTCTTTTCGCCATTTCTTTCTTTGCCTAATCTTTGCAGGCCAGGGATAATCTCAACCAAAGTTGAATCCTTTTTGTCTTCTTCTGAGAATACAAAACCCAAATCCATGAACCCTTTTAACTCTTCGAATTCAAGCTCCGATAAGCTCTTGCTCAAACCTTTCCGTTTTTGAATCCTTTTCTCCTTCTTCTTCTTCTCGTCGGTTTTGAAGAAACCCCTTCTTGTTTGATGTGTTGTTTCTAATTGATGATATCCTTCTGCTTCCCCTTCTATTCCTGATAAAATGGTTTCCAGATGAGGCGCCGGAAGTACTGAATCTGGAGAGAAAGCGCCGAAATTCATGCTGGTTTTCGGACTTATTGTTTGCTCACTTTTGGACCTCGTATGAAGTGTCAATTGGGCTGAAATCTCCGGATCTTTTGATGAATCTGCTTGAATATGGAATTGATCATCTGGGAGAAGGTTAGATTGAGTTGGATAATCCGGAGTTTTCATGAAGAAACAGTGCTGAAACCAGCAAGAATCAAAGAGGTTTATCACATCCTCTGCCTCCATTAATGGCAGAGAAAACTTTGGCGGCCAATAATTATCAAAAAGCCTACTGAAAAAAATACCTATAAAAATTTTGGCTGCCAATGCCAAAAAGGTTTATATATATTAACTTGGATGTAGAGAATATACTGAAAAATCTTTCAACTTTGCTAGTTTTACACGGTTTTGCCCTCGGGATTAGTCTTCTATTTTCTAATAAATCCTGGGTTTGGGAAATTAAGTATGAAGGTCAAAGAAATAAATGGCGTGTTAAGCAGACCAACCTGACCTAAACATTGATGTCATATCCGGATTCTCCTAGATCGATCCATGGTCACGTGAGGATATTTTAATCATAATAATGATTATGATGATGATAAGATCAAGCACCAAGTATTGGTGGTGATCATAGGTGAAATGAATAATTTGATAGAAAAAGGTAAGTGATGATTATTATTAATGTTTTGTTTGCACATGATTCTTGTCATCTGCATAGTGGGAGAACAATATGCTACGAATAATGCGTAATTATTGAGCCGAATAGTAATATCGTAATCAATTTAGGTGGAAGGTTTGCTTATCTTTTCTTAAAATAGTTTACACTCTCTATCTTTCCTGTTAAATAGATAAGAACTTTCTATGTAGGAAAAAAGAGAGGAAATTGCGATGAAGAATAGTGTAACGGTCGTGCATTATGTGTCATCGAGCCCGGTTAATTATAGAAACAGAATCATAATTCATCCTTATCTTTGGCCACAAAATATCGCAATATAAACTTAATAAGATAAATATAAGAAGTTATAAGAATCATGTAGCTACTAAATGCATTCACAAATATTGTACCTTGCATTTGAGCTACTCAGCCCACTCCCTGGATCCACAATTTTCGATGAAATTTGATGGAGCAACATACGCTAATGAACTCAAAATTTTACAAAGACACGATTTAACATCATCTAATAATGAACTCAAAATTTTACTTAAAGGAGTCTATAAAATTTTTTACCATCACCTTTCAAAACGTCACAATTCTAAAAGAGAATTAATCAGAGAAGTTACTGTGCCGCAACTATACTATCACCACCTAAATAATGCAAAAAAAGGAATTTTCAAAGCTAAACATTACATGTGCGCAACTTGTTTTCCTAACATAACATAATTGACTCCATGATATGACACTTTAGCACTAAAGACTAGAGATGGTTATTACATTTTATTATGTTTATGAGATCCGATAAATTTTGAAAAATGAATGGAAAAACAACCATTTTTCTAGGTACTCTAGGCTCGAATCACCCACTTATAAGGTGATTATGGTGAGAATTCTAAACGTTATCAAATAGTGAACAATATTACGTTTAAACAAAACAGGAGTAATCGCCCTTTTACATTTTAGATAAGCATACTCACAACTATGTTTCTTCATAGACAACATCGATTACATCATCCTGAAGCAAAACTAGGGACTGATGAAGTAACTACGTACTGCCAACAAGTAATGTGGGACATTTGTTGCTAACAACCCAAACGAAATGTCAAAATTTCAAAGACTAATTGATTTCAAACGAGAACAAATTGTCCCTCGTTAAGCTACAGAATCAATATCAGAAGTAAATGGAACAAGCAAAATGTAAGAGATTAATGGCAGAAATTAATTAACTTACTAGTAAAGATTCAAGACTGACTACAAAGAAGAAGAAAAATGAGCTTGAGAGGACAATCATCACCTCCCCTGACTCGCTTATTTTGTTCGCAAAGAAATTTGTTTATCTGGGATCAGATTCAGAGAAAGGACTTGCATTGTTTGTGGGACAAGAAGATTCTTCAGCAGCGAGCTCCAAATCAAACGGCATTGCTTCCTTAGTCCTTTGCGCACTTTGTGAACCTAGCCTTAGCTCATCATTATTATTAACGACATCATTTCCTTGCTGCTCCGTAATATCTCTGCTTTTGTTGTTGTTCTCCTGAATCGCGGCACAGGGTTCCAGGAATGTCGCTTTTTCGCTGTTGACTTGTGGAGGATTCGGCTTTTCCATCATGAGTTTCGCAGGCTGATCAGATATAACTTCAGGAGGGAGAAAATGATGGTTGTTTCCAGCCATAAGATCTCTGAGGATACCAAAATTCTGCCTCTCTAGATCACAGTCAGCCAACTTACTCGGTAGCTTCTCAAATGTATGAAATCTGTCATTTTGCTGAATTGCTGATGGGATACAGGGAGTTTGATCAACTATTGGAGTATCATGAAGCTGGAAAAGTTGCGCTTCGGGTTCAATTTGGAGCCTTTTATCAATTGCTAAAGATTCTTGATGAGGCAAGGGATGATTTTCAACAATCAAACAGGACTCATGAAGACTACCTTGGAAAGAACCTTTCAAATTGTTGTAAGCTAGCTGGTTCTGTTTGGCTTCAGAACTTGATGTGGTAGTTTCTTGGATCCCAGATTTTGGTTCCACGGATACTAGATTCTGGTTTAATCTAGCTGATGATTCTGACATCCAATCTTTCGCTGATACAGCATCTTCCATTAGTCCTTCTGATTGAACTGAAACTTCATAAACTTGCATCATCTCATCCTGTTCAACCATCCTAAGGTTCTGTGCAGGCAGTACAGTCTGCCTGCTCAAATAACCGAAACTTGGATTTTGCTGCATCGCAGTTTGCTCAACCAAAGATGACCTCGAGTTATTCGCAGCTGCATTATTCGCTGCAAGACCATTAATAGAAGGAAACACTTGGCTGCACACATTGTGCATCTCCACCTCCGACTGTGGACTAATCCCATTAACCTGACATTGTGGATTGGATGAAGGGATTGGCAATTCATTTCTTTGGTACAACTTGGCATTCGGGGCAACATCATTATCGGATGAAACAGGCGTAACTCTTCCAGATTCAAAGATAACGCCGCGAAGTGGAGGACCATTGTTGCCTATCCTGACGGATACGAAATAACCAGCATCAAAGCAACCATCAATAACACCAGTGACAATCCTTCCAACCATGCCCCCTCTGTCAATCGATTTCGCTTCATTTTGATGAATGATTGGTCTCATTCCATTTGATTCAGAAATCGTAGGGGACTGAAGCAGGTTTCCTTCTCCCCTGTTAACACCAACTCCATCCTTCCGGGGACGGCCACGCCTCCTCTTTGCTGGAAGAATTACTGAAGTTGATGTGTTTGGAGTGTTATTCTGCTCACTATTCATAGTAAACAAATCCATGGGAATACCAATGTCACTTTCTGCAACACCAAAATGGTAAAATTATCCAAACTTTATCAGCAATACAGAAAATGGATTTCTATACAATTTTGTATGAATCTTAGAGTTAACAATGCTTAGATATGTTAATCACAAATTAACTGCATAAAATAAAGGATAGAGAGGAATAATAAACACGATTATACACGAATAAATTAGGTGCAATCTCAATTTAGGCATATTGATTAGATTTAGCATTCTCATCATAATAAAAACTGAAGCAATATATAAACACCTATGTCATCAGTCTTAAAAAAAATGGATTTTCCAAACACTCATGAAAAGATATTTGATTGGTTCAATATGCAATATCGCTGAGAAAATGCGAAATCAGATCATAAGATCCATTTACTTTAAATGGAGGGATGAAATCAACAAAATAACATTACAGATTTCCACACGGGATTCGATCTATTTGTAAAATTGGATGAAGGAAAAATGAACACAAAGAAATGGTAAATCATTAAAAACTTACGGATTGCAGTAGCCTAGTAAGCAGCAAACTGAGAATGAATGGTTCAAATCAAGATCTTGTTATTATGCAATTTGTTTAATCTTTTTGCCTTTTTGAGCCTTTCTTGTTACACCGCCTCCGCTTTGCGGCCTTTTCTTCTTCTTCTTCCTTTTTTTTTTTTTTTCTTTCTTTGGGTGAAAATGTCTAATGCTACATACAGTATTTTTACTGTAACTTTCTTATAAAATATAAAAATAGAGTCCTATTTAATTTTTTTAAAAAATTCCCTTATTCTTGATATGCTTTTTCTTGGGATTTTTTTGGGGGCACAAATTTGTATTGATTCATAAAATTATTTTACTCAAAATTATGAATTTATTCTAATATTAATTTAACGATGTTTTACTATTACTCTTTTACCACTAAAAGGTTGATCATAATGTAACGTACACACAAGATATTTGGTGTTCCTATACGAAAATAAATAAGTAACTAAAAATATAATTTGGAAATAATTAGATATCCACAAAGGAAAGGTAAAGATTATCTCTGTTTATGAATTCTACGAAGTCAATTTAGATAAGGATACGATTGGAATCAAATTCATCGAAAAAATTAATGATTTGTATGGTCTTTATTTCTGTTTTCGTTTTAACTGTTTATTTTAAAATTTTTAATTAAGTCTTGAGAAGATAAAAAATACTATTAAGTAACAACATGTGATTAAAAAAGTCAAAAGTCAAAAGTCAATTGACATTTTGGAATACGACTCAATTAACAACGACCCATGGGCACAATTTAATTAATCAGTTACGCTTTTGTAGGTGTTACTTATTACAGTCTTTATATTATATTATATATAATATGATATAAAATCAAATTTGTTATTTGCGTGTAAATTTTGTTATTAAATAATTCACAAAAGAGTAACCCAAAAAAGTGCATGCACGTAAGAAATGGTAAAAGATCACAGGAAAAATGTATGATCAAAATGCAAATTGCAAAGTAGCTAGCACAAATATATACTAATTACCATATTCAAAACTTAATGGCGAAATATGCTAAAATATTCTCAAAAAAAAAAAAAAAAATGAATGACCGACTCACCATACCCGTCAACGATGCTCATTTGTATGGAAGAATTTACTAGTTGGTGGTCTTGTGAGATTTATTTCTTCTTCGTCTCTTTTTCTGTATATCTGAATTACCGGGCAAATCTCCTTTGGCAGTAGGCCACATTATCATTATATATATATATATATATATATATATATATTACTCCCTTCGTCCCATAATTATTGTCCAGTTTGAATTTTTATTTCTAGTTCAAATTGCACTAAAAGTAAAATATCAAACTAGACAATAATTTTAGAATGGAGGAAGTACTAATAATAAAGCCCCTGCCAGAGGAGTAATTGCCCAGCAATGCAGATTCACATGTACATTTTCATTTTCATTTTTCATATGTATTTGCTTGGTTGACGATCATTGGTTTGAGGACAGAAATGTATTTATAGCTCATGGAAAAGCCTTCCCCCATGTATAACTTATTACCATGCAACAGTATATTCTGCAAACATTCGTTATTCTGGAAACTGTAAAGAGAAAGCTATCTTAATTTAATACTATGTTTTGCATTTTACCAATCCGTTATCTTAAGGGAAAAAAATCATATATCTTAGTACAGTACATGATATATATGTAAAAGAAGTTCTTAATAATAAATGATGAGGTGAATATATTCACCGTAGAAGTTCCACTAACAACATGTATAAGTAGGGAAAAAGTTAACCTCATTTGTTTACATTCATCTTTACAGAATTCTTTTACAGTTGTATGAGAATTTACTTTAATTATTATATCTTAACATGTTCATTCAATTTCATGCTGATTTAAATTAAATTATGGCCGGATTTTTGTGAATTGTGTCAAGACGTTCTCAAGCGCATGAAAAGTACTAATACATCGATCGTACATCATCCAGAATTATTATCATTCATTCATGTAAAATAACTTACTTTTTTCTTAAGGAAAAAAGAAAGAAAGAAAAGTTGACCGGATATTCTTTGCACAAATCTCTTCGCCCCTATTCTTTTGATAATTCCATGAAGGAAATTCAAAAAGAGGGCACCGAGTTGAATGATAAGATTACTAAAGCTATACATCTTATTGCGCCTCCTCCCATAGAAAGTCCATTTGGTTTCTTTCCTGCTGACTCTCTGCTCTTCAAAGAGCCACCACAAAGAACAGAAGATTAGCTTGCTGAGAAATCCACAGACTGAACACAGCTAGGAATCTCTGTGGAATGTACTTCTCCCAGTGGATCGATCGATGCAAAGGAAAGGCAAAAAAGTAAGTTTGGGCAAACAGAAAAAAGGAGAGAAAGGGAAAAAGGGTATAGCAATTTAGCACATTCCTTAAGGTTCAATGGCATTTTCTACTCCGTCCACTCATTTGTGCAACCTCCTGAGGAATTCGTTTCCCTTAGCATTGTATTTTTAGTGATTACACAGCTATTATACACGCGTACTGGTGATTACATATGTCGTTTATAGATTTGCATCATTAGTTCATGCATGCATGCATGAACTGATCGATGGCATTATCAAAAATGTAAAACCTAATCAATGTTGGACCAAAATAAAGGCAAGGACAAGACCGTTCATCTGTCAAATTCAAGGGAGACACGTAGTAATAAAATCCTCGTAAAACAAAGTTTAGATTGATAGATTGATACCCGAAATTTCCTACTTTCCAAGTCTAATGGGCTATATAGCATCTAAATCATAGAAAAGAAAGATCTTATAAGAAAGCAAGAATCATGAAAAAGAAGGTCTTCCACAAGCGGCTGCTCGCTGGTGATCATGATGGAGGGAATATCAAAATTGGGACCATATTGCATGCAAGAAAGGGGAATTTCACTAACCCAATTTGGAATAGTCGCAGCATATACCAAGCAGCCTTGGTCTTTCTTTAGCATATCCAAAACCAATGTTCGGACCTTCTTCCCATATATAGGGTTCTTCTTCCAATCATTTAAAAAATCAAGCTCGATTTTTGTGTTCAAATTTGAACATTGATCATCGATCGATAGACAAATTAAATTAATGTGGTAAGAATAACAGTGCAGTCCTCCTTTGGCATGAACTCAAATGTAAATTAATGCATAGTTGTCCCTGCCAAAGGAGAATTGCCCTGCCATTCACTCCCACAAGACCGTGTGTATGTCAACTTTCATCTAATTACTTACGTTTGATTTCCATTTTACAAATTTTCACATAACGTTTTCGAGCGCAAATATATATGTGTGTGTGTGGATACACATTAAGGGTTCCCCGCGTAATCTAAAGATGCATTATCGCATTGAAGTATGTCCAATTAATTAGGTCACCCATGCAGAACAAAGAGTTTCCAATATATCTTCATTGTTTTCTACTTCACTGAACATATTGAGTTCTAAAGTCTTAGAAGCATAAACACTTCAATTTTTGAAGTAGTTTCGTTCTATTGATATTTTTATGTTGATCATTATCTATCAATTACTCACTGCGATCCATTTCAATAATTAAAGCAGTACAACAAATTAGACTATACTATTATATTACAATTGAACTGTACGTAATGTTTCCTTTGACTTTGCCTCCGAAACTTGTCCTTGTTAATTTAAAAACACAAGATTTAAAACTATCTTTAAGAATGAATCACAACCTTTTTCCAAAATAATTTTTTTCCAACTATATATCGTTACGACAATCAATAATAATAAGTACTAAGTGTGCATGTATTTTTTTTCCCCTTTTCGCAAAGACGTGGGTAATGACGATCTCCTGTTTCAAACTTTACTTCGTGCCAGGATTTATAACAACAAATCTAACCCTACTTGACACCCCAAGAAAAGTTGTTGGCAATAGAACGTGTGATAATTGGCGCAAAATGAGCCCTTTATCCCACATGTCTAAACTTAACTCCCTACTCATGATCAACTCTTATATCAGGTATGATTTAAATGTCTGGGTGCATTCTTCATATGATAAGGCTCGTTATAGGTGAAGTTTGATTTGTAGCCAGGGGCCTCACAAATTGCATACTGGAAATGATGGCTACGAAAACAATAACAAAATTTGCCGTTTGAAGGTTTATGGTTGCAGTATGCACGCCTAAGGAATCGCCTGCCATTATCCAGCTTCTTAAGGTAGGGGTTAAGAGCTTATCCCAAACAGGTTGATTAAGTGGAATAGTTGAACCTTAAGCTATCACGCCAGACGCCCAAATATATGTACATAGGATACGTTTCCAGAACACCAAGAATTTTCTTCCATTTTCTTTAATGATACTGAAAGCAGCCTAGGAAGGATGCTGAAGATGAATGTCCTCTGCCATTTTTCTTTCTATTGCTCATTTCAATTGAGAATTGGTGATCGATGATCATAAGTAGGATCTGTGATTAACCAAATATGAAATGATTTCTTTGATATTATTATGGATTACTAGTTTCGTGGGGATTGTTACGTTTTCGTAGGCTGGTCCGATCTATTGCTCTCTTTCCTTGTGCTTATTCATTATTGTTATTTTTTTTTTTGGGCACATAGAAGGAGGCTAAGGATCGCCTAGCTAGGTAACTATTACATTTCGAGGGTGAGCCGTCCCTATAACATCCATGGGCGCACCACTTGCAGTGGTACGCCGAGTCTTCTCATTCCCCAATCGATGTATGCTTTTTAGGCCTGCGAGGCAATCTGTCGCAAAATTATTGTTGTTTTAATTTTCTACTATGGAAATATTGATTTTGGAGAAGGTATATTTAAGTACTACTATTTTTTTTTCCTTTTACAAAGTAGATAAATTTAAATAATGATTGACGAAAAATCATGTAATTCAAATTGATATAATGTCATTATATTTTGAAATGATTGTTAAGTTTGAAATAATCATCTTGGAATACTGAAATTTCAGTCCTAATATATCTCACAAAGCTAGGGTTATATGAACTTACTTCCTTCTTCCTACATAATGTGTTGTACTCGCCAGACAAACAAAACTAAAAGGTTATAATTACTTTTAATCTTTTATTATAAGATTGGGCTAAAATCCTAATATTTCATAATCCAATGGGCCCGAAAGGTTTGACCCAAAGTTTGCTTGATTAACAACCAACCCAAGTAACCTACGAAAAGAGCTTCTTCTTGTTCGTGGTTAGTCGGTTACAAGGGAACACGATTTCTCTTCATTCATCGAACACATTACCATTTCTCCACCACCAATTCTTCCCAAACACTTGGAATTCACTCTGACACCGACCTTTTTCAACCACTTTCTAATTTCTATGAACCGAAATTGAGCGCTCAACGAAGGGAAATTAATGGAACCCGGAAACAGAAGAAGAAACCGAGAGGAACAAGGAAGAGAGTTTTTGAATGCCAGTTTTTTATTCTTCTGAATCAGTAAGTGCTTTCTCTAATTCTGCTACTGTATAATACAATGTGAATTCCTGAAATTAGAAATCGTTGATTAGACGTACGTTCAAGAACTATTCTTTTTGAGTTTGAACTAAAGTGATGATTAGTTTTGTGATACGTATACTTAATTAACTGGAATAGGATAAATCATGGATGTACAATTGTAATTTTGATTTATCATTGAGATCCTGTAGATAATGGGTATAATGTGAAATTAATTGAATTCAAGGGTTGTTGATATTCTGGGCAAAGTTTTAAGTCCGTTGGCTGACCAAAAGTTAGGGTAGTTTTCCTTTGCGCGAATTCCCTTGTCCCTTGATGAGCGAATGTAGTCGGTTGGATTGTTGGATAGATACTGATGATATTTGTGAGAAGTTCTATTCTCCGGAATCCGAATTGATTTCTTTAACTTTCAGACGCGGTAATGACCATGAAAGACTTACTGAGGGTAGCCAATGGGTTGTCTTTGGTGGCCAAGGAGTCTTTGTCACGGTTGCGCCCCCAAACTGAAGGTGGAGCCGTGCAATCCCTAGTCAAGAAAACCATCCTCTCCGCCACTGACCTGACCGGTCTCACCAGTGGCAACCTACGCCAGCTGTCCCCTCCTCCCGTTAATCAACCTCCATTTGCCACTGAAAACAAGGTGGAGGAGAAGCTGCAGGCTTCAACACTACCCTTTTCTGATGCTAATACCAATGGCAATAGTACCACGATCGCATCCTCTGTGCAGACGGACAATAATAACAATGGCAATAATATCCCCATTATCTCCGATATCCAGCAGGACAATAATACCAATGGCATTGATAGCATCATCACATCCTCTACCCAGCTGGACTATAACAATGCTGCTTCTGCAGACCCATCTGGGAATGTCCATACTCTTTCTAATACAGCTGACAGTGCAGATGCTAATGTTACAGCCTCTCCACCTGTTAAGAGCCGCAGGAAGCCCAGAGAGAGGAGAGTACCTTCTACCCCTTTCTCCAGAGCCCTCGGGTCAGTCTAACCTTTTGTTAAGATTTTATGTTTTCAAATTCCATTTATCTCACCTTAAGTAGTCACAAAAAAAGATTTTTTTTCTTTTTTTTTTTTTTTGTCATTGAAGGTTTGCTGGGCTAGGAGCTGGTCTGGCATGGGGAACATTTCAGGAATCTGCGCGGAGGCTTGTATTTGGTAATCAAACGCAAACCTCGCAAGACAAACAATCGGTTTTTTCTCCATTTGTATCCGAGAAAAATGCAGAACGTTTGGCTCTTGCCTTGTGCAGAATGCGAGGAGCTGCCCTCAAACTAGGCCAGATGCTCAGTATTCAAGATGAATCTATAGTTCCTCCTCCGGTAATTTTACTGTTATTTGGTTCTCTGTTGTGAAATGGAAATCTCTGTTTTAATTTCCCCTCAAGGCTATATAGCGTTTGCATGGCTTTTGTTTGAATTGTAGAATATGTTTATTTGTGTAGATATTGGCTGCTTTAGATATAGTTCGCCAAGGTGCAGATGTGATGCCAAGGAGCCAGCTTAATCAAGTTTTGAATGCTGAATTAGGTCCTCAATGGTCTTCAAAGTTACTGGATTTTGATTACGAACCAATGGCTGCGGCAAGTATAGGACAGGTGATGCTATTACAAAATCTTTTTTCATTGTGTTAATGCATGAGCCTTTTATTTTGTAATAGATTGATGTTGCTCCACTTGTGTCTCAACATAAAGAATCATTTCATAGAAAATCTCTTTCCACATATCTGTATCCATATCTATATGTACGGATACACACAGACTTATTTATATGTGTTTTTCTCAGGTTTCTGATTTTGGATGTGCTCTGTGTCTTTAGGTACATAGGGCTGTTACTAAGGAAGGTTTGGAGGTTGCAATGAAAATACAGTACCCTGGAGTTGCTGATAGTATAGAGAGTGATATTGAGAATGTCAAATTGTTGCTGAAATATACAAATCTTCTTCCAGAAAAATTGTATATCGATAGTGCTATGAAGGTGAAGGATTTAACATCATAGAAGTGATTTATCTCCTTGCTTTTTGCTGGTGTTGACATTGTAGTTTCTGTTTTTGTCATTCACTCTAGAAGCTTTGGTTTTAAGGGTGCTTTTCTTTTCTATACCGTTCATTAAGTATCAGAGCAGCTAGCAGTAAAGCAATGCAACCTCTTGCTTTAACTTTTTGCCTGATATGCTTATAAGTTTTTTGCAGGTGGCAAAGGATGAACTTTCTCGAGAATGCAATTACCAGTTGGAGGCTGAAAGCCAGAAAAGATTTCGCCATCTGCTTTCAGACATGGAAGGCTTTTATGTTCCCATGGTGATAGATGACTTATCAAGTCAACGAGTCCTGACTTCTGAACTTGTTCCGGGTAATCTAGATGCAACTAACTTCTTTTCCTGGCATGAGTAGATGTAATGACATTCTACATATTAGAGTTACTAGCACTTGAATCGCTATCAAATGTAGGCTTCCTCATAGTGGAAATTTACCTCCTCATATGTAGGCTTTCAATCTGTTGCGAGATTGAACCACAGTAAGATGTCTGCATAAATATTCATCATGACTACCTTGAAATTTTTTGTTTCAGGAGTTCCAATTGATAAGGTAGCATCGCTAGACCAAGGGACACGCAATTATGTTGGAAGGAAGTTGCTCCAACTGACTCTGACAGAGTTATTTGTCTTTAGATTCATGCAGGCATGCATTTCCTTTGTGTAACTCTTTTATTATCTTAATGTTCTCTGTCTAGCATATGCCTGCTTAATTGATGTTTGTTCCAGTAATATCAGTTGGCTTTGAATGGCTAACATTAGAAAGACAAAATGAAATGGAGATTGGTTTATAATCTGTGCGATGATGGCAGTAACAATGACAACCTCAGTAGATTCTTAGTCTTAGACAAAGGATAATGAAAGGGAAAAAGTAAAAGAGGAGAACCGATATACTAATAAGTAAAATTCATCTTTCGTGTGAATTTCTTCGGTCTGTTTTCTAAAGATATCTTGATTGTCTTTAATGCAGACTGATCCTAATTGGAGCAACTTTTTATATGATGAATCTGCAAAATCCATAAATCTCATTGATTTTGGGGCGGCTCGAGACTACCCAAAACAGTTTGTTGATGACTACTTGAGAATGGTAAATTCCCTTTCCTTTCCATGTGTTGAGTTTATGTGCTTTGTTATCCTTTTGTTGACCACTTTTTTTCGTACCTGCACTTCCATCGATTCCCCTTCCCAATTAGTTTCTATGTTGAGTATTTGATGTTCTAAATTTGATTTACATCTGATCTTTGGGTATGACTCATGGGATATGTTGTAGATCAGGGTATCTGATATTTGCGAATGTACTAAAATTATTTTCTGCTGAGCCTTGTTCAGAATTTTAAGTTCAATCTTTTGCATCCATTTAAACTTGCTTGAAGCGAGCTGAACGTTGTCACAGACTCTTTCCACTCTTCTCGGTCGTATTCTAATGATGATCCACTTGGACTATTCATTGATGTGCACATGTGTTACATCAGGTTCTTGCTTGTGCAAATAGTGACCGTGAAGCCGTGATTGATATATCACGCAAACTGGGCTTTCTCACGGGTATGGAATCAGAGGTAATGCTGGACGCTCATGTTCAGGCTGGTTTTATCGTTGGGCTGCCTTTTGCAAAGCCTGGGGATTTTGATTTTCGCTCTACCAATATTACGAGTAGCATTTCACACCTTGGTGCTACCATGTTGAGACATAGACTGACTCCGCCACCTGAGGAGGCTTATAGTCTTCACAGGAAACTCTCTGGTGCTTTCCTTGCCTGCATCAAGCTTGGGGCTGTTGTCCCGTGTAGGGAACTCCTCCTTGAAGTGCATAAGAACTATCAATTTGGGAGCGATAGCTGAGGGGCCAGTCCAGGTGTTTTGAGGGGTTGAGTAGTTCAAGCCATCTTGGATTTTTGTAGTTTTCCAAGGAAGGGACAATTAATTGACGTAGTTATTAGGCATTGAGGGTCTGGTGTAGCGGCCCTTCATCTGGGTTGTCCTCTTGGAGGGTGTGTGTGATGGCCGTGTTGCAATCCATTACCGGTATCTTGGGTTCTACTTCTACATGGAAGAGAAATAAATACATGTGGAGAAGGTAACTGTATCAAACACATTCTTTCCTGTAACACACAGTCTTATCAGAAAGTCAACCGCATCATAAAGGCTCTGGAGATTTGTCTGAAGAAAGGTGCCTTTGCCTCAACCTGATGATACCTCTTTTGGTCAACTGAATTTTAGGCCTTGGAGTTCTGCTTCATCCACTCACTATCTGTGAGAATAACATTGTTTTCATGGATCTTGAGTTTTCGTCTGGGAAAAAAATAATGAGATTTTTGTGGTCGAGGAAGTAAGAAAACAATTTTGATAGAAAAAACATGCCAAATTGCCAACTGACATTTTTTTTGTAGCAGTTTGCCTAAATTTATAGATATATGAAAAAGTCAACTTGTACTTTCCATCAATCACTATACTAGCATTTACAACAAGCGTTGTGTTCTTTTCTTGACATGAACATGCTACATCATCAATAATGGTTCAAAAACTACTTTGTTCATTGACACAAAATTTGCTGTCTCCAGCCTTCATATTTTGTTCATTGTAGTATTAAAAATTTGAAACAGTGTGACGGACACATCCTTTGTAAATAAAAATTTTTCACAACTGTAGTTGTAGATTTGGTTTATATCAATTGCAATTGATAGTCATCTACGTACAAGTCTAGCAAACATCATCAATCAACTTATACAAATGTCTATCTCGACAACTTCACATCGAGACACAAAACTTGCAAATGCAATTTGCATACATGAAATGCAGTCATCTAAAGAATTATTTTTTCTATCTCTGAATGATTGTCTAGTTTAAAATTTTACTTGTAAAAAAAAATAAAAATCTCAACTATACAGTCATTTTAGAACAGAAAAATTATAAGATATGAATCGAAAATGAACAGAAAAATTGATTTAACAGAGATCGAATATACTCAATGCCACACGTACGATATAGCTACGTACAGTCCAATTAACACAAAGAGGCGAGCATCTAAATCAAAAAAAAAAAAAAAAAAAGATCTTCTATGAAAGTTACGAGTATGGAAATATAGAAAGGGTAAACAAAAGAAAAGAAAAAGTTCCTCCACAAGCTGCTTCAAGCTGGGTGATAAGGGGAATCAATTGGGACCATGTTGCGAGCAAAGGTGTAGAGAGCATGCAAAAGGGGGAATTGACTGACCATTTTGGAATAGTCGCGGTATATGCCAGTGTCTTTCTTTAGCATATCCAAATCCATGTCCGGACCTTTGCCTCCTTATATAGTCTTCTTCTTCTTCCGATCATGAGATTATTCAAGCTCGACCAGCGATAACACATGTTGACAAATTAATGCGGTAGGAATAACAGAGCGGTCCTCCTTTGGCATGAATATCATAATGCAAATTAATGTCTATACTCAAATTATTCATGCCAAAGGAGAATTGCCCTGCCATTCACTCCTGCAAATTCATTTAGCAAACTGTCTCTACAGTTTGTACATCCTTATCAAATCCTAGCAAACAGTCACTCTATTTTAAGAATCTGCATTATGCAGTATTTCATCATCTCCTTCACAGATGCTCTTTGGTTGTTGTCTATTAAAGACGAAACAACTTGTTTACATCTATTACAAATCAAATAATTCAGTTCTGAGAGATTAGGTTTATTTCCTTAAACTATTAGTCAAATTTCATTGCAATACTCCTCATTATTTTCTTTGTTCGCACTTGGCATTATTTTGATGCCTTTTTTTTTTGAAACGGGCATTATTGTAATGTCAATTCAGTGGAAAACGTGATTGAAAAACAACAATGCTACTCCAGTAATAAAGTGATTGAGAGTTGTTTGATTTTATCTTTGTTTTTTGGAACCAAAAATTACATTGAATTTTCATATTTATGAAAATAGTATAAATTTCAAAACTCGTTATGGAGTATATTTTTGGAAAGAGGAAGCATTACAAGTCAAAAAATCTATTAGTTTAGAAATTAAAAAGTGTATAATTGTCTCTTTTTATTCATAAGTTATTGAAAGGAGTTTTTTTTTTAAAAAAAAAAATCAGGAATAATAATTAGCTACTACTAATAAGGAAAGTGGAGTTTTCTTGTGAATTGTGAGACCCAATGCTTCATCCATGTCCAAATCCTCTGCCACAGTTCCCTCTGGAGTTGCCCAATCAAACAGAAGCAGAAGATTTGCAAGTACAAGTTCAATGAGCGGCACAGCAAAATTCATTCCAGGGCAGCTTCTCCTTCCAGCGCCAAATGGCAACAACTCGAAGTTCTGTCCTCTAAAATCCACCGCAGAATCCCAGAACCTTTCTGGCCTGAATTCATGTGGGTTTTCCCAAACTGTAGGATCATTTGAAATTGATGTTGCATTGAAGAAAACTCTCGTTTTTGCTGGAATTGTATACCCTGAAACCACGCAATCTTCCAGAGTTTCTCTTGGAACTAGCAAAGGTGCTGGTGGATGCTTCCTCAAAGATTCTTTTACCACACAATTAAGGTACTTGAGTCGCACAAGATCAGTTTCTTCAACTCTATGTTTTCCTTTACAAGCTTCTCTGATTTCTTTCTGGGCTTTTCTCATCACTGATGGATTTCTGATCAGTTCTGCCATTGTCCATTCCAAGGTAGCTGCTGAAGTATCACTCCCTGCCACAAGAATATCCTACAAAATGACAGCTCAATGGTTAGGATGCTGTGGTTCCAGGTTCAATTCTAACCAGTAACGGGTTTTTTATCCATATTTAAGTGGGGTAGACTGGGATGGATATTATATCTATATATATATATATATATATGTATATGATATGTATGTGTGTGTGTGTATACACAAATTGCTCTTCATAATCAGACTGATTGTCAAGAAACAGAAGTAGTCGCCTCGAAACAGAGTAAATCTTATGAAACATTATTGAATGGAAAGATTAGGATAAAAATATACATACCGCTAGAATGCCTTTCACGTTTTCATCACTAGGCCTGTTTGTTTGAGTTGAATCCCCTTGAATTCGAAGCAATACATCAACAATATCTTCTTCTTGTTTAGATCTATTCCTGTTGGGATCCAGATGCTCTGCTATTACTCTGTCAAAGAATCGATCTAAATCTCTGAAGTTTTTCTCTAGCCTTGAATTTACGCCATTAAACTTGTTAATCCACGCTAGCCAAGGGAAGAAATCAGCAATATTCACCCCACCTAACAGCTCCTGTGTCTCATGAAGAATTTGATGAAATCCACTCTTTTCATCATAAACTCTACCAAAAGCCACCCTGCATATAACATTATTAGATAGTGCAAAAACCAGATTACTGAGATTGATTTGATTATTGTCATTCGTAGATATACAACAATCAGCTATACTCTTCAACATTGAGGCTGTCTCTGCCTCACGAATTGCAGCGAAAAAGTTCACTTTTTTCACACTTAATAACTCCAAGACTAGAACTTTTCTCATCTCCCTCCAGTATTCACCATAAGGTGCAAATGCTACCGCCGACCCGTTGTACCCCAACTTGTTTCCGGCATACATCACCGGCCGGCCGGAAAAATCAAGATCGTGGCTTTTGAATATTTCTCTGGCCACATCGGCCGAGGAGACTACTAAAGTGTTCACTGAGCCGAGCTTTAAAAGCATCAGAGGCCCGTATTTGTTTGAAAGAAGCTGAAAAGTTCTGTGAGGCAGTTGACCCAGTTGGTGAAGGTTGCCGATGATGGGGAGTTTGTGAGGGCCTGGTGGAAATCTTCTCCTTGATTCTTTCTGCTTCTTTATGAATAATAACAATGAGATTACAGATATGAAAAGACTAGCACATGTTATCATGTGGAAGATCATATCTGAAAACATTGCTTTCCAGAATTGGACAAAGATAACAAGATTGCGGGAGAAGAAAAGGCCCAAAATGGAAACAGATAATGATGGAAGAAACTAGAAGGAAAGCTTTTTTTTTTTCTTTTTTTTTTTCCTTCCTTTTTTTGGGTAAACAGAATGAAAGATGTAATTTAGAATATAGGTGGTTCTATCTCCGTTCCATTTTATAAAGGAAACAATAAATAATTCAACACGTACCAATGAAATTGCAAACTTTTTTTTGGTATATTATGCACTTGGTGTTCGAAATCATTATTCCGATTAATCTGGATTCGAGTTGGGTAAGTTCCTTACAAACCTTTCCTAACAAGTATTTTAATCACTCATAATTTTAGTTACATGTCTTAAAAGTATTACAAATTTTCTACATTATAATATTAATAAAAATAGTTGAAGACAGTATTTCGTTGATTAGTGTCATTTTACAAAAAAAGAGAAGAAAAAATTCTTATATAAAAGAATTAAAAAACAAGTTTGAAACCCTCTAATAAAAGGAACGAAGATAGTAATTTTTTTATTTTTTAAATTTTTTTTTGTGGACGAGAGAGCTTATCCACATATCACATAAGTCTTGTTTCGGCAAGGGTCTTGAAACACCAAACAGATACTGTATTTAAGAGGGGGCTTAATAATTCATAGGGCTTAAACCGAGCTTCCAAACCGAGCTTCCAAGGAATTAAGGGGGAAAGAAATATATTTGAAAATGATGTGAATAACAATTGGCATGAATAGGAAAACAAAGAGAAAACAAAAAACAAATTTGGTTGCATGAATCAGTGGTTACCGGAAATAAAATTTGCATGAATAGGAAGAATGTGATGCAGTTATAATTATTCAAGAAAATATAAGAAGAATCGATACATAGTGGTGTCTGCACGCAGAAGAATTCGAAAAATCAACCATCCCATGAGACTCAAAGATTATCAATAAATTGCTTCAATTATTTCCCATCAATGAATTGCTTCAATTATTTTATTATTTATTTTTTTTTGTTGAAGATAATGGAATGATGTAACATGGTTCAGAATTCAAATCTCTGGCCAAGGCACATTTTTAATGACAAGTTTTTTTTTTTTTTTTTTACTCAAATCTAAAAACTCACAATTTTTTTTATTTTTTGGGTTTTGGTCAGAGGGCCTCTCCCTTTGTTTGGCTCTTTTGGGACTATAACTAGATAGTTTTGACCAAGATTTCATCCTAATTAATTAGCATTCCATTTCCTCCAATATTTGCGCTCGTTATGCTCTTGATTGGGAATTGGGAAGCGAATAAATATTTATTTATGTTTATTTTTCTGATACAAGGAATATAAAATGGATATATGCATGCTAAAAAAAATTACAATATTTGTTAAATGTGAATTAACGTTCTGAAATAAATCACAAGATCATGATATTCATATAGATCATTAAATACGAAAACCTAACAATCATTCTCATTTGCATCCTTTTTTTTTTGGGGGGGGGGGGGTTGGGTTGTTTAAAGCAACCCTAATTATTCTCATAATTAGGATTAGAGTATATGTCCATCTCGAATGAAATGAATATTTTATTCGAGATAGAGTTGGAGAAATATGCATGCTTAGCAAAATCAGCAGAAGCAATGACAATAATGATTTGGAGGAGGATGAGGGAAGACTTTGCAGTGGCCTCCTTTAGAGCAAGAACTTTGCCTGCAAAGATCATCACAAGTTCGATCATCTCCGGTGTTGGGAACACAACCTCCGATATGGTTATCGTCGCAACATTTGATAGCATCAACAGATATCAAACGCGACATTAGGTCACTACTTCCATGCACTCCCAACTCATGCTGGTGGCTTGCAACAAGAACAACAAGAATAACACTACACATCAATGATGCTGCTCTCCCCATGACTTAAATTTCTCTTTTGTGTGTTATAATAAATGGCGTATGATTTCTTGATTTATTACTGGTAGATTAATATTGAGTTACGGTTAAAAATAATGTAACATGAACGTGGTTTGTATATTAGCTTGCATGCAGAAGAAAGAGGTTAAAAGTTACTTTATAGTATAGGGTTAAAAACAATTTTGAGTTGTAAAAAGGAAAACAGAAAAGTAATGCGTTGTGTACATTTTTGCACATTTTTTGTGGTTGGGGATTTGCCGAAAAGGGGTACAAACTAGTTGGATTTCTTTTCGATTAGAAGTTGAGAGGCTTAAATTTAATCACTTATTTGTTTCAAAATTTCTTTTAAAAAAAATAAAAATAAAAATACTTGAATGTGTGGCAATATTTTTTTGAAATAAAAACAGGTAACTCCAATTATTAGTTACATTATTTCGAACTACTATTTTTCCCCCTATACCTTACATTGGATGGCTATAGTCTAGATTGGTTTCATTTTTGGTTTTTACCTGTATGATGAATCTTTGGGTAACTTCGCCCTATTAGTATTTATCGAAGAAAAAAAAATGCGAGTCCGTATCCAGTGTATCCGGGTATACCGCATACTTCCACCAAACATATGCACTACACGCGCTCAACATTTTTCACCTTTACATTAAATGCACAAACAAAATTATTTTCATCCATTTTACTGTTTTCATCCTCACTCACAAATACACACAATTGCTGGTTATCCATAATTTATCCACAAGTTGTAAACTGGTTATCCAGAAGGCGTAAACTGGTTATCCAGAAGGTGTAAACTGGTTATCCACGAGTTGTAAACTGGTTATTCAGAAGGTATAAACTGGTTATCCAGAAGGTGTAAACTGGTTATCCACAACTTGTAAACTGGTTATCCACAGGTAAAGAAGCAAACGACATGTTACTTGGGGGGCTTCGCCCCCCATGATAAACTAAACGACTCCCGCGGCTACCGGAATCGTAGGTCACCAACCTGCCCTGGCTGCGCCGCCCCGCCGAACACGCCAATTTAGCTAAGGTAATCCTTTTTCGTGTGTGTGTAAGAAAAGTGTGTTATTGCGTTAAGATGAGACACAAATTACTTGTATAAATCCCCCCGAGATAAACTAAACGACCCAGCTGTGCCGGTGCCCGCGGCTGCGCCGCCCCCCCTGCCGAACACTTTCATAAATAGTACTAGTGATGTCTGGTCGCGCAATGCGCGACCCTGGCCCAATATATATGTAGATCTTAGAAATGTTTGTATCTGGAAAAAAAAAATATTTTGTATTTGGCCCAATATATTTAGAAATATTTGAAGAATTTTAGAAATGTTTTATAAGTGTGATGTTTGTATTTGGCAAAAAAATAAATTGTATTTGACCCGGTACGTTTTAGAAATGTTCGAAGATTTTAGATATATTTTATAAGTGTTACTTCTTAAATATAAATAAACTTGATCAAATATATGTCTTGAAATAAATGCTAGACAAAATATAAAAGCATCCTAATAAGTTTAAAAATTAGTAAGATAATTTATTGATGTTCTCCATTGGTTGGACCAAATCAATACTTAGTTTTGGAAATTTATGATAGCTTTGTAGTTAGCTTCCTTCAAAGCGTATACGCTTAATTGTTGGAACTATTTCTTCCAAAAATTTATAGGTAGTAAAATATCAAATATATGATTTTGAAACTGGTTAATTGTTGAAACTGGTTGATCACAAATATGAGAATGAAAATAATGTAAATTTGCATAGGTTTCAAGATATAGCAAAAAAGAACTCACCTCACCATGGGAAATAAAAAAAAAGGTAAAAGATAGCCCATTAAAATTTAAAAATTTTTAATTTATTGTTTCTGTAGGTAAAAATGATGTATAAAAACACAAATAAACGTAGAAACATCATTCTTTCCCTCTCCACCTCAAATTCATAAAAGGATTTCTCATAAATTAGTTAAAAGAAAAGACCTGAACTATTTATATGATGAGGAACTAAAAAAAGTCCAAAAATCAAATCTAAAAAAATATATTCGTAAAATCCTGAACACAAAAAAAGAAACGTGCTTCATTTGTAAATAAAATAATAATAATAATAATAATAATAATTGGTCAACTGGAAGTATGAAACAAAATCAAAAGTAATTAAATAAAGAAAAAACACACTTCATAATTGGCCATATACGGAAAAAAAAACCTGAGACTCCATAATTAAAAAAAAAACAATCTAATTGAATGAAACATAAAAAAAAATTTTAAAAACCACACTTTGTAACAAAACCCCAATCAATCAATTCAATCCAAACATAACTAAAATCATACAAAAATTCTAGGCTAACTAACTAAATAAGAAATCACATCATACTACCTAACAACGGCTACGGTAGTTGTAACGGATGGACGCATAAAAATAATAGTAATAACACTATTTTTGAACGGGAAAAACAAAAAATAATAAAAGCCAAACCAATGATCTGTGAAAATAAAATTATTTAAATTTTAATACCTGTAATGGCACCATCACAACGGCCGAAGCAAGATCAATGAGAATTTTTTTTTTCCCTTTGTGTTTATATAGAGAGGTAAAGAGAATATTTTTTGAAGTTGAAATTTTATCTGATTAAGATGTAGTTGATCATCACTAATGAAAAGATTGAACATGGTAATAGGAAAGGTGTATATTTCACCACGTATTCTCAATTGATGATTGATGAGAAATTTTTTTTTTTAAATTGTGGAGAAGAGATTGATTAAAGAGTCGATTGTCGTGGAGATGAGGATGAGAATTTGGGTTTTTTATGAACCTGTGATTTTTTTTTTGTTTGTTTTGACGAAAATAGGAGGTGGAAGTGAATTTAGAGTGCATTTGCCTTTTAAATTTATGAGATGTGGTAATAAAAATTTATTTTAAAAATATGATGTGGAAATGCCACATGGCAAATGATGGTGCTTTCTCTTAAGTGTGGTTTTTGTTTCTTAAATTTAGGAGATGTGGTAATAAAAATTTATTTTAAAAATATGATGTGGAAATGGCATATGGCAAATGATGGTGTTTTCTCTTAAGTGTGGTTTTTGTTTCTATTATAGTAAGATTTAATTGAATGAGGGGCATTTTGCCAAAT